CCGAATGTAATCTAATGTTGAACCACATCGTAGTATAAATGTTGGTTCATTGAGCTGCCGTGTAAATGAGTTCAGCACAGCTTGTACGTCTGCCCACGGATCAGGTGGACAGTGCCAGGCCTGTTGAGTTTATAAGATGTGAATTTTGAATTGAAGATGACTAGACATTGAACATTTCAAATTCTTTGAACCTGTAGTTTGTAATTTCATGTAAAAAGCATCAGCCTTAGCGTGTGCTGTTGCCAAGCAACAGCGTTCATGCTAGAGTTTCTCTCACGTCGTTCAAGTCCACAAATCTGTGCTTCATATGTTGTGCTCATTTCACAAAAATCAGTGAGACTAGTGTCTGAGAACATCTGACAATGATTATGTAATATGGCGTTTGCATTGATGTGCACAGGGTGTTCAACTCCAGACTGTCATCTTGATGAGAAGCTGTGAAAAGGGACACAGATCATGATGGGAGTTGTGTTTAGCTGCAGCTCATCAGATTCTATAAGCAGGGATCCATGATTGTCACTTTATACCAAAGGCATGGATAGAAATGGTCCCTCTATGTCAGCGGATTAGCAAAGTGCAGCTTTTATTTAAAGTGCTTTTTGGAGTGATATTTGGAATACAAAAGACGGATGACTTTATACCTTTTAAGGAATTCTCATTCTACTTTCAGGAGAATAAATATCACGTCTTTATAATAATATAATAATTATTTATATCTCGACTGAGGAAAGATTTAAAATTTGCCTCTTTAGCCAAATTCACTGGCTAGCAATGGTGAATCAAATCAATGTAAATAATTGGATATATATTCTGATTGCACGTCATTTTTGAAATATATTGTGCTTTGAGTTATACTCCCACACTGCTTTATATAACTTTTGCCGTTCATATGAAAATAAAACAACTCACAAGATCAATACGTTTCATGCCCTACAGCAGACAACAAACACACCAAACACACTAGTCCTGTGCTTTAATGCACCTAAAGGCATCACAAGAACTGGCTGCCACCAATACAAATATTTTAGAACTGTTTCTGCATTTTTTTTTTGCCTCCGACACCAATATCAGTCATGTCACTACATGTCGACACCATTAAACGTCCCATTACACTGAGCGCAGTCAGTACGCAGTAGAGCTACACTAAGACAAAGGGCCCGACTTGTCTTGCTTCTGTTCAGACATGGACTAGTCAGTAAGTGGACTCACATTATGATTTCTTTTACATTTTACACTGCCTTTCAATAAGTAGTTGCTTTAACTGAATATCAATATGAATAAGTACAAGAGCACTCAATTGCAACCTCAGTGCTGCAGCTCAGTGTTATCCAACCACAGGGGAGCACAGTACAAGAATGATACAACATTACAAACCACAGCAGGATTCATTCACTCTATCAGGACACCTCAAAGTGAATCGTTACACATCAGCTTGATAAAAGTGCTAATCTCTTCATCTTTTAAAGCAGTGCTTCCCAAAGACCGGGTCGAGACCCACAGGTGGCTCGTAGGACATTTGATCAGGGTCGCCAAATAAATGAGCAGAATTGCTTCCAGTCTTTAACTTAACATTTCTATCTGCAGTACACCTTTGAACCACATGAGGGAGCCTGGATGTTCTTTTTGTTCTGAGAGTTGTTATAACATTGAATCTAATATGAAAGGTGAGTGTACATTCTGTTTGATTGATTGATGAGAGGAAATGAAAAGAATGAGTGTTGACTCTGCCTAAATGCATTAATTCTGTCTCATTAATAAAGTATTTGACATAAAACAAAGTAGTGATTTATCAAACTATCTCTTCAAAATGATTCGTTTGTCATTTTAAGAAAGCGGCTGTCCAGAAAAAGTTTGTCAAACACTGTTTAAAAGTTGATCTGGAATCAGTTGAGGCCATGGTTGATTACTTGATTACCTGCTATGATAACCTGCAGTTGAATACGCCTTGCACACGGATTTAGATTGGTGGTTATACAGTTAACCAAAACTATGTTTAAATCTCAATATGCACATCTTAATGGACACTAGGGGTGGGGGAAAAAATCGATACAGCATAGTATCGCGATATTTTGCGTGGCAATATTGTATCGATACACGGACGCCAAGTATCGATCTTTTATTATATAAACTATTTTTTTTTTTTAATATTTTTTTTTTTTTTTTGAAAAATCAAATCAATTGCTTTTTCAGTCCACTAGATGGTGCTGAGTTTCTTTCTGGTGAGGTCAGCAAAGGTCGCAGGTCAGCGTGATTGGTAGGAAGTTGGTCAAAACAAAGATAGACATCTGGCCTCACAACGGAGTTAAATCTGCCAACAGTAGCCAGGCTCATGGGGAGAGTGCAGCGCATAACTGTCTCTCTGCCCTTGACGTCCACGCATCGCAAGTTATACCGAGTTATATAACTCTAATATCCTACTTATATAAGTTATAGTTCATATACTGAGTCGACACGTTTGCATTTCGTTAAGTTGGACTATGTAGTAATACAAACAGTTCAGTTTGTCAGGTTCCTGCAACATTTATGACATTGTTGGTCAGTCTGTCTGCTTGACAATCCTATTTTGCTGCAATAAAAATGATTGAAGTGAGATGAACAGACTGAAAACTTTATCTTGTTAGATAAAACATGTTGACACAGTTTTCCTTTGGGGACATCATTTGAAGTTGAAAAAAGTAATAAATCGCAATATATGTTATCGCAATACTCAGAATATCGCAGTATCGTGATAATATCGTATCGTGACCCAAGTATCGTGATAATATCGTATTGCGGGACCTCTGGTGATTCCCACCCCTAATGGACACCAGCCAGTCTATCAGAACAAGTGATAACAAGCCATGGCCATGGCTTAAAAAACGCTGGTGGCACTGTGTCTGCAAACCAAGGAGTTTATGCTCTGGATATGTGCATTATGTTGAATTAACCATTAGGTTAACCAACCCGTTCGTAGTTCAAGACTGGCCTTGTATAAGTACTTTAAATTAAACTTTTTATATGTGTGGAACGCTTATTACTTTACATCAGGAAAAGGTTGTGAGTCCTTGATTCTGCTTCCAGAATGATCTCACAGAAGACCTTGGACCATCTTGTACTGATCCAAGGTTTAAGTCAAAGTCTGAATGGGGTTCTTTGTCGTTGGTGACCAGCTCTCACACATCACAGAGCTCAATCTACAGCAAACCATTGAGCTCAATGTACAGCAAATCATTCAGCTCAATGTACAGCAAACCATTCAGCTCAATGTACAGCAAACCATTCAGCTCTTTCAAGCTCTCGTGGAGGCAGCACTTCATGGATGTTTAGGGACTCGCAGCCAAAAAAGAACACACAAGTAAGACGTGGACACTTTAAGACAACGTCACCGCGTCCTCATGAGGAGATAGTGGGGAAAGGTAAAATACAGGGTTCAGCAGAGACGAGCACATCGGTGCATCTGAAAGGCCTGTTTGAGCTACCACCCAGCTCTCTACCCGATGTACCAATGAGCAGCGAGGCGTTCACTGACATCAAGGAAACAAGTCTGGTTTCTAACTTCACCTCTCTGTGTGACATGTTGAAAACACAGAGGCCCAAAGACCACTTCATACGATAAACAGAAAGCGTATGAACACATTTCTATAGCACCACACATTCCAGAATCAAATCCATTACTCAGCCAGACATTAAGCAGTAAGACCTTGGAGCTAGTGTAATGTATAACATGAGAAAATAACTCATTACAAATATTATCAGTGAGTAATGGTCTAAGGGGCATGTAGTAAAATAATATGAAATATAATTCTCAATGTTTCAAGTATCCACAAGAGTTTTCAAGGCATCACAATGCAACTGGCACTTGGACCGTCTCCGTCTGTGAGGGCTCATAAGAGGATTAACAGCATAGAAAAGCAATCTATAGAAAATATATATATTTCTGTAAGACATTTTTTCCATACTTTGCTCTAATTCTTCCTTTTTACTGAAAATTTGACCTCCTCATGCCGCAAAAAGAAAAAGAAAATCAATAATAAAGAAATCTGAGAAGGAAATACCTCTTTGGTGAACTGATCACAAAACAAAATGATAATTGTTCAAAAGCGGTGACAGATGACACACAAATGGAAAGCAATATTTATGTTTCTCCAAGTTTCAGTGCAGAAGCAGTTTAGGTCTGCCTCCAGCTCCGTGCCTCGTCTGTGATGGATGTGTTTCAGCTTGTTTCTGCGGTGTGACTGTGTGGTACCGCCACCCGGAGCTTCAGCTCTTTTTCCTGTCATGACTGTGCCGCACTGAGGGCCACTGAAGACCAGCAGCCTGTACTCATCTCCTGTGTGCTCAGCAGAACATATGTAAAGTATCTTTCCTTCAGCAAACAGAGTATGCAAGTCTGACCTGTTTGGCTACAATTACCAAACCGTACAAATAATGTGGCAACACCACACTTATCCTTCAGAACAACAAGATCCAAACGCGTCTCTTCTCCACCTCAACTGGATTCTTGGATGGAGAGAGGAGACATCTCTTCAAAGATATATTCATACAGAGATCTATGAATGCCACAAGTCAATTATTCTTCAAGTGTTTGAGGTCCAAAGAAAGTAAGAAATCAAATAGTATCTGAATGCGACACAAGTATAGATAAGACTAACACGGCCCTCTGTTTGTGGACTAAGTGCCTGTGTTGGATAGAATCATAAAGAAGATGTATTGCACTCGCTAATAAATGTTTGGATTCATGTCTGTCTCCTTTGCCAACTTGGTTAACCGCTGTAAACTGTTTGGTGCTTTCCTGCTGACAGCAGCACTACGGCAGAACAGAGCGGGGGGGCTGTGAAGGATCAACAGCACGCAGCAAGTCCAGTCCAAAGGCTTATCAGAAACCAGTCCTGGTTCTCCTTTGAGGCTGGACTCCACAGCACTTTGGCATTCTGCCCTCGTCTCGATGACGCCGAGGAAAGCAGCAGATCAGCACGATGCTACATCACTGCAGGGTACCTGGTCCGGTCATGTGCACATTCTTCCATTGTTGTGTCATTATAAACGAACGCAAAAGCAGATAATTTATTATGTGAAAGCCTAACCTCTACATGGCAACACCTAGTGTGTGTGCATGCGTGCGTGTGTGTGCGTTCTGCAGTGGCAACTGTAATAAACATTGTAATTCTTTAGATGAATGACAAATTTCCTGTGTAGGAAGGAATCGTAGTTGGAGTCCACTGAAGGGCAACACACACCAGCAGTGCGCTGCATGTCGACAGCGTCTGTTCTTTCTATCGGTCCATGCAGCCGGTGTGTGTTGCACTTACAGCAAGTTCCTGCTTGCCCCCCCCCCCCCAAAAAAAAACAAGCCAAATCTACATGTGAGGTCTTCTGTTCCTTTTCAGTTGCAAAGATGAAAAATAATTGTTACCACAAATATCTATTTTTCTTTTTTGCACAATCTATAATGGACACATATTAAGATAATTTGACTTTCAGTGAGCAGCTGTGCTTTTCTGCACATGTGCACGTCATACAAGTGATTACCAATGTGCTGAATGATTAAAGTGGATTAGCACACTATTGTGACCTTTCAATGGAACTCATAACGAAAACAATGCTGTAATTTATAATCTCTTCAATTTAAGAGGGGGGGGGGGGGGGTTAGGCCCGGGTGGTCCCCGGCTAAAGTGGATTAAATAGCACTGCCAATGACATTTTCTTCTCTCACTGAAACAGATGTAGGCATTGGGCTGTGAATGGATGACTTCTTGGCAGGTTATTCATTGGTGGTTTACCAGCCCTTTGGTGACATGAGCCAAAAAGTGAAGGTGGACACTGCGTCTCGTGCAGGAGGCTGCAGAAACACACACGCTGTCATGGGGGTATTTAGGGCGCGCTGTCACGTCTGGATCTCTCGTTAACACGCTCCCTAGAATACATGCACAAAGCCAGCCTTCTGCCAAGGTCAGTCCTCCTGCTCCTCGCTGTCCTGCCGCGCGTCCATCCGCTTCTCTTTGTGACAGGAGAAAATCCGTCGCATCTCCTCTTCGTACCTGACGAAATTTTCTCCGAACCGGGACCAGGCTTTCAGGGGAACCGTGATGGTGTTTCTGTACGGCTGCCGCACCTCGCTGATTTTTAAAAAGACACCGTACCGGTTGGAGCCGACGTCAAAGTAGAACCTCTTGTTGTCCACCCGGAAAGACGCGGCCTCTGGAAGCTCGGGGTTGTCGTCGTGATTCCTGGAGCCGGTTCGCCCGCGGTCGTCGCTGTCCTCGTCGCCGTAGTCTTCGATCAGCTGCGACAGCGCATCTCTGAACTCGATGAGGCCCTGCGCGGGCAGCACGATGGTCTGCTCGATGCCCTGGCCGTAGTAGCCCATGGTGCCGTGTCCTTTGCTGACAGTCTGCCGTATGCGGAGGAACCGACCCCTTTGGTTCTCCTTCAGGTCCAGGAAGTACTTCCTGTTGTCTCTCTCGATTAATTCGCTCTTGAGGACGCGGTGGGCATGGTCGTCGGACACCGGGGAGCCGGTGGGAGACAGTACCGCGTGCGGCTCCTGCGCCCTCCTGCGGGAGTCGTGCGCGCGGCCCTGGCCGTTGTTGCTGCCGCCGCTGTGCTCCTCGATCTGAGGAGGCGCGAGGCCCCCCCGCAGTCCGATTCGGGCGTAGTAATCTATGAAGTCTCCCAGGCTGTAGCGGAGAGCGGGAGCCATCGACATAGACAGCGTCAGCTTGCTCTTCCTGATGTTGTCGTGGCGGCCTCTACCGATCCACACCTCGGCTATTTTCAGGAAGCGCCCGCGCACACTCTGCTTGACATCCAGATAGAAGCGCTTCTTCTGGATGTCGACGCGTTTGGAGGCTAACTCCTGGATGTCATTGCCCTGCTGCTGCTGCTGCACGGGTCCGGTCTGCACATATTGCTGAGAATATGTGGGTCTTGGTAGAGAATCTGATGCAATCTTACCCCTGCCTCTTTCCATCCCTCTGCAACATCCATCAGCCATCATGATTTATATTCCGCCACTAGACAGCACAGGACAAAGCGATCCCCCCATCCCAGTGGGCGACTAACAGACGAATAAAGCAGGCTGTTTTTTTTTTTCACAAGACAAGTTAGCCGGATGCCTCGAATGACCTAAAAATGGCAGCTAGTCTGGTGTCACCAGCTGATCGAGTCTCTGTGTCCCGAATAAAAGGTCAAGCTCGGCTATCTAACCGTTTCCACTGCAAACTTCCATCGGTTTCCATCACCTACTCTCCTCACAGCTACCCCTTTCACCGAGGCAGTCAGGGAAGCAGCCAACCTGAAATGGGAGGAGGCGTCCAATACTACATGAACTCGATGAACCCATCCCCCCCTCCTCCTCCCCTTACCCGTCCTGAGAATACCTCAGTTAAAGAGACACGCTGTGGTTCTCACACACTCGCCTCAGCTGCATCGAGCTCAGTCCGCAGATATTATGAACAGGAATATCGATTTATCACGAAAAGATGCCTCAGATCACACGGCCAGCCCCTAATAATGAGCCCATTGTGGAAGATGAAATAGTTTGCTTATAGTCGAGTAATTATGGCTTTGAAAGCAACTCATAATAGCTTAGTTATTTAAAATGTAATAGTTATCCAGTAATAAAGAATAAGTGCACCATAATGCACTAATCACATAATTCAAATTTTTGTCAGACAATTATTATATTATATTCAAGTCAAATAATGAAATCAACACAGTTCAAACCTACATGATTTAGATACAGCGTTCCCCCAACCTTTGGCGACAGGTAATACAATCTCTCATCGGTTACCCACACAGCCCCATATTCAATGTGTGCCATCTGTTTGGAAAAATTTAATTTGTTGCAAATCAAAAAGTGCATCATCTTATGAAACAATACTGGTGACTTGTCTTGTAGTCCTATATAAATCTGTGTTTAAACTACCACAAACACTGAAACACATGGTCAATGTGACCCATTTGGAGTTTGGCCATTGTTAAGAGTAAGAAACATGTCTGCTGAGCGTAGCTTCGTTTGTTTCACACAGTTTGTAAAAAGTCAAGAATACATTTCCACCATCAAATAAATCCACTGTTAGTTCTAATCAGCAGACAGTCACTGTTGTTATATGGAAATGGTTACACAGGTGTATTAACCATTAACACGGTACAGCTGTCTATCAAGTCACACAAAAACGAAGATCAATGAGCTAATAGGGTGACAGGTTGAATGAGCTGTATTTCACATTCAGAGCGCGCTAGTTATGAATAACCATCAATAACCTATCAATAACCATCATCTGTGTAAAGATTTAGTGTAGTAATGTCTCCCTGAGCAGAGAGTGAAGTCTCTCTGCCTCTGTGTGTGTGCATGTTAGTGCTCTTTAGTTCATGTGAATGCATTTTAGTGCATGCGAGTGTATGTTAGTGCCTTTTAGTGCATGTTATTTTATGTGAGTGCCTTTTAGTGCATGTTAGTGCTTTTTAGTTCATGTGAGTGCATGTTAGTGCCTTTTAGTGCATGTGAGTGCATGTTACTGCATTTTAGTGCACGTTAGTACATGCGAGTGCCTTTTAGTGCATATGAGTGCATGTTATTTTATGCAAGTGCCTTTTAGTGCATGCGAGTACATGTTAGTGCTCTTTAGTTCATGTGAATGCATTTTAGTGCATGCAAGTGCACGTTAGTGCCTTTTAGTTCATGTGACTGCATGTGCGTGCATGCGAGTGCACTACTATACCACTATACTATACTTTACTACTATACTATACTACACCACTACACTACACCACTATACTTTACTATACTGCCACACCACTATACTATACTACCATACTATACCACACTACTATACTAGCCCATTTACGGCAGAAAGAAAAAAACGAGTTGCATGATAGAAATAAAACACGTTAAGTGAATTCGATGAGATGTTACTAGATACCACACCAAAAGTCAACAGTTGGACTAAGTATCAAAATGGAATCTTCATTCTTTTTCTTTTCTTGGTGGAAAAAGTCTTCCATATCCTTTGTCAGACAATTCTACAAGTCTTAAGCACAATATTTCCAGCTGACATCAACACATTAGTTAAAACATTTATTTCATAATGATCATTTACAGCGTTTCAAAATAGAGAAACCCTTAAACTTTGTCAGCAGATAATGAATGCAAAACCCTTTTTCAACAGTTTGCATTGAAATGAAATCGTGCTTTAAAAAAGTAAAAAATATAATACTCGTGGGTTTTCCTAGTTGTCCTGACCACTGTAACCAACGTGAGACTGACCCTACTCTGCCACTGCCGACTGTAACCAGATCTTCAAACTAAATAACTGTCACGTGAGCTACAAACTGTGCATTGCTAAAATATTTATTTCACTTCCTTTTTTTGATTTCCAAAGGCAGTTAAAGCAGCAGCGTGTAGGATTTAGTGGCATCTAGTGGAGAGGCTGAGCTCCCCTCCCTACGATGGCCTTCAGGTAACGTAACAACTTAAATGTCTCTCTCTAGAGCCAGTGTTTGGTTTGTCCTTTCTGGGCTCCTGTAGAAACATGGCAGTGAAACATGGCGGACTCCAAGGGGACCCGCTTCTGATGTAGATATGAAAATCCTACACACTGGTACTATAAAATGTACTTTTTTTATTGAACCTGCACTGACAGCACGTACGTGTCAGTGTGATCTTTTGTTACTTGATTACATTCATGTACAGAGTATGTACTTAAACCGAGAATACACTTCCTGTATTTTAAGTGACAATGCTCAGGTGATCAACTGTAACATCCCTGCAGAGGTAAACCCGTCCACATGAGGGCGCTACAGAGACAAGTCAGAAACAGCTTCATCCTCAGTCTGCCTGCTGTAGCACCGATCACTCCCTAGACATGTGACATTTCCTAAACATACATGTGTGAGTATGTTTTGGGTATTATCTACTGTAAAGATGTGGCTGTGGAAGTTTTCTATGTGAGTGCAAAGCTGGTAAACTACCGCTACAAGCTGTAATTCACATTGAAGAGTAATCTCCCACAGCGTCAGGAAATATTCACACTTGGTTACGCGTGAAAGACTCTTCACTGCTTCAAAGACTTGAAAAGAACATTGTGACATTAACGTGGCAATAGACAACTTTTCAATTTCCCCCCCTAGCGTTTCCAAATGCTATTATTGTTGCTGCTGCTGCTGTTGTTGTTGCAAAGATAACAGGATTGCTTTCATTTTTCTTTTGAGATTACAACTGGCAACAAATTTGGCGACCATCAGAGGGAAAAAAGCAAGACCTATTCAAATACATATCCCTATTCAATCCCAGTGCAGCTCAGAGTAATCACAGGCTCTTCTGCTTACGGGGTAAGCTTTATGCAAATGAATGCACCATGACGTCACCGGTATGCAAATGAGAGAATGATAAATGTATAAAGAGAGCTGGCACGCCGTTCATTCCTATGAAAAGTTGCAGAGTGGCGCATGAAGCAAAGAAATGTTGACTTCCGAGTATAGAGTTCCGGAATCTTCCTCATCACTGGATCCATAGAGCATGAACACTATCGTTGCTTTTAGCCCCGCCTCCAGTCCCTGCCTCGTTCTTATTCACACGAACAGAGGAAGGTTTAGCACTTCTAGGACCTAATGAGTTAAATTACAGATACGTAATTTAACATTACAGATACGGAATTTAACATTACGTTACCTGAAGGCCATCGTAGGGAGGCGTGTTAAATTTATGGATACGGAAGTTGTTTGGCCACTATGTCAAATTTGCCTCAAAGTCTGCGCTCTTCCTGGGGGCTTGGTATGATGTTGGAGATATTGCTAGCTACTTTCATTGGAAATGAGCTGTCGACACACTGTCGAAAGCCTTCACCTTCCCTGGAGATCGAACCCGGTGGCAGACAGAACTGCACAGTGACATCCAGGCTTATAGGGAATCAATGGAAACAATATTCTATAACCAGTACATCGTGCTATCAACATTTACTTCATAATGATGAGTTCAAGCTAAAAACCTGCCTATTGCCACTTTAACAAAAGGCACAGAAGCATTCACATAGATGACACCTCTAGGTCCGTCTGCGCTCTTACTGTGGCCTGTAGCCACCCAGCTGAGGCATGTAGCTGGAGGCCGGCGCTGTTGACTGGCCGTCTGTTGGTGTCGCCTGCTCACAGTCCTCTTCCAGGGGACAGAAATCCAGAGGCTCCAGCACCTCCTGCTGCTCCATGATGTCAGTGTGTGTGGAGCAGGGCAGGCGGGGGAAACGCTGGGACTGTCTGCTGCCCTCCTGCAGCAACGTGTCTGGGTTCTCCTCAGAGTCCAGCAGGGGCTGCGTGGACTCGGACCGTGAAAAGACAGCCTGCTGGGGTTGGGAGTTCGGGGTCTGACCCTTGTAACCACTGGAGGCCATCACCGAGGAGTACTGAACGGTGCTGGCCGTGGTGTCGGCCATGTCGCCACCCTCGTCGCTGTCGGACACACTCTGGCGAGGTGAGGACATGCAGGAGGAGCCACCGATGCCGCTGCTGTGCTCCTCGGACAGATACTTGTCCTTCTTCAGGGCCAGACTGGCCTTGTCCTCCTCGAACATGCCTTTCCCATCGCACACATCCACATCGAGCACGCTGACGCCACACAGACCGTTCTCCTTTGGTGTCTCTGTCTGTATGAGGACAAGTTGAAAAGAAAAGTCTAATTATGATCAGACTGAAAAGTGACTGGAGTCTAAGGCCTCTAGTTTCACTAGTGAGAGCAGTGATGATGTGGTGAGAATAAGGACACTTCTTAGTCATCTTATCAGTGGGCATAAAAATAACAAGCATAAACTTTTCTTTTGGAATATTCCTGATCGCAGTGGTCCCTCCCCAGTGGTCTCTCCCCAGAGGTCCCTCCCCAGTGTTACTGGTCCGCTGCAGAATGAAAGCAGGCTAGAGCTGGAAAACAACACGACGCTTGAGAGATTTGCTCTGTGCAAGCGAACCTTTGACGGGTCCGACTGTTATAGGATGTTGATTTGTCGCACATTGAATACTATACATGCTGTCACCCTCACTTTCAAAGGATAATCAGGAGACCAGTTTCCAATGGTGCTCTCTCCAGGGTTTGGAATCCGGGGCCAAAAGTTCTCCATGATCCTGTAGGAAGAGAGGAAACACTGAGGGTTATGTCTCAGCTTAGCGACTGTGGATCCACATAAGATCTTTTCAAACATTTTCATTCACTATGTATCTGAGCAATGGGGTTCAGCGATTATTTCTTCGGGGTACACTCAGATGGACCAGTTCATAAGACGGTCCACGTCTGAGGACTGGAGGGTTTACAGCTGTTATGAATGACCACACACTAGTGTGATGAAAAGCCTGCCATCATTAAGAGGCACATTTGTTTAAAACCCTTGTGTTGTCCTCCCGATTGCCATACACCTTTTGTCCTCTGGGGTCACAAATGACCCCGCCTGGTTTGACTGTTATTTAAAGCATATAGTATAAATTGTCAATCAATTCTGTTTTACACCTTTAGTCTTACTTCAGTCCAACACATTACCACACATTTTTCCCTTTATTTGGGAATTTAGGGCCAATAGACCTTGTTTACATAAAAGTATACCCTGTTTTTGGGTGAAAATACAATGAAACAATGAATTATTTTGACTTTATATTATTTTAACTATTTGACTTATCACAGAGAGGTATATATCAAAGTTTAGTGAGGATGCTGTTTTTGAATCATTTGAATTTTTCTAATGGCAGCACATAATCACACATGTTGTCCTCTGGGGTCAAAAATGACCCCGTCTGGTTTGACTGTTTTTAAAGCATGCGTTTCAACTCTTCAGTCAACTTTATTCCAACTCATTACCTGACATATGAAACATGTCAACATTAATTTCTGCAACATTTAACCCTCCTGTTACCTTGAAATTTACTAACACCTGTTATCCTGGGGTCATTTTTGACCCCAGCAATTTGAACCTCCAGAAAATTGTTAGAATTCAGTGTGGCTTTGTGGCACAAGGCAGTAAAACTGCCTGTGCCAAAGCACACTGTATTTTATCCATCGGGCTTACCCATAATAATAATAATAATAATAATAATAATAATAATAATAATAATAATAATAATAATAATAATAATAATAATAATAATCATCAGGTTTATCCAAAAGCTTGGCGCACCTCTCCTCACACAGCGTTGCCAACAGCGGCGTGAAAAATACATCAAAACGTGCGGCCTGATCGGGAATAGCGCGGAAACTATTTTTCGGAGAGATTCGCCCAGCGGTTTTCCCGGAAATCCCGGAAAACGGAGCAAAATGAAGTTTGGCGCGCTTCTCCTCACACAGCGTTGCCAACAGCGGCGTGAAAAATACATCAAAACGTGCGGCCTGATCGGGAATAGTGTTCCATCTATTTTCCGGAGAGATTCGCCTCGCGGTTTTCCCGAAAATTCCCGAAAAACTGAGCAAAATTTCTCCATTCACTTGAATGGGGTTTCGGCGTGAAGACAGCTAAAAAAACACTTAACTTTGGGCCCATATTGACTAGCCGTACATTAACGTAGAAACATGATTCAAAGTTTAAAACGTAGACAAAACGCTGCACTTTATTGAGCCAAAGGGACATTTTGATAGCTAGCACAGTTTTCATGAAGTCGCAGATTAAGTTTCAGGAAAATTTTGGGTCTGTTTCAGATTTTATAATGGGTGTGTATTGCGCAGCTCGTTAAGAGCAAGAGTGAGAGCATAACTGTCAGAGTGGAGCGGGAAAATATTCTGTGATTCTTCCAAACAAATTGCTCTAGCTCCCACAATTTTTACTCTATATACACCATTTTTGGCCAAACATCTTGGAAATGTTGTGCTGTCGCACACAGATTTACACATTTGGCTCAAAGAGCCACAGAGCGACATGAACTCCAACCAACTGCTCCATTAGACTCCATGTTAAATCTGACCACTCATTTCTCAAAGAAAGCAGACCATACCAGTTTTGCATATTGCGCTGGAGCTCACATTTTAACACCACAAACATAAAAAACACATCTCCGCGTTTGCCAGAGTCTTATCTCTCTCACGGTATCCATATTTTATTGATTAGTCTCATGGTTTTGGTATAAAGGGCATATGTTTGACAGGTAGTTTTGTTGAAAATCACTGTTCACTCTCTCTTAATTAGCCTCTAACACACAGGTGCTCCAATTACCAACATGCACCCAAGCACACAGGTGTTTATATGAGCTCATTAGTGATGTTGATAAACACACAGAGGCACTGAGACACACACACACTCCTCTCCCTCTATCTCTCTATCTGTCTCTCTGTGTGTGAGTCATTCAGGTCTTGGAGACTTTTAGAGGACCCCCCCCCCCCCCATTTTAAAATAAAAGCCGCACACACATGATTTAGAGATATACGTGATGCAGCTCAGCCAATCAAATATGAGTATTCTGATAAGTTTCCTGATTCGCCGCACCGCGACACAAGAGGGAGAGACGAGGAAAGACATGGCAGAGCAGGACAATAGTTATGTAAGCTGTAAAAGATAAAACATAGGACAATCTCAAACTGAGAAAGATTGCCAGATCGATCCCACCCTTTCAAAATAAAAGCCCCGCAAATACAAGTTTCAATCCAAAAGTATGAATCTAAAATGCAAAAAAGAGAGTAGCGCTATCTCAATTGAACCTGAATGACACTACCGGTAACATTGGCGTGTGTATATATTGCGATTTCTTCGGGCAGTAGAAGCCACACTGTCAAAATTTCTTTAGGAATTTTCTAGTTAAAATTGCTACACAAGTTTATGTGTCAGGTACTTTGTTTTTTGTTGACTACCTAAATAGCCCTTTAAATAAAACAACCCCCCGACACCCAAACCCATATACATCCAGAATCCTTGTTACGGGACTATGGACAAATATGCAGATCACCATAACATCTCACTGATTGACCTAAAGTTGGAAAGAGATATATTTTGGGTGTTTTAATGGCTTTACATATCACTTTACATATCAACATGTTGAGTTTATGTTTACCCAGTTGTCCCCATGAAATTAGGAAAAGTCATTAAATATTAAGCAAAATAAATGATGTCTCATTTATTTAGAGACGTTAAACGTCTAATGGGGTCAAAAATGACCCCAGCACATTACAAGGGTTAAATGGGGACCCTGTGTCTCTCCTCAAAGACAGTCGTGGTGGGCTTCAAACCCGGCTCTGAGAGCAGCGGCTTAGGTGTTCAGACTTACGCATCTTTTTTGTAGACACAGAGCAGCATGGTCCCGACAACGATGAACAGAAAGCCAAGGCTCACTCCGACCACAATGCCCTCCATCTCTCCTGGTGCTGAGGGAAACACAGAGAATACCACATTCTACCAACAACCACACAAGCCAAGCTAGAGAGAAACTTCATAATAGCAGTCCAGCTGTGGTCGAGTCTCCACAATGAAGGAAATAAATTGAGCTGATCAACGTGTGTGTGTGTGTGTGTGTGTGTGTGTGTGTGTGTGTGTGTGTGTGAGAGAGAGAGAACAGAGCCCTCCCTCATGTGCAGTTATTTATCTCTTATGAAAGCAGCCTTTGCTGGATGTTTTCTATCAGCGCTGGTAACATATTAAAGTGCAGAAGCCTGAGATCAAATCTAAACTTGATGTTTGAGGAATGGAAAAAAAAAAAATCTACAAAAAACATACAAAGGAAAATTTCCTGAGCATGACACAAATTATTAGGATTGAAAAATAGTATCATGGCAATATTTCAAGTTATCGAGGTATTTACAAAGATGACAGATGCAAATGAGCCCAGTCACAGTTCATTTGCAGCTAAATCAGATCTCATGCCATTTCTTTGTGCATGTCTAGCAAGAAATAGATCAATGGCGGTCGAGAGGGAGTACCACTTAAATGTGTAAGACCTATATCGTCATATAACCTCAACAGATCCTCTACATCCTGTTTACACAAATGCCTGACTCAAACTAAAAAAGAAAATACATTCTTGTAGTATTACAACAACTTCTTCATCACATTATGAATGAATCCTTAATGGTTTTTTCTCATAATTTAATGATACCTCTTCTCAAAACAGGATTTTGTGAACCAGGCCGTGTCAATAAGGTATCAATGAACAGTATCAGTATGCTAGATGTCTAAACTGAACTTTGGCTGTGACTTTGTGTGTGTTTGTATGTTGTGTCACAGTCTAAGCTCTTTATGGAAAAGTCGAAATTTGCTCTGGGACATTTTTGAATCATCATGGGATCATTCATCACGGCCACCAAGGTTTCCACTCACCATATTTCAGAGTGGTGAATGAGTGACAGATGCTGGTGGCTGAGCCATTGATGGTTGAGACTTTGATCCAAGTGTCATACTTGGTGTCGCCTGTCAGTGACGTCAGAGTGTATGAGGTGGTGTCAGCTGGCATGGTTATTGCTGAAAATGAGCAAAACAGAAATGAGCAAATAAGAGTGGCGTTTGGGTACCGTCAGGAAAACACTTCCTGTGGTCCGACACTAAATAGACAGCCGTCTCGTTCTATTCATGGCAGAGCTACGTACCGTGAGTTTTGGTTCCACTTGTGTAGAATATGGTGTAGTTTGTGATGAAGCCTTGCCGACTGCTCTGGGGGAGCTCCTTCCAGACCAGCTCGGCCTTGTTATGTCCCGGTTTACCGTTCAATCTAACAGCGGGGGCTTCCGACGGAGCTGCAACCAACACAGCAACATCATCATGTAGCTAATCATGCAACTGGATTCAGATACATCCTGACTTTGTACTGATGATTTGTGGCAACATCTCTGGAGGAACTGGTTGAAATTAAAAAAACTTGAGAATTGAAATTTGTCCTATTATCAAGTCTAACAAAACTAAATCGTTTTAATCGAGGCCCATTATTGGTTCAGAATCTTGCATACAGTTCCTGTATTCTTCCTCTTCATTAACACTGAATGCTGCGAAAACAGGAAGTCAAAGAAACAGTTACATCCTGTTAAGAGTTTGCAGACCTCATTCTGATTTATTTATACGAGTATGTAAACATAGATTTATGTGGAAATGTGCGTGTCTCTGGTATAATATTCTATCCTTTGCTCTTTTAATGTCTACCTGGGAAACACTTTGATGCTCGTTTTGATAAGTGTTGTATAAAGAAGATTTATTATAATCAACCATACAAGACATGTGTTTAGATTAAACCTTTGTCCCACAACATGAGACGAATAGCCAACAATCTAGCGTTAAATATTACTATTACAGAGAAAAATAGGATTTTCTACAAAACGTAGCATTTGTTGTCGAAACTAAGAGGCAATCAGCTCTTCAATCAGACGTTGGGTCTTGCAGTCTGGTGGACAGCAACTGCGGCGTCTGGCTCTAAAAACTGCCTTCACCTCATTGCCCACGTGTTCATCAACAAATCTAACTGGCATGCATTGTGCGGTGATCGATTCTGCACAGGACCAGCTCATCTCAGATGAGCCTAATAGCCAGCACTAATCCAAGACCAGATCTTAATGGCCTACGTACGGTGGCCCTGAGAGCTCAATGCACCACACATTAAGGAAACACATGCAGATAGACACAACACCAGAATAAAGAAGTATCTTCACCAACTTGGAGACACATCCGCAGCATTTATGAAAAAGTGGCGCAAGGAAAGTATCAAGGGGAAACAAGAAAGCGATGCACACGGCTAAGACAAGCTTCTTGTTGCTGTTTGTGGAGTTACTAAAGCCGGACGTCAGCCATTGGTGTTGGAAAATGACCTCAAGTTGATGTTTTGTTGGTTTATTTTAACACTGTGACGGCATGATTCAGATATGATTGCATATATCTGCTGTTAACCTAGCGTTAGCATTTAGCTCATTATTATGATATCTGAATCATGCAATCACATGACAGGATAGCAGACTTCAACAACTTCATAAGTCACAAACCATGGGAACGAGCGTTTTCCAGCCGTGTGTATCACTTTGTAGGGTCCCCTGGAAACAATGTTGTGTTGTGAGCTCATTTTCTAAAGGACTGCGCGTGTATCGTCAAATGTGACATCATCTGCTTGTGTGGCGTTCGTTTGCTCGTGGTTTCTTAACTTGCCCATGAGAGTAAAAAGATTAGATAAGTTAGCAGCAGAGGTTCTGTTCCTGCTGAACTTAACGAGCCTAAAGCCGGCTGTGAAAAACACAGACAAGAAAGGCTCTTCCTCACAGTAGTGAAGGTGATGGCAGGCCAACCACAGCCCCTGTGACTGCTCTGTGGGCACGCTCACATTTGTTCGATTTGTTCCTTGAGATTTGTTCCTTGAGACATAACACAGTTAGTTAGCAAAGTGAAGAGGAGCATCTCCACTGCACAGTGCATGTACAGTATTATTGGCTGGACAACACTGAAATGTGTTACACCTCTGCACTTTGTTTGTGGTGAAAATTCATGTCACAATGAAAAACCATTCATTCAGTTGTTAAAGAAAAATCAATAGTTATTGAACAGAGGTTTATCATTTAAATATGACAAAATGCAAACATAAAAAGGAAACACATACAACAACGTGTACCTTCTATAAACCCCACAGTTACCAGCTTCAAAGTATGTGGCTTTTTTCCTCTGTCTCACTTTTTTTGTAAATGGTATATCTCTGCTTGCTGCTTTTAATATTCACAATACAATGGTTCACTCCTTACAATGAGTCACAATGAGTGTGTGTGTTATCGTACCTCCTTGCTGCAGATAGGCTGCTGTGCTTGCTGGTTTCCCAGTCCGTCCAGAGTATATTGGATACACAGATACATTGTAGCAAACAAACTTCTCAAGGTTGCCTAGATTTCAGAAAGAAATGTTAGTTTAAAGGAAGGCCTGTAGAAACCATGTATTTAGATTAAAGCGGAGTATCAATTAAGTGATACTCAACCCAAATCTAGCTTTACAGTATGACACACCCTGTGGGCTTGAAGGGTGGCTGGAGAAAAGCCATGTCAGCTTGGATTTACACATTGTCACTTAATGTAGTGCAGCAATCTGCACAGAAACTACATAACTATGCTGAATATGAATGCAGACTTGATGTTGACTGGATCACACCACATAAGCAGCTTTCTGAGTCTGTTCATTAGTTTTCATACTGTATAGAAAGAAGTGGCAAACATAGACCGACTGGAAGGGTAGCAAAATTCACAGTCTATACCCAGTGTTTGAAAATGCACAGCAAAACAAAGTATCCATGATTCGTAGCATACACTGTTGTGGTATTCTAAGCTGCAGTTAACCACATTACCACTAGGGTGCGCCTCACCATCACTGCAGTGAAAAACATCCACAGCCCAACATCATATCGCCATGAGCCTCAGTAGCAGGGCTCTTTCTCTTTCATTCAAAATAAAGTCATGGTCTGCATGTTCCTCTCGACAGATCCAGTGTGACTTAGCTCGATCACTGGTGTATCCTATTCAGGTCCCTGGGCCTGCCACTCAAACGGTTAGTTCCTCTCTAAAAGGGCTCATTCAAGGCAGCATCACCAAGTGATTACATTTTCATTCCCCAATATAGTCGACTCACTATACCATGGAACCATGCTCAACAAACTGTTTGACAAGTTTCTATGAATGTTCGGACTGAAACTCACGACAACTCATTATTGGAATCTATTGCAACTGTGTACATCCAAGCTGACCACAGTCCATGCACAACTATCTATCTACTGTATAGACCATGAGTGGTTCATTCTCAATGAGGACATATTTTGTATGAAATATCACTTTGATGGCACGTTGGAAAGGAAAAGGGTTACCTTTAATGGTAGTGTGCCTGGTGTTTCTGTTTTCCCTCTGCCAGTCCGTCTGATCACCACTGACCCACTCCACCACGTACTCTGACAGAGCTGTGCTGTTGGGGGGTTTCCACTCCAACCACAGCCGGCCCCCATGGGGCCACACCTTCAGCTCTCCAACTGGACCGAGCTCTGGAACACACATACACACACACACACACACACACACACACACACACATACAATATCACATTGTTACTCTGAGCATTCACAACACTCAGAAAATGTAATTATTAGCTGTGTTGAGCAGCAGCATGCGTCTGTGTGCACAGGGTCAGACCAGACGCAGCAGCGGACTACAGTCCAGCCTGTAGCTGAGATCTCGGCTGCAGTTCCATAAACAGCTGGAGTCTCTGCTCTGGACTGAGGGTAAATTGTAGGAGGCTTCGTGAATCAGAAAACCCAACACTTCTGTTTTTGCTTTTTTCCATTTTTCACAAGTTAAAAATAAAGACCTAAGACTTTTTCTATGCACATTAAAGGATTATTTCCTCAACCTTTGTCACACATTTGTTAAAATCATGTTAGTTAGTGAGCACCTCTTTGTTAAGATAATCCATCCTCCTGACAGGAGAACCTACATATCCGGCTTCTTCACCTGCAACATCGTCTGACAATAGCTACCAGGAGAGCCGATGCAACAAGTCAGCAGGGTCTTGACCTGACTGCAGCCTGTTGTCGTAACCGACTTCAGTGGGCAAAGGCTCACATTCGATGGCATCTGGCACTTCGGATGCCATCTCTTCATGAATGAATCCGATGTGACCCAAAACATGCACATCTGTAGCCCTAGTCATGTGAAATCCATTGTTCAGAGTCTTCTTTTCTAGATAAAACTGCTCCTTTTAGAGTGGCCCAAGACACACCTGTGTATCAAACATGCTGTTTAATCAGCATCTAGACATGCCACACCTGTTAGGTGGATGATCTTGGCAAAGGAGAGGTTCTCAGTAACACAGATTTCAAGAAATTTGTGAGAAAAAATTGAGACAAATAGTTGTCCTCGGAGGTTGAGGCAGCGACCATGAAACTCAGCGTCCTGGGTCCTGTTCCAGCTGGGAACCTTTGTTGCATGTCATCCCCCATCTCACTCTGTCCCCTCATTTGTCACCTCTCTACTGTCCACTTGAAAATAAAGACAAAGTCAAAAGATACCGATCTTAGGACGTCTTTTTGAAGAAGAAATTAAGTTTGAAGAGTAAGCAGTTCTAGCTTCCTTTAATACAGCATTAAAAGAATCTCGGAGATGTTTGAGGTATGTGCGATGCACTTCTAGTCCAGTGGCTTTCCAGAGGCGCTCGGTCCTGCCTCACTTTGGTCTCAGGCTGCAGACAGCATCTGTCATCCACGGAGAAGTGCTGCAGATAGCCCTAGCCCTATCCCTAAATGGTGCCACTTTGTCCAGCAACGTGGTGAAATGCTCATAAAAAAGACTGCATTAAAAACTCAACATTATTAAGATTTGTGTTAATATCACAGCAAAAATGCATTGAGAACTGATCAGCTGTACTTTTTACCGAGTAAAAATGTGGGGACCAAGTGCTTGTCTAAGACACAAGGGGTCAGCATTTACAGAGAGATGAAAGAAAATACATTTATGATCACTGATCAATAGGTTCTCGGGAAGTCTGATAAAAACTGACCCGCTGGACCAGGAAGTCGATAAATTAAAACAGCTTTATGTACATATGCCAGTGGAGTACAGAGTTACAGCATTAATAATAAATGCAGTGGTTTAGATTATACTATGTAGGTTTGCCTTTAGAGTGTAACACCTACCATGCGCTTTTTTTGAGATGACCAACGATGCCTCAGCAGATTTCCCCACAGAATTGACAGCAGAGACGTATACTTTAACAGATTTCTTGTCAGCCAGGTGAATCTGTTGAAGGACAGTGATAGCGCTGCTGTCTGACCTGTTGACTGGGAAACTCCCCAACTCCAAACTCCCATTCTTCACTTTATCCTTCGGGTCTTGAATCTTTACGTTGAATCTTGTTATCCTCCCATTGGCAAACACAGGATCCTGGCAGAAACAAAGTCACACACTGTATGTTACTTTTCTGCATCAACTCAGAAATACAACTGCTGCAAAAACAGTGTGGTCTTCAGAACCTGGGATGCAATTATCTCAAAAAAAACATTTAGGTACATTTTAACATTGTTTTGGTTACGATTATTGTGATGCCATTGTGCGCTGTGTATTCAGGCCTTTACTACCCTTATCCTTCAAAGGTTAAGGCTTTGTTCAACAGAACTCTGTTGTCCTCCGAATAAAAAAAACATTCATTCAACACAGTGAGTGGAGTTTATGGTGAAACACCTTTGAAAGAAGCACTTTGTGGCACTGCTCTGCAGGCGACATGGATACACGTACCTGTGCTGCCGTTTGTTTTTTGTTTGTTTGGCTTTTTGTGAACGATCGGTTTGCCCTATGTTCAATTCGTATGATCAAAACGAAGGACTATATGATGGCGTGTGTTTTGGGATTTTTTCTGGTGACGTTACTGCTCCTGCAAACTTTTCACCACCTGCAAGGCTATACCGGCTTGGGCAAGTAGCAACCAGGCGCTATCTTACACAAGGGAAGCGCTCTTGTCTCTACGCAACTATGGAGATAAGCTCACAGCAGATCCTTTCGGATCGCTCCTCAAAAATGTGCCGGAAGATATTAGAGCTCCACATCGGCAGCGATTGCGGAAAAGAGGCCGGAGAGGAGGCCTACGACAACAGCTATGGAGGAGAGGCAATCGACCGCCCCTGCCATCTATAATTCTGAGTAACGTAAGGTCGCTGAGGAATAAGTCCGGGAGAAAATCTCTAACCCTGATGTGGAACTGTTATGTGTGAGTCTCAGGCCGTTCTAACTACCTCGAGAGTTTGGTAATATCCTCATCTGCTCTGTTTATGTACCTCCCAATGGCAATGCCTCGAGGGCTGCGGCACAGGTGGCAGACTGTGTTCACGAACAACTACAGCGGACCCCAAACGCCCCGATTTTCATCATGGGAGATGTTAATCATTGCAACTTAAACATTGCATTGCCAGGTTTTGAACAGTATATTAAATGTGATACCAGGAAGAATCGGACTTTAGACAAGTGCTATGGTAATGTAAAACATGCGTACACAGCCATAGCTAAACCACCCCTATCTAACTCTGACCATAACACCATTCACCTGATCCCCACATACAAAACAGCGCTGAAGAGCAGTAAACCTCTGGTTAAATCTATCAATGCATGGACAGATGACAGCATAGAAACACTGAAAGGTTGCTTTCTATGTACAGACTGGGATACCTCCTCTGGAAAGCCAAACCTGGACAATGCCACAGAAGTTACCACAAGTTACATACAATTTTGTGTTGACACTGCGATTCCAAAAAGGACAATAAAAGTCTACCCTAACAACAAACCTTACATCACAAAGGAGGTAAAGGACTGTATTAACAGAAAAAAACAGGCATTTAAGACCAACAACCACCTACAACTAAAAACTGTACAAAAGGAGTTGAACCAGAGGCTGAAAGAAGCTCGGGAACACCATAGGGAGGCAATAGAGGAAAACCTCCAGGCTATGAACTCTAAAAAAAAAAAAAAAAAAAAACATGGAATTCCATGAAAACAGCCACCAACATGAAACCCACAAAAAAAATCCTTATATGTTGTAGATGAACTGGCTAAAGCAAATGAGCTGAATGTTTTTTTTACAAGCGGTTTGACAATTATGACTTCTCTGCTGAAGTAGAGGTCACTGTCTAGCCTTAACCGTTAGAGGTCACTGTCTAACCCAAATTTTGGGTTCTCATCTATTGTCTAGACGCGTCAGGCTATTAGTTACCCCTATACTTTTTAAGATTTTAAAACAACACAGAGTGTAGTACAGACTAAGAAAGAAATCTACAAACAACAGTCTAGCATAGGCCCTCGGATTCTCGAGGTGTTTAGTCACTAGATGCACTATACTGTTGGTTGCATCATTAACCGTTAGAGGTCACTGTCTAGCCTTAAGGCTAGACATTGAGCTCTGGGTCATTTAGGTTGACGGGCAGCGAGTGTCACAACAGTTTTTGCAAGTCTTCGCAATTCATGCGTTACAATGTGGACAAGACCGTCATAACCCTTGGCTACATTATAGTGTAGGTTTCGACCTGACGTCTGTTTTGTACGTGATTGGTTATTGACTTTGTTCAAGGTGTGAAAGCTAGGAAAAATCGACATTTTATTCATGTAGGATTACATGTACAGTGGGGAAAAAAAGTATTTAGTCAGCCACCAATTGTGCAAGTTCTCCCACTTAAAAAGATGAGGCCTGTAATTTTCATCATAGGTATACCTCAACTATGAGAGACAAAATGAGAAAAAAAAAAAAATTCAGAAAATCACATTGTCTGATTTTTAAAGAATTTATTTGCAAATTATGGTGGAAAATAAGTATTTGGTCAATAACAAAAGTTCATCTCAATACTTTGTTATATACCCTTTGTTGGCAATGACAGAGGTCAAACGTTTTCTGTAAGTCTTCACGAGCTTTTCACACACTTGTTGGGATCTGACCCTGCTCTCCTGGCTGGCTGAGACCTTCACACGTGCTTTTCAAACAAAGGAGCAGCCATGTTCCTTCCTTTCACCAAAACACCTGACCTGGGGTCTGCAAGAAACTTCATGCCGGATGACCACACCCCCCAGTTCCAGCAGAAACCTGATGCTGGTCCCTCATTGGCCAAGAAAGGGCCCCCCCACTGGTTGTGCCACCTGGTTTATAAGCCTGAGCACAGCTAGAATTCTTCCTCTTCCATCCAGACACCGCTGGTGTAAGGAGATCCACAAGGCCTCTTCACTCCGGACTCGTCCAGGGGACAAGAAGATCCACGAGGAACCGCGGCCTCATCAAATCCTATCAGGTCACATGTAACATTCGCTGGTCGAACAGACTGTGTTTTATTTTGAGTTTTGGATCCTGTAGTGCGAGAACGGATAACTCCTATGCCCCGTTCTCCCACCCTTTTTGTGTACACACCGCCGGCAGAAGGTAACGATCTTTCCTCGCCGAAGATTTCCGGGAAGGACGAACCAAACCTCGTCCCTCAGCCGAAGTTAAAAAGCCCCTCTCTGCAGCGAGGAGGCCGAGTCTGCGCCAGCCAGCCCCGAGGCCGCGCCACCGGGAGCCCTCATCTCTCGAGGACTGACTGATTCCCACCACGGGAAACGTACCCTACCGAACGAAGCTTCTACAAGTAAGAGTTACTGGTATCTGGGCCTAGCTTAGCTTAGCATTAGCTTAATTTAGCCTATTCGTTATGTCGTTGTTATTCCTGCATCTTATTACGTTAAGTTACTGTCGTGTTATAACGGGTTAGTGCGCCAGCATCGCGGACCACGGAGTCCCGTTATATTGTGTATTTCCTGCTGTAACCGTTCGCATTAGAGCCATCACTGCTAGTGGATGTGGAGGTTGTGATTTTGTCACTTCAAAGACCAAAACCACGGCGGCGGAGCCTCGTCTCGCCGACCGAGTTTCAGGGTGATGAGAGCAATACTCTCATCTCACCCCAGTGATAAAGATCTGTTTTGTTTTGGGAATTATTTTATTTTGTTTTATTATCTCTTCTTTAAATCGGCTCTGTGAGTGAGATCTAGAACCGCAACTATCACCGTACAAGCGTGACCGGTCGGTTCAGAATCCGACCGCAGAATTTAGGAGTGATCAGCTGTTCCTCACATTCTCACTGCAGCGCCGAGCACCGCGCTCAGAGCTCCTCTCTCTCGCTCTCTCTCTCGCTGTCAACCTCTCTTCCTACTAACCCGCATACACATAGTTAGATTCACTGATTTTGGGTGAACCTCTCAGACACATGGTCGCGTAATCTATTGTCCCAACCCACATTGTGTGCCGTCCCACGTGATTACACGTAGCCACCTCTCAGCTATCTTGTCGCGGGTCAATAGACTCCGCCATCTTTGCTTGTAGGCTCACACGCCCCTGTTTAGGTTACGTACCATCACTGTGTGAGTAGGCCCCCCCCCCACTTCGTTTCCACACACTCACACACTTACATATATCTATATGCATATCCTTACCCCACTTTATTCATTTGACTTTAGGTATTAGACATATAATTGTATGATAGTGTTTGTTGATTTTGATATTACTTGATTTGATCATTTATTATTTTATTTAATAAACTGTTATATTTTAAAGAGCAGTCGTCTGTGATTACTCGTGCATATGTGTGTAATAATAACTGGATGTAGTGGCCTGTGCTCGAACTTAAACCTTCACTTTCACTCTGAATGTGTAATAGTATTCAGACTGTTGACATTATGAGTGAACGCTAATTATGAGACTTAGTTTTATTGTTTGGTTATTGGTCCCTGTTCGCAGGGTGGTGCCCCGTTATTAATAATCATTAATAATTGTTACCGACATTAATATTTCTATTGATGTCAAGAATTTAGTTTCTTAGATGCTGATAACCCAAACACGCTCCTTTACGTTCCCAACACACTGTTGCTGGTATTTTGGCCAATTCCTCCATGCAGATCTCCTCTAGAGCAGTGATGTTTTGGGGCTGTCGCTGGGCAACACGGACTTTCAACTCCCTCCACAGATTTTCTATGGGGTTGAGATCTGGAGACTGGCTAGGCCACTCCAGGAACTTGAAATGCTTCTTACGAAGCCACTCCTTCGTTGCCCGGGCGGTGTGTTTGGGATCATTGTCATGCTGAAAGACCCAGCCACGTTTCATCTTCAATGCCCTTGCTGATGGAAGGAGGTTTCCACTCAAAATCTCACGATACATGGCCCCATTCATTCTTTCCTTTACATGGATCAGTCGTCCTGGTCCCCTTGCAGAAAAGCAGCCCCAAAGCATGATGTTTCCACCCCCATGCTTCACAGTAGGTATGGTGTTCTTTGGATGCAACTCGGCATTCTTTCTCCTCCAAACACGACGAGTTGAGTTTTTACCAAAAAGTTCTATTTTGGTTTCATCTGACCATATGACATTCTCCCAATCCTCTTCTGGATCATCCAAATGCTCTCTAGCAAACTTCAGATGGGCCTGGACATGTACTGGCTTAAGCAGGGGGACACATCTGGCACTGCAGGATTTGAGTCCCTGGCGGCGTAGTGTGTTACTGATGGTAGCCTTTGTTACTTTGGTCCCAGCTCTCTGCAGATCATTCACTAGGTCCCCCCGTGTGGTTCTGGGATTTTTGTTCACCGTTCTTGTGATCATTTTGACCCCACGGGGTGAGATCTTGCGTGGAGCCCCAGATCGAGGGAGACTATCAGTGGTCTTGTATGTCTTCCATTTTCTAATAATTGCTCCCACAGTTGATTTCTTCACACCAAGCTGCTTACCTATTGCAGATTCAGTCTTCCCAGCCTGGTACAATTTTGTTTCTGGTGTCCTTTGACAGCTCTTTGGTCTTGGCCATAGTGGAGTTTGGAGTGTGACTGTTTGAGGTTGTGGACAGATGTCTTTTATACTGATAACGAGTTCAAACAGGTGCCATTAATACAGGTAACGAGTGGAGGACAGAGGAGCCTCTTAAAGAAGAAGTTCCAGGTCTGTGAGAGCCAGAAATCTTGCTTGTTTGTAGGTGACCAAATACTTATTTTACCGAGGAATTTACCAATTAATTCATTAAATATCCTACAATGTGATTTCCTGGATTCTTTCCCCCCATTCTGTCTCTCATAGTTGAAGTGTACCTATGATGAAAATTACAGGCATCTCTCATCTTTTTAAGTGGGAGAACTTGCACAATTGGCGGCTGACTAAATACTTTTTTTCCCCACTGTATATGTAGGTGGAAACTCCAAGCTTAGCTTCATAAAACTGTATAGAAAAAAGCTGTATAGAACATGTGTAGGCATTGCAGTATTTTTGGTGTTCTATGTTTTCCAAAGCAAATGGTGACATTTCTATTATTTGGTGTGACCGTTTTTGAGAGTTAAATTGAATGTGATGTGGTTATTTACCTTACAAATAAACTGCACTCGTCGGTTGTTTATGCCGTCACCTTCAGCAATGATTCTCCATAAATCCGGTTTACCTGGTACTAGAACAAAGAGAAAAAAGGAAACTAAAACTTAAATATCTCGTTTACCAAAATGACATAAGGAAAATCATCACACCGCATCTTACAAATCTACATTACAACATGAGAGTCGGCAGATTCAGAGGTTCAACAATTCCTTTCACCGCTGTAAATTTGCATTTAAAATAAGTTTGTCATCTTAACGGTTAGTGATCAATGAGGCTGCAAGACATTTTGCACAAATTGTGTTTACCAGGCTGCACCTTGTGGCAGTCAAACCCCATTTAGTGCTTACTTTGAACAGTGCAAATCTACATCAGACACTAATATAGAATAGAAACATAGAAACCCTTTTTATTGTCATATACACATACACGAAATTTGTGCTTTAAGTACTGACCGAGTGCAATAAAGGTCTCAAATACTTAGTTACAAGGACTCATATTAGCCGTGTTTCCATTCAATTGTCAAACAAATTTCAAACAAACTTTTGAAATGCAAATTAGGCCCGGTTCCATCAACTGGTTTTGAGCGAATAACTGCATCGCTACATCGTAGTTGGAACTATAGGCTCTGCATGGCTGTAATCCGTCAGTAAATAGTAGAAGAACAAGAGACAGCGAAGTGGAAACAAAGTTGGCTTGGCCACGTACGATAGAAAAACGGAGAGGTCTTTCACGTCAGCTAGTATTGGACATGTTTCATGCTGCTGGGAGAAAGGTGAGGATGAGATGATTGGATTAGGTTAGGCATTGACCTCAAGTATAAGAGGGTCAGGAAAGCCCACTGGTCAGCGGATGGGACCCGAACAAATCAGGTTGCCAGTACCTCGGCTAGTGGCCAATGCTAGCATTCGATTGCTGCACAGGGCGGGTCTTGCCGAGAATAGAAACGCGACGCCGACAGCAGAGACCTGCATTTCGGACAGGTTGCCAGGCCACAGTGCTAGCTACTACACCACTGCACCTCACCCACGAATTACCTCAAGCGAGCGAACAACCTTTTTTCCCAGTTAAGGAATTTTAAAGCATTTTGCTGTTTCCATACAGCTTTTCCAATGCCATACTTCAAAATGTGCATACAAATATGTGACTACAAATAGTTAGTGTGTCCATCAGGTATGACAGATATTTGACAATACATTTATCTGACGTTCTTCAATTGTCTTTGAACACCATGTTGTATTTGTTTGCCAAAAACACTTTTACTTGGTCAAAGCAGTCTGAAATGTCATATCATAAAACTCACAGTCCTCTGGTGTTCTCTTGGTAGCGTTGGTACTCCAATTGCTCCAGTAACCGTGGCCCTCTCTTGCGTTTTTGCAGCACACCTGAGTGAAATATACTGTGTCTGGATGAAGGTTCTGGAGTCTGAAGGACTGTATGTCCATGGCAGTGTCATTAGGTGGTACCTAAAGGACATTAAACACAACTCTTTCATTGATTTGGTCAACTAATGATTAGAAAAGACAAACAGCAAACTTGTCAGTTGACCAGGCATCTACACGTAGAAAATAACACAAAAATATGGACCTGAAGAAAAAGAAGTTCATTTGAGTGTCCGAATGAGAAAAACATACTTACATAAGTCCAACTTTGAGATCCATGTTGGCAGAATCTTATTTTATATGTTAATCTCACATATTCTTTAGGAATAGGATGAGTCCAGTTTATCAGAAGGGAGGTGGGAAAACTCTTCTCGGAAATGACTTTGACATCTGATGGAGGGTTTGTTTTCACTGTAACAAAAGACACAACAAGCTGTCGTCCTTAGTCACATCTCAGCATTGTGACTGGTGTGTACAGGTTTTAGACCAGACTAGGTCAGAGCACGCAGACAGAAAGATGCAAACTTACCAAACATGCCGGCATCCTCATCCAGATGCTCAGACTGTATTTTCCCCAGTTTATTGTGTGCCTCCACCCAGATCTCCAGCGTCATATGATTGGGGAAAGTGGCTTCAAACTCCACTTGGGCACTGTTGTTTTTGGTCGACACATTATAGTGCTTAGGACCGCTGATAAAAGATTTGAATACCATTTAGAGGACTCAACAGCAAGGCCTACACAGTGATACATACAAATGGAATTCTTCCAACACTTTTCACAATACTTTTTTACATATTCCAATTTCCAACCTTTCAGCCCTCTCACTATAACACATAAATATATGCCCATCTCAGACATGAAATCTGTAACACTGCTGGCTTCATCTGCCTGTTGATGAAGAGCAAACGTGATGGCTTGAAATAAAACCAAGGAACAGAGCAGTGGTGTCAGTTCTCTCACTGGCTGCAGCAGTGATCAAATGTAAAATGTAACTTGTAGTTGAATTATCTCTGTGCCTTGACTGACAATTATTGTCGCAGTTTGATCATTTATGACATCACGTCCTTTTACGTAGCTGAGTGCGGGGGGAATTTTGTTCAACGGAAAACGTAATGTGCCCTTCACACACACGGTCAACACTTGATTTTGGAAGATGGAAAAACATAGCTGCACAGGCCTCGATGGGTTCAAAGGTGAGGTCTGTTGCACTTGTGACTAGTGTTGCAGCGGTTCACGGATCGATCAGTGATCCGTTCGGTTCACACCTCACGGTTCGGTTCACACCTCACGGTTCGGTTCACACCTCACGGTTCGGTTCACACCTCACGGTTCGGTTCACACCTCACGGTTCAACAAGTCCCTGAATAGCAATGCAGAGTGTCAGTGAACAGATATAAAGTAGTGTGTTCACGTGAACGGAGCAGGTTAGAAGCATTTAAATGGTGAAAGTCATGGCGAGCGGAGGAGCGTCAGAAGCTCCCGGCGTCATTTAAGTCGCAAGTTTGGGAGCATTTTGTCTTCCCTGTAACTTATAATGACGGATAAGGGTGGTGGACAAAACAGTTACGGTATGTAGGCGTTGTTTAAAGAGAGACACACGACGGCAATACATCCGGCATGTCCACACATATGAAGCTCCACCATCCGGTCTGTCAGCGACGGGGGCCAAGCCACAACAACAACAACATATCATCGCGGCATTTAAGAAAGCGTTTGTGGCAGAATCAGACCGGGCTAAAGCTATTACAGCATCTATTGGGGTCTTTATTGCTGCAGACATGAGGCCATACTCCGTTGTGGAAAACAAAGGATTTCACGGAGAGCTACGTGATTGTGACCGCTCACTTCATCACGGCGGAGTGGGAGATTCATAATCCGGTGCTGTAGACACGCCCCCTCTGGGAGAGTCACACAGACAGGTGCTGTAGACACGCCCCCTCTGGGAGAGTCACACAGACAGGTGCTGTAGACACGCCCCCACCGGGAGAGTCACACAGACACACACCTGGTGCAGGTGCTGACAGACGCAGTAGAGTGGAAGCTAGACAGGCCCAATAGTCACCACAGAAAGTCCTCTCCCCAGACAATGGAGATATTCTAAGTTGTAGAGCATTTCACAGTAATGGTAAACATTATTACAGTGTATTTGAATGACATAACCTGACAGGAAGTAAACATAGACCCAAGTTGTTGCCGAGCAGTTCAGTTCAGTTGAAACAGTGGAAGCTAGCTCACTGGCTGTTTCTTTCTTTCAGTATTGATCAAAGGACGAGGGTATCAACATGCCTCATGTTGCACTTAAACTTAACAGAATTGAGTATTCTTTAATGTTTTATTTTTATTTGTTATTTATTTCATTTTGTTTCACATTGGACATCTTCAATATTTTTGTTTTTATGTAAGACTATAGCACAAAGTTCTTTGCTTTAAGTGTTCTTGAAGTTCTTAAATAAATAAATGAAAAGCAAAGTTATATTTGTCTCCTCCCCTTTTCTTTGCTGATCCAAAAAATGATCCGAACCCTGACTCAAGAACCGTGATCCGAACCGAAGCGTGAGGTTTGTGATCCGTTGCACCCCTACTTGTAACCAAAGTCAGCTCAAATGTAGAATGGTGCTATAGTGGTTTGGTACATCACTGCTGCACAGGGTGTGGAAAAAGCTTGTTGTCACTACTATCTGGCAGGGCAAGCAGGATTAACAGACTGAGTGAAGGGACTTTTTAAAACTGCTCAGCGTTTCATTTTATCAGCAGAATTATGTCAAATAAAATATTGTCGTTAATCATCCTTAAGTCAAGGTGGAAATTCCCTCCAGACGTTCCTGAGATATCCCGTTCCTGAGAATGGATCGGACGGACAGACAACCAAAACAGAACATTTATTTTGCCACATTAGGCATAAAAACTTCTAGGGGTATACTCACGGGTTCACTGCGACATACAGTTTGTATGATGTATGGACGTTTTCGGTTTGACGTCCTACTGGGTCCCACTTACAGCTGATCATTCTAGAGATGTGCTTCTTCTCCTGAACGGCTACACAGGACAGATTCTCAGGCTTCCCCGGAAGATCTGACATCGAGACAGTCAACCCAGACACATCTTATTTGCTTCATTTTTTAGTAGATGGTGTTTTTATAGATACGAAACTACATGTTTACCTCTTTTTTTTAATGACACAGGTATCAATGTATTTGAGAAACAACTCAAAGATAATAGTAAGTTTATGTTTAATCACAAAAATGTGTCTACTATTTGTTCAGACTGAATTTTGCTTTTAAGCTCAAATTCAGACTACACTATTCCTTAGGCTCAGAAAGTCTAAGGGAACCGAACACACTGGATATACTTAATAAGCGTCCACATCACTGTAACAGTTGGTCTGCGAGCTCTCAAGGATGTTACCGGCATGTGATCATGTGAAATGTGATCATGACTAATAGAAAGAATGACCAAACATAGAAGCATTAAATACAGGTGGTTAGAAAACCGCTACCGATTTGGAAGTCCTGACAACTCAAACTTACAGCCTTTCTCAAGGTAGATCCCGTGAATAAATTTGCCTCTGTTCAGGGCACAATAGGGCGACTCTTTCTTGCAGAGGCAATATAACCACTGAGATTCTCCGGTGATGGGGACAGTGACATTGAGAGCAGATTCGTTGATCTTGGTGTATTGTTCTTTGGGTACAGTAGTCTCAGACAGATTCCAGTAGAGGTCATCTGCTGTGACTTCGGCTGTGTTGATGATCATGCACGTAGCCGTGAAGTTGGTCCCGATCTCTAAAGCTGGAGACTGTGGGGCTATCACCAAATGGTTGTTGTGTTCTGAAGTTGAAGGAGAGCAAGGCCATCAGAAAACAGTGTCAAATGAAGCTAAAAGTAACACCTGTTACCTTTATCTTCAGAAGACTAACACAACAAGAAAACAATTCAATGTTCGTTCTCAAACTAGTGGAACACATTTCTCCGACTGGTAGGTACACTGCATGCCCATCAGCTCAGCAGACTCTTAAGGAGCCACTACAACCTGCAGGGCAAAGGTCATGTGACTGCGCATTCAACAGGAACAGGGGGGGGGGCATGTTCACCTTTTTCAAAATCCCCTTTTTGGGTCCATTAAATTAATATGGGTTGGTGGCTATAAAATAGTTCTCATTTTTATATTTTTTAAAAAGGGAGTCATTAAAATGGAATGTATGTCCAGGTACAGTGCAATGAGAAGGTATAATCATAATATACTGCTCATGTCAAAGAGTACTCGACACTTTGACAAACAAAAGCTAGCACAGACATTGCAGTGATCTTGACGTTCAGAAGGGTTCTGGGTTAAACATGCAGAGACTAAGAGGCCTTTACCACTTTTCTGGCAAAATGCTTAAACTAAGCAGGATAGCAATGTTAATGTCTTGCTTTTAAATAGCTGGGAATATGAGAAAAGCGTGTAGGGTTACAGAAAACGGAATACAAATCTTGTGTTTTTTTCCTGGGTGAGGACTCCACCCACCCACTTTTCAAACCATTGTTACACCCTGGACAAGGGTAGCCAAGTAGGGAATTCATCCTCCATGACATCTGTTAGGTCTCAATGATACACACTATGGGCCTTGGTGAGAAAAAAACTGAATGGAAGCATAACGTAGTTTGTTTTCTCCACAAGGTTGCTTTAAGAAGCAGGTGGGGTTAAATGTATTCTCAAGGCAGACATACTGACTTGTTATAGCTGGAGAAAACTGATGGAACTAACAGCATCAACAATGGTTAATGTGACATGTGTGCACAATACCAGGGCCCTTGAGTTCAAGCATCTAAATGGAATGCACCCATCATTAATGTTATTAATTCCACCAGTGTTTCCTGCTGTGAGGCGTAGAAATGACCGTGGCAAAAAGATCTAGTGCACATCATTGTTAAAGTGTTAATTTAAACGTTATTGTGTCCACTCCAGGGCAGCAGCAGATGAGACATTACGCATGCAAACAGCAGCAGAGAACTAGACGTGACAATGTGTTCAGCCTCTGTGTGTCTCCTGAAAGACAAACAGTGGCAGGACTCAGGATGGAGAAGGCTACTGACCAGCTGCAGCAGGAAGAGCGGAGGCAACGCAGGCTAACACCAACAGCTGGAGAGACACCATGATGACGACTAGCTAGGAACATAAACAGAGAACAAAACGTCAGACTGGAGAAAGTACCGTTAGCCTCACTTCTGTCTTAACCATAAACGCTACAAACTCACCACTTCACCACCTAGCCTCAGTAACTAACGCTAAACTAGTCATTGAGAAACGACGTCACGTATTGGCTGTTCATCTGACCCCTCTTTAAGTTCCATGTTCTCTGTTCTCACTTTGCTAAGATACTTGTGTTAACGCTAGCTAAGAATGCAGTGTTAGCTAATAGTGGCTAACGTAGCGTTAAGTTGTTCCATAAAAAATAAGCACAGACTATGTAGCGTGTGGCTAACAACGTACGTCACGTTACATAGTAGTCACAGCGCTGCGAATTCAATTTTAGGATTGCATTGAGAGCTCACATTTTCGCCATCCCTGTTAACGCCATGTTGTTTCCGCAGTCAAAAGCAAGACGTTATCACTTACCTAACTGGCTTCAATGTTGGTCCCTGTGTGATCTCACATCGATACCATATTCATGTATTGCTTAAATCGAACAATCGCCAAAACAAGAATTTTAGCTGTATTTTTTGTCACGTCCCAGTGATTGTGGGGTAGGACCGCCCACTTCCCGTCAAGGGAAACTTGTGTCGCAACATGTTGTGCGTGTTGCGCCACACCGACACGATCTGACAGCAAACTGATAGACCCACCTCCCTACTGGTGAGCTCTTTGGCATACTAGTGAGAGTTTAGCGATCTGCTTGCATGCTCAGTGAAGACATACTGTTTGCTGATTCGTCCGATAAATTGTCCGTCAAACATATCTGACTAATCGGTGGTTTCCTCTTTTCCTGTCTCGGATATACGCCCACCCCCCTGATATTTTCCAGTATGTCTCCGCCCCTCTAGTTCAAAATAATGCACGTGCCCGTAAAGGTTTGTGAACATTGACGTTGCAGAACAAGACAACACATGATGTGATTGGGAGGGGATCATTTTACTGTGGTTGCCTTACCTTTACAAATCAGATTGCTGATTCGTTGTAAAGAGTTTAATGTCCAACAGTAGAGTATTGAGGCCTAACAGGCTGCATGTGTGCCAACTCAGCAAGCAGGAAAAGTATTATTTATTCTCAAACGGAGAGACAATAGCCAGTCAGTGAAAACGTACAACCCAATGTAGCAGGTTATATCATTATGCAAAATATTTCAAAAAGCTTACAGTTACACAAACTGATAAAAAAAGAATAAAAGATATGTCAAACAACACTGGCAAATCTAGGCTGTTACACAAGGGAGGTCATGAAAAGGGCAGACTGTATGTGCATCTTTTTATAGATTTGTCAGCCAACTTCGGTAATCCACATCTGGCAGCCCTGGATTAGAAAATCATTACATTTTCCAAGATTGAGAACTAGTCTCTGTATATTGTCAAATACAGGGCATTTTATATGCATCTAAATCTTCTCCAATCACAGACTTTCAAATTAGGATTTAAGGCGTATTTGATGAGCAATGCAACTTAAATTATACATACGTAGTTTTCTCTCTCACCTCCTATCTTTTCTAGTATTGTCTTGCTGTTGCAGTAATTCCAATCCAATCCAAACGTACTCAGAGCATATTTAAAAACAACAACAGTTGACCAAAGTGCTGTATGATTAAATAAAGTAAAGGACATAAATACAATGCAGTAAAACTACATAATAATAACGTAAAACCATAAGGGCACAAATTCAAACAACAAATAAAAACGATGAAATCATAAATTCATAAAAGCAAAGCCATTAGAGCAACTCTTGTTGATGTCTTTTAAGACAAGACTTAAAAACAGGCAGTGTAGGGGCCAGCTAATTGTGAAGTTGTGTTCCAGAGTCTCCGGGCTGCAACTGCAGTCTGCTCACCTACTCTCCTCTGTGCTTCGGCCTCGATCGTGGGACAGCTACTGATCAGCTGACCTGGGTGACCTTGGTGGGACATATGTTGTAAGAGGTCTGATAGATAAGATGGAGCTAGCCCATGTACGTAAACAATACATCTTAAAATCCATCCTAAAACTATTGATAAGCCCCAACCTTACTGGTGTTTTTATGAGTACTTTTTCATGTTTTGGTGTAATTAAGACATAGACACAAGATCACTCACTCACACACACACACACACACACTACTAAGTCAGCACACAGAGCCGAGACTGTGGAGTGAAGATTAATTGAGTAGCTAATAAAAGACTGATAAAACCTTTTCAAAGTGCAGATTCAGTGCTTTGGTGGGCTTTAAAACCAGACTAAAACCTCTGACATGTCAAGTGTATCTAAAAATGATTGCAATTGTTTTTACACACTTTTTCTAAAATCTTTATAAGAAAGAGGAGTTTGGATATAGATCTAAAATTGGAAAGGATTGATGTCCAGATTTGAACACAATCATTTGTGGAATCACGTAGAATTCAGAAGAGGTACTTAGTTGGGAGGAGACGTGAAGAGCGCTTCACCTCTCCACGGATCCCACAGCGCCTCCTCACCCCCAGGTTGATCTGCTGCCAGGCCTCTCATTGCTCAGTCACACCGGCCTCTCTCGATCGCTTTTGTCCCTGCAATGCTCTGCCGCTGTGCTCTTTTCACCGGGGGGTTATTTGGCTTGGTCGTACCGGTCATACAGTCTTTTCTTCCTCTCCGCAACATTTTTTGTCATAAAAAATTGGCTAATTATGTGACCCATCTTTGTTCTATGGCACCCAGCTTAGCAGTTTCTAAAGGGACCAGTGGGTTCTTAACTGTAAATGCAGTAACCTTTGCCGCACACAGAAAGTCTTTGAATTTCTCTGCCAGGAAGGTGCTCTGTTATTGGGCCATGATAGCACCAAGCCCACATTTACTGGCGTCAGTGGAGAGCCGCCCTGGACTGCAATCGGTGCCTGCTAGAAGTTCATTAAGGGGTTTAGCAGTTTTTACAAAGTCTTGTTTCAAATGCCTATAATACTCCACAAAACGGAGGAATGTATGGACTTGCATTACAGTGCTGGGCTGCAAATCTGAAACAGCTGACACTTTGCCTGGGTCGGGTGAGACCGTCTGGCTGCTAACCACATGTCCCAAAAACTTCACCTCTTTCTGTAAAAGCTGGCATTTCTCAGTGCGGAGGTTGAGGCCATAGCATCCCAGGGCCTTGAACACTGACTCCAGATAGTCCAAATGATCTAAAAAATGTTAGACACTGTTAGTTGTTCCCCCAAGCATCGTTGCAACCTTTGAAAGGTGGCTGGTGCACTACACAAGCCACCAGGCATCCTTGTCCTCGACCACCCCTTGACTAACATCAACTCATCTATTTACTCTCACACTGCCAGGGTCAACAGTAGAGATAGTGGCTAGTCTCTGGAACCCTTGGAGATCAACAGCATAAGAGTGTATGTTCCTTACCCTTAAGTGGATTCAACCCCTCCTCACTGCCCCTAGGGCCTTAGCCACCTCTATACCCCCATAATCCCCTAGGGCAGTGGTTCTCAACTGGTCTGGCTGCAGGACCCACCATCACCCCTTAATGACAAGCCACGACCCAAATCGAGGAAAATGTTCAACTTCTCAAATGTACAGTATTTAATGAAAAGATGGTTCAGTTTGAACCTGAGCTGAAAATGTCCTCTGCAGTCGTAGTGTAGGGAGCTCTCTTATGCAGATAAATTCTGTCAGTCCCCATCCCACACATGTTTCACGTAAACGAGTAAACTGCTTTGTTTGTTATGTCTGTAGATTCGTCCATTTGTAATGCAAAATGACCACTTGCCCTAATTCAAGCTGTGGTCTGTTGTTTGATGTCATCCGACATGTCTTCAATTCGCCTACTTATAGTGTCATTTGACAGAGGTATAGTTTTCAGTTTATCCGCTGCGGATTGATCCAACAAATGCCGCTTCAGTTTTGACGGCTTCATGCTTTCTCGTGCCAGAACCTCGCTGCACAAAACACACTGAGGTTTTTGCCCTCTTTTGTCCTCAATGTAAGAAAATTCATATCTCATGTAGTCAGTGTCGTACTTGCATTTCACCATGCTCAATTAGCATGAAAACAAACTGTGTGGGTGTTCTTCTATACCAGGGGTATTCAAGTAAATTTCCAAAAGGTCCAGATTGAGAAAATCTCCTCGTGCAAAGGTCCGGAACATTACAATAATACTGTGTGTATTCTACAACATGTGGGATGCTGTGTCTTTTGATGGTGCTGCTTTTCAATCAAAGGCCACATCGAGGACTTTCTCTCTTGTAACGCAAGATGATCATCTTCCATTATCAATGTAACTAAAAGGAATACAAACAAAAACAAAATATATATTTAGGAATTATATTAAGATTAGGCTAATTTACTTTGATATTATACAGTAGAGCATATCCTACATTTTGAATTGATCAAATCAAATTACCCTTACAAAAACATTCTGGTATAAACATCAAATTAAAGACGTAATCAAAAATGAAACAAGTAATCCTTTACAATGTAACTAAATCCAATTCATTTTTTTCAAATACAGTTTCAACCCAACCCCAATTGCCTGTTGATATTTGGCTTATTTAAAATGTTTTACTCTCTTATGTCACTGACTGTTATAGTCTGATATCCTTTTTCTTATGACATTTGATTGCTATCCTGAAGTAATGGTGAAGTCTCTTTTTGCTATTGCTTGTTGTGTCTTTGTTATCATTATTCTTGTCAGTGTACATTTTGGGACCCCTTGACATCATTTATCCTGATACCATTCATTTGGCTTTGGTCTACTATGTACTTAGTTGTGGCCTGTGTTTGGGGAGGTCATTGGTTGGATCCCTGAACCAACAGGCTAAATATGGGAGGGTGAAATGCTGAGACCTGCTGTATGATTCTCACCTCTTCATCACAAATATCTAGCTGGAATTCATTGGGATTTATGTTTTCACATGAATCACTCCATCGATCAAGTCAAGTCACTTGTTTTGTTTATTCCAAAGGGTTTACACTGGTGATTTTGCATCAGTACATGGGTAACAACTCAGAAACAATCAAACTTTACGTCATGTCAAAGTAAAAAGAAAAACACAGACAGATATGACTACTTCAACCAATTATTTGTTTGTGATGGTCTGTCGATCAAAGTGGTAAGGTAATGAACAATGTTTATGTCAGGCCATGACATCACTGTAAAAAGTGATAACATCTCAAAGACATCCTAGAATTATGATATCTATCTTTTCAGGAAATCTATCTTTTTTTTTTTTTTTTACCATATAAAACCTTTTTTCAGTTAGGTTAGATGTCAGTATTACACCTCCAACCACCACTATCATCTTATAATATGGAAAATCAGTCCCACTCTCATATTTCTACTAGTTTGTTCTATTTGTAATTTAAATTACATTAATTCATCTAATGTTGTGACATGCCTAATATACCAGACAAGAATGACTTCAAATAATGTAGCCAATCAGTGGTTCATTTTACTAAAAAGGTTAAATTAAAAGACAAAATATGCTTTTGGTCGTTCCCTTCTTAAATACATATGTGTGTTCTGATCTGATGCCCCAATCAGCATTTGTCAGTACCTTCCGAAACTGTTAGAAATAACTAGAACAAAAAATATTAAAAGGAGCGTTTTCTGATTCGCCCCAATTAAGCATTGGTTATCATTATTCTTAAAAGATGGTAATTCATAGAGCTCTGCTACATACACAAATATGCCCAATGAGAAATGCCTTCATCATGTTTGGTCAAACAAGAGAAACGTTTCTAGCAGAAACAATTGCTATGGTTGTGCCCAAGAGTGAATGGAAGGAACGTTTTATTGATTGTACGATCATTTCTGATGACCTTTACAGTGCATGTACACAAAGTAGCTTTCAGTTTGCAATAGACACTTGCTCATGTCTCTTAAGGGGCACCATAGATTTACATATGAACCAATTCTCACATGACTTGTTTTTACCTATAACACTTGTTGATGTTACACTGAGAGATTAAACCTTGTCCTCCACCTAGCTCTGTAAAGGTCTCTATAGATTGTTGAGCTCCAGGAGTGTTTGGTCCAAGGTCTGGTGCATGTCCAAGTTCTCTTCTTTGGCTTGGGCCAGTTTCTCTGGAGAAGGAAACAAAGTCGCAGATGAGTTTCCATATATATTTCCTCTCTTGAACTGAAGATACAGAACCTCTAATTCTACAGTATTTATGCAGTCTGTGAATTGTTGTTTTACCATATAAAGGTGTGCTAAGACAGACAAGAAGCTAATAATGAAATGCTGCTGGAGAACATCGCAAACCTGCTTTAAAGGAGACAAATCATGCTAATTTTAAGGTTCATACCTATAATATGGTTTTCTACTATAACATGTTTACATGCTTTAATGTTCAAAAAACATTTTATTTTCTCATACTGTATTTCTGAATATACCTTCATTCACCCTCTGTCTGAAACACTCGTCTTAGCTCTGTTTCATTCCCTCCTTGCTGCCAGTGGCAGTACACAAAGTGGATAAGTCTCCTTGTGTTCCACACAGGTCAGGATCTTATGTAAACAAAGTCTACCTGCTACCTGCTACAGCTACCTGCTACAGCTACAGCTACCTGCTAGTCCCAGCTACAAATAGCACGTAGTAGCCTACCTCCGGCAAAGAGGCCGGCTACCTCCAGTAGCCGGCCTCTTTGATCTTCTCACTGTTGGCCTGGCATTTACTGCACTTAATGGCTCCATTAAATCCGTATTTCACTTCTATATTTTTCCAGTCCAACAAAGGTAAGCACACTCTGGGCTGTGTTTGTCATCGTGCCTGCTACTTTATGGTCAGAGTGCACCTTGTTGCCCTCTAAGGCTGTGGTTGACAGACTACCTCTCCCTCTTTTCTCTCTGGAGGTTTTCGAGCATTCCTCTCATCGTGCTGGCTCGCTCACCAGCTACACTGACTGTCTTAAACAGTCTCTTGTGCTAATTTACTCCTTCTATTGCTAGATATTGCAGTTGTGTGCAGGGGTTAGAGGTTCTGATTCGCATCCTGTGGCCTTCTCACAGTACCCGCTCAGATTTTCTAGCTGGACCCTGGACAAAACTAGCATTGTTCTAGCTGAACAATGCTAGTGTGTTTCTCTTGTGGAGCTCAACTTCAGTTTGAGGATGGCCACGAGTTGTGCCCCAAGTGTCTGGGTGCAGGCCACCTTAGAGAGGCCCTTTCTGACCCATGTATTGACTGCAGCATTTTGACACTGGAGAGACTGCGTCAGGGAGAGGGCCTCCTGTTTGGAGATGACCTTCCACCCTCTGGGTCTGCTCAGAGAAACTGATTCACGCAAACAGCGGAAGAAACACAGAAGCAGGCCACAGGAGGAGCGCAGAAGCCCGGAACGCAAGAAGGCTGCAGAAGAATCTCCTGCCCTCCATTTAAATCCACGCAAATAACAAGTATGCATTTATTAGTGGAACCTTTATTTTCCATATATGATGAACTGGATGTTTACCTGGAGGCAGATTTCACATCTTTGCATATTCGGCAGAGCAGTGACTAAAATACTCCAGGTTACACTTAGCCCGGTTACAGATCTCGGAGCTGATTTAATAGAAAAAATATCAGTAATTTATTTATTTATCATTATCAGGCAGTTACACTGGGAATTAAAATGGCCAATAATAAGTACCAGATTACGTAGTTCATTTCCAGGAAATGATTAGGAAATTATCAACTCTAAAATATAATTTATTAACACCATTTCTGACAGTAATTATCAAAACATGAACTGGACTCACTCACCACATCTACAAAACATGTTTCACCAGCAAAAGGCCAGAACTCACCTAAAACATACATAACATGTGTCAACATTAAAGGAACAGTGTGTCAGAGATATAAAGGACTTCTTCTAAGCTAACGAAAACATTACCATTCTGAGTTTTGGGTGATTATACATTAATGAAAATATAGTTATCAATATTATATTCCATTTCTGTCAATAATCCCCCTAAATGTTACATACTGTCACAATGAAACATCATTTGTCGCTGACTGAATCAAGGCAGTCAGATTTATGAATTGTGACGTGACGGTGTATCCATGGAGTATATTTTTCTCTGTGAACTGTAACCAAGTGTGACAACTGTTCAAAGATCATCACACACCCTCAGTGTAGATGACAGATGCTACTCTCTTTGCCGATTGTAGAGTCCAACACAGGACACTACGGTCCGCCTGCATTTGGAGAGACAGCGAGTGCGACTACTGACAGTGGCAAGCGTGTGCCACTGCGGTGCCAGTGCCACAAGGAGGATCTCGGCCTTGCTGTGCATTTGTGTTAAACGTTGCTTATGTCAATGGCATGTGAAGTTTTCATCAATGCATCACTACATTTCTGAGAAACCTTTGGATAAGTAGGTGTTGGTGAGTTGGGTGTTTGATAGCTAGTATTCAGGTGGATTTACTGAAAGTCTTCATACATGTGAGGACCCAGTTTCAGGCTCTAATCCAACAATATCAGTTCCTCAAGAAAGGTGAGGTTCTTTTTTCAGCATGCTGTCAGACAATAAGTCACATAAGGATGGACGCACGCAAACTATTTAATCAAGGTGTGTGAGCAGAAAGAATCTGACTGTGACCATGTAAGTAATCAACTGGGAAAGTTTCATGATGGTATCTATTAAATATTTCTACCCCATTTACCAAAATGTACGTCATTTTACAATACTTATCTTTAAAGGCTGTTTTCTCTATATTATTTTCTTTTGTCAGACTCTGATCCAGAAATCTCCACTTCAGTAGCTCTTACATTCACCAAACTTTACAATTTCATTCCTCTCTATACTCTGAAGGTTTTTACAGAGGAGTTTGTTCATATATCAAAAACCTTTGACTATTATGTCAACAAAAAACAATAAAAGAATTTGAACATGGCTTTATCCAATGTTCTGTTATGGATATGTATGCGAATTGGCACATATTTGATACGAAAATGTCTCATTTGGATATTTAAACATACATTTCAGAAAGCTAGTAATACAAAATAATTGTCTTAATAAAAAAAATCAGATGATGAAGATTCATGGTGATATATTATTTCAAATTTTGCCGAGTCACCTTAACACGGGCACCATGCGAGTCAAATAACAGCAAAATGTAAATTGGCTTAACCATAAATAGATCCTTGTGAAACAGATGTATATTAGCCTATGTTTGATCTGTTAACCTTTTGGTCATCTCAGTGTATTATTATTCAGCCCTTTTAGTATAAAATCCTTGCCCTTAGCTTTCTGAGCAGAAAGGTGCAGTTTCTTTGTGTATGCGTTTCTCTCCCTGCTGCACGAAGGGTCATCAGCAACCATCGTTCTTCTTTGAAACATAAGGGGATGGTTCAGATTTCTTTGTGGAGTTGTTGAGGTACTTATCAGTAGATGATGGTCAGCACTCCCCAGTTTGGAGTAACAGACAAGAGTACCAGCACAGGATTGAAGCAATATACTGCTGTGGACTGGGCAGCAGCCTAACGTATTTTCGAGGGCTAAAAATTCTGTTTAAGTGTACGCTATATTTGGAATACTTTCTCTGCTCTAACTACTACTCTGAGGCAGCGGTAGACTTTGTCGCTGTCTCGGGGGAATTTGTCTCTCCCATTAAAAGTCTCCTCCAGTGTTTGGTGCTTTGGTCCAGCACCAATGCTTCCCAAGTAAAAACTCCTGACGTAAAACGAAGGAACTGATCGGGCTCAATATCTCAATATAGCCGATACCTATCAAATAAAAAATGTCTTAATTGGCCCCGATATCGATCTATGAGACTTTGACCAGGACATCCCTACTTATTTCTGCTTACAAATACATTATGGTGTGCTACAAAGCAGCTGTTAATTATTAATATACTGCTTATGAATATTCAGTAGAAGAACTAAACAAAACAGAAAGACAGGAAGGAGACAGAAAAGTAGAGAGAGCTTTAATACATTTATTACAGAGGGGGAATATTCAATAAAGAGAGGGCATTAACTCAGTGAACCTGCAGACACACAGCAGTGACTGGGTGAGCAATAACTTAACCCTGTACAAAGACTAGTGCTGTGTAACACGGGTGGGTGGATTCGGCACATTGCATTTCTAGAATCTTCCAGCCCCTGATACCATTGTGGAATGGAACAAAACAACAAGCAGGCGGACAATAGTTCAGACAGGAAGGAGGAGCAAAGAGGAAGTGAGAGAGCCGCTACAGTGTAGTCATGTCGTTGAGGGCCAGGTCCAGCTCCTCGCTGAGAGCCTTGCCCTTCAGCTTCTGAGCATACACCTCATCTGGAGGAGGACACACACACACACACACACACACACACACACACACACACACACACACACACACACACACACAGAAAGAGAGACGAGGGACCCAACAGACGATGCACAGAACGGAAATGGAAAGAGGCAAAGAGACAGGAAAAAGAAAATGAATCGAAACTGGTAACCTCTTAAACTGAATCAGCAAAACTCCAAAACTGGTGTTAGTCTCGTCATCACATCAGCTGGTTACTGCAGCTCACCAAGATTCAACTTCAAGCTCATTCAGAAAAATAATGTGATCCCTGATCCCTGTAGTCTGGGTTCAAACACACACACAAACTGGACAAGGCCATGCAGTGTTGTCAATTACTGCTCCACTCAACAGCTCTATATACAACACATGCCAGAGACAACAGGGTCACAATCACCCCAAACAGCATTAGGAAATGATTAGTGCATTCAGGTAAACCTCTGGAAGCCATGTTGGAAGTGCACACTTCCTGGAAACAGTACATGTGAGAAGCTTGTCTCTGACTTGGATGTGTCAATAAAATCAGATCATCACACCACTAACAAAGTCTTACTGTTACCTCAATAGCAGTACTCGGGTTTCTATACGTAGAATTTATACGTATACACGCTGCAATAACATCGTGTATACGTAGAATTTATACGTATACACGCTGCAATAACATCGTGTAAAAACACCATGACAAGTATAAAAACCGCAATCAAAATGAAAAAGTATAGTTCGAAAAACATACTTATCAAATTAACTAACTCATTCTGCAGGATGGCTCCTTTCAGAGTGTAAATGGTGGGCGATTGTGGCTAAGTGGAGAGCAGGGTCGTCCTTCAATCAGATCGGCGGTTTGATCCCCGGCTCCACTAGTCGCATGTCAATGTGTCCTTGAGCAAGACACTTAACCCCAAAAATTGCTCCCGTAGCTGTGCCTTCAGGTGTATGAATGTGATAGAATCTGACAATTTACCATTTAAATTGCACGATTCTTTTTTTGTTGTTTTCCCTTTTGCAGGCAAAAAAACCTGGCAGCGTTACCATGCACAGTAATCGCTCCACTACTAAGGCGCTCCTTAATATTGTCACAATAAAATATAAAATAAAATAGCAATAGCAGTATGAAAGCGCTTTGAGTGGTCGGATGACTAGAAAGGCGCTATACAAGTACAAGTCCACTACCATTTACCATTTGCCAGCTGAAGAAGTTCTGGTTTAAATTTGGAGCAGAAGTCTTCGCACAGCTGTTATATGTCGCAAGTGTGGACGTAAGGGGTCCCATGCAGGGCACAAGGGTATATGCGTGCAGGGATGACCCCAATAGCTCTTAGGGACCTACACCTCTACTCATAGAATCTATGAGTTACAGTACGTCAGTTACGTTACTGTTGATGACAAGTCAACATATCCTGATTTTGCTGATTCAAAGCTTTTAATTAACAAACAACAGTGGACTTTTATTGTTAAGAATTAATAGGAAACTGTGTTCAGCACCAAATTAGTTTGGACACACATGCGGACACAGCTTGGTTCCGACCGGGCATTTCCGTTCACTAGAGTAACAAAAAGACAAGTGTAACCAGGGCCATTGTTTTGGAGGCTAATGGCTGAACATCAAAAGCTCAGGGTGGCATTGAGATCACCCAGGCTCAGTTTGACTGCCTTTACAGATCTTCACATAACTGTGCTCATTAAGGCTACAAGTCCACACAGGTGAAAACCACAGAGATAATGCGTCTCAGTATCACCATTCTGTCATTGGGTATGTTAATCTGGTGATCACTGTGTATTTACACACTAAGACCACGTCCACGCTCAAGCTGAATAACCATGCACATGCAATCATTTAGATAGAGGTGATTTGGCTTCATCAGTCAAAACAGTACAGATTTCCAGCCAGTCATCAATTCAGTTCCAACAGCAGAACTGGAACCAGCAAGGGTGCTTGTTATTTTAACATTATTCACTGCATGACAGAGAGCAGGCATGTTACACAGGTGAGTGTTGAATACCTTCCAAGTCATCGATGGTTTTCTCCAGCTTGGCCACAGACCTCTCTGCAAACTCTGCACGAGTCTCAGCCTTTGAAACAAACCACAGCACAGCATGGGTCAATGCACACTCTTTGATATGTGTTCGTTAACTTCATATGGCGTAAGCAACAGAAACAGCAACAATGTAACAGAAAGAATCTCACCTCTTTCAGTTTGTCACTAAGAACTTTAACTTCTTCCTCATATTTGTCCTCCTTTTGTGAGTACTAAAATCCAAATAGAAAAAGGTATTAAAATGCATTTACAACTCCATTATTAGCAACTAAAAGAAAACATACTTCATAAATGAATTTAATACACCATTCACAAATATTCTTGAACAGAAGCAAGGATAATTATGCAAAATTGGGTGGGAAATTAAACAGTAAAACGTTAAGACAGCTTTAGGGCATTTCAACCTTGCCATTAAGATCATTTCACCACAGTTTGTTTCTGAAACATAAGCCAAATCTTCTTTGAAAAACCCAGAAGGTTGTTTTAACAATATTTTCTGCAGTTCATGATGAAAACGTTATTTTTTAACTGATTTCAACTGATATAAAGATATGATCAATTTTTGGTTAAATGTTTTGGAAGTGGGGTTGTGTGAGGTTCTTCTCAATAGTCTGTGTATTAGCTCCAGTAGATGGAGTTTGGAGAAACCGACAGGAGTACCAGCACAGGAGCAAAGCAATGTACTGCTGTGGACAGGGCACATTCAGTTCAGTTCTCCATCAGAAAGGGCTGACTGATGTTAAGTTAAGGCGGTGAAATATTCTAAATCTAGTGCACACATTAAGTGATATTGATTTTTTAGGTGTCTAAAATGTGTTTTGCTGCTTCCCCCGTCCTCAACAGTTTAGTGCTCTGCTCCTGTACCGGTGGTCCTGTCTGTTTCTCCATCTACTGTAGCTAATAGATTGACTATGGAGAGGTTCTTCATACAACCCCACTTCAAAACACCCAAACTATATCTTTAATCTAAACAAAGATGCTATCTGGAAATGACATTGTTATATACTACCATACTTGTTACCTTATTATTATAAACTCTTATAAACTATAGGATCTCTTAAACCCTTTAATTACATTTCAAGATATTAAGACGTTTGATCTTGTCAAATGCAGAACTTGAATTAAAGGCTGCTATCAAATATTTTAAAAAATGATGTGGGTCTGCTGTGGTGCTGCTGAAAGGAATTATGGGACCTTATTATCTCCTTTCCTTTGGTAAAAGATGGTCCAGTGTATCCTATGCTAAAGGAGATAAGAAAAGAAGCAACGATGCCCCTTTTCTTAGCATTTAGAGAATTTGACCAGCTGTTATCATGGCTGATACTAAGATACTTTCCCTCATTAGGAACCTTCCTAAGCAAAAAGGACTTCATTTGTTCAAGGCCCTTCCTCCTCTGAACTATGTTTCTCATGTCTCTACCAGGCATCAACCTTTGGTTCTTAAAAGTGAAGCCAATGCTTCATGTGTTAAAGCTGCATTCTCTCTAGTGTCCACCAGGGGGCGACTCCTCTGGTTGTATAGAAGTCTATGAGAAAATGACTACTTCTCTCTTGATTTATTACCTCAGTAAACATTGTAAACATGAGTTTATGGTCTCAATCTCTAGTTTTAAGTTTTCTTCAATACAGCATGATGTTCATTTGGTAAATTATGGTCCATTTAGAGTCAAACAGACCATAAAGCAGGGGATGCTTTAGGGCGGGGCTACTGTGATTGACAGGTCTCTACCAGAGACGTATACGGTGTCTCTACGTTACTCCTCTGCAGTCCAAATATGGTCAATTCCTGTTCACTGGTTACAAAAAAAACAAGATTGCGACAGACAAAATTGCCAAACTCTAGGCTTCCAAACGTCAGTCAACAAAGCAATGGGTGACGTCACGACGACTATGCCCACATCATGTATCTATGGTCTATAAGTCTCCATAGTTGGCTAATGAGGACTGTATGCGAGTTGTTAAGTGGACATGGATTCCGATCACTGTGTGTTTGAATTTCTTTTATGTCGGTAGTTTTGTTGTGACTGGCCTGTCCCGTGGCTGAATGCCCCTCAGCTCCTACTGTACCTTCTCAGCCTGGGCTTCCAGTGACTTCAAGTTGTTGGTGACATTTTTCAACTCTTCCTCAAGGTCACCTGATTTACTGAGCAAGGCAAGGGGCAGGAAAAGCAAGAGAAGAAAAAGTAGTGATTTGAAAGGCAGGAAAGCAGACCCTGACATGGTTTGATTAACATGTCTTTGTCTGTCTTACTCAGAGACAGAAGCTGGATCGCTGTCATGAAACTGCTCTGTTCAACTCTGAGTAAGACAGCAAAGGAGGCTTTTATGTTTTTGAATGGAAAATGTATGCCAAAATTAAGATACAGATTAATCACAAATTGAAAAAAGAATTCTGTTGTAATTCTATATTTTTCCAGTAAGCCCCATGTGCAGACCCAGACTAACAACATGAATTGCATTTCTCAATACTTTCTGACTTCCCTAGTCTCAACCAATGAGCTCAGCTCTTCATCTTCGAGACGCAAGTCTTTGAAAATAGCTCATGAATTTAACTTTTCTTTTTTTTCAAAGGATCAGCTAAAACAGTTTGTTGTATCTCCCTCTCTGTTTTTGAACTTGAAATTCATTGTGCCCCCCCCCCCACACCCCCCAGCTATGATAACCAAACCTGTGCAATTCCTCGTTGGTTTTGGTCTTTTCGTGGGATTTGTTCACAAGAAAAACAACATAGAATTTCAGCAGACGTATACTTTTAGTACTACTTGAAGGACATGCTCGAGGATAAGTGCAAGCCAGACAGAAAACAAAGAGAGGGGTTGAGAGGCTGCAGGTCAGAGGAGCAGAATTAGACCCTGGTTGAGTTCGTACAGTAAGTACCTCTTCCTCACCGCACATCGTGGACTTCAAATTCTGGTCCATTAGTCTGAGCTCCTCCTCCAGCTCCCTCACTCTCCTGAAGGGGTTAGTCGGGGAGGTCGGGGGTGAGAGGGGACCGTGGGCAGGGCGGCAATAAAACAACAACAAACAGTAACAGGTCCCACACAGGCGGTGGTGGTGTGTTCAGGCATGCATGACATATAAACACACACCCAGCTAGGTCTCTATTCCATTTGTCCTGCAGCTTGTATTCACACATGGCCACATGATCAAATGAATAATCAATTAGTCGGTTAACGGAAAATAAATTGTCAACCATTTCAATACTTGCTTCAACGTTTAGGTCTTTTATAAAGCAAAATGTCAAAGTAAATTCAATGTGAGGATAGATTATGCTATTCGACTCTGCATTTTATAGCTTAAATAATTGATCAATTTGCTGTTAATCGAAAACAGTTGTTAAGAGAATCATGCAGCACCAAACGTCAATACAAACACTGAGGCTGGGTTGCACCAACAAGGATTAAACCATGATTTAACTTTTAATCATGTTCCACCAAAATTCGAAACTAGCTTTAAACTAAGAAATTTTAAAACCTCTCTGGAATGAATTAAAATTAAAATTTCTTGCACCTAAACTTTAAACTGCAATTGAAACTGTGATCCTGTATTAACTTTAAACTGAGACTTGAGGAGGTTTAACTTTTAAAATGGCTGCCTTTTTGAGATGGAAGTTCAATGAAGAAAGTTAAGGGACGGACTCAATCCAAGTGAGTTTCATGCATGGAAACTGTTCTGGAGCAGGTTTGTTCCTTCCTGTTGTCTGTCGTTTTATCTTCTGGTATTTGGTCACATTACTTTAATTCAGCCACGTTTTTCTCAAAGGAGGAGCAATTAGAGCTTCTCTCCCGAGTCATCATGAGTTACGTTAGGTTAACTAACTGACTTTTTAACTAGCTTATTATTTTATTTTTCCACTATTATTATTATTTATTGAGTTAATTTTATTTTTTATTTTATGATGCTGTTGCCTATAAGATTTCATCGATGCCGATCCTTAAGCTTGCGATGTCGAGACAAGACTGGGACGTTCTATTTGTATTTTTTATTTCCAACACTCCTAAGGCGGGTGGGCAGGGGTTGGCTTTCATATCTGTTTTGTTTTTCTTGAAAAATATGAAACATGGCTACATTTACCTTCTAGGTCCGACAGCACGCACAAATTCATTTTTTCATTTAAATTTGGTTGAGCAAGCATCTCCATCCTGATTAAGCTGTGTAATTGTGGTTTAAACTTGGATTTACTAAACAATTAAGCAACAGAGCTTAATTTTAAATCAGGATTTACTCATTTTTAACCTAGTTTTGCTAAACTCTGATTACAACTAATCGTATATTAAATGAATCCTTGTTGGTACAACCCATCTTCAGGTGATTATATTGTTGTAAAATAAGAAATTTGTCAATGACAAAGGGAATGTGTCAGATCACATTTTGCCGTAGTAGTGATCACATGATCTCTACTATGGAAACATGAATAATGTACAGTGGCTCTTGTGTCGGTGTGAGTTTTCATGGTGCGGGTGTTAACTTACGCCTCGGCCACCTCGGCACGCTCCTCTGAGCGTTCCAGATCACCCTCCAGGATCACCAGTTTACGAGCAACCTGCAGACAATCAGCAATCGGCACACACTCTGTTTAAACAGTGTCATCACACTGATAGTATTTATCCTCACTGTGTTCCAATTACATACTGTACTAATTGTAAAGAGCGTGTACTATATTCAGAGATGGGTCCCAAGTTAGTCTGGGCTATGGGGCCAAATACAAGACCAAGTCATAAACTCATTACCCAAAATTCACCAAATTCTACATTTTAAACAGTTAGTATGGTACTTACAGAAATACATTCAACTTTGAGTGTATTACTTTAAAATTAACTTTATAATGTTTGGTGTGTTGTCCCTGCTACACAGTTAAGTCATAATGTTTTGTTGACCCCATCTAAATCTTCACATGTGATCTGCTGTATCACCTGTTTCTGTCTGCTGGTCTGCAATGACAACACCCACCTTTACCTGAGAATCCTTTGTTAAATCTTTTTATTGCCCCTAGTTTTCTTTATTGAAGTCACTTTTCCAGAACCTGTTTAGAATGAGTGTGTAGTATTACTTGGTAGAGCTGAACTGGGACACAGCTCACTACATGTATACGACGTCCTGCAAAGACGTTGATAAAAAAACAGTGACTGCTCCACCTCTTCATATTTGCGGTCGGCCTCCTCAGCGATGTGTTTGGCCTCCTTCAGCTGCATCTCCTGGATCTCCATTTTCTCCTCGTCTTTTGATGCTCTGTTCTCTATGACCTTCATTCCTCTGAGTGACAAGAGAAACAGCCAGTCAGAATCAACTGTTCATGTGTGACTCACTATCTATAACGCTGTAACATCTTCCTACATGTGCTTGATCTGAACAGTATTCAGTAAGTGTTAAAGAGCCTCGTCTACACATCATAACTCTGAAATAATGTTGTCTTCTTCTACTGCGGAGGAGCTTCATCAATCTGACAACATAACCCTGAAGAAGTTCAAGGAAGATGAAGTTCTTCACCTCTCGCTCTCATCTGCAGCTTTCTCAGCCTCTTCCAGCTTCTGCAGAGCAGTAGCCAGTCTCTCCTGAGCTCGGTCCAACTCCTCCTCCACCAGCTGGATACGCCTGTTTAGAGATGCCACTTCTGCCTCAGCCTGTAGCGACACACACACACACACACACACACACACACACACACACACACACACAACACACTGTAGATAAGAGCCTAAAGAAGTCACATTATATCCATAACGTCCATGATAACTGCCTATATAACAGCAGACAGACTTACAAATTAAAAAACATAATCAGTTCAACAATTTGGGTTTTGTGTGATCTGTGTGACTTGCCATCAAAAAGATAATGATGATTAAAGCATCCAAATGATAAATATGGCATTCATTCATACAGTAGACCTTTAAGCTTGATTTCAATTTTAGTCATCCAAGTGGCTAATATGTTACACCACGTCGCCCCTCCGTACAGGTAAAATCAGCTAGAATACCTGAACACTGTGATCGACACACTGATCGACATAAAGTCAGGAAATATTTTTTTAAAGTAGAGGAAAGAAACAAAGAAACAAACAATGGTAGTAAAAACAACAGGCAACCAGCGCTGCTTAAGAGTAAGAAGGAAGAGAGCAAGATCTCAGACCAGAAGCACCAAAGATGAGACGATAAGGTAGAAGCTGATGTTAGATGACAAAGCTAGAACACATTTGTCTGATTGAAGGTGCAGAATAATTAATACAATTATACATTTCATAAATCTGTATTTGTTTTAGTGCTGTTCTACATCTTATAGAAGAAGGTTGAAAAAATGTTTTAATTCTGAGGAAGACAGCCCAGACAAAAGAAATACATATTTCATACACTGATCAATTTCAGCAGTTGGGTCTATTTTGCTTCCATAACGTGTCTTCTTCCAGACTAGAGGAAAGAAAACATCCAACATACACATTCAGGTGTTTATTTTACCACTTTGTCTATTTGTGTCTGTAGATTTCTAATAAATTCATTAAAAGTTACCATTCGATAATTCATCAAATGTATATTTAAACGTAACTCTGCAGAAATCTCCAGCTCAGCAGCACTTACATGTTTCATTCCTCTCTATATTCTGAAGGTTTTTACAGAGAGGTTGGTACATAAATCATTCATAGCCGATACATACAGCATTGTATTACTAAAAACGGGAGCATTTTTGGTTTTTCATGTAAAACATTTGACTTTAACATGAGAATTCTGACTTCAGAACTCAGAATTCTGACTTTAATCTGAGAACTCGAACACATTTTCACATGCGGCTGTAATCCCCCTCCGCAGGCCACATCTTTGATTCTCTCACGCTATTGGAAGCAATTTGAGAGGAGCTACAGGTGGAGCGATGAGCTCCGTAGCTCCCGGTGTAGAGGTGTGTTACCCTCTCTCTGCCGTGCCTCTCCATGTCCGCGTCCTCCTGCAGCAGCTCGGCTCGGTCTTCCGCTTCGAACGCCGCTTGCTGCAGCGTCTGAATTTTCCTTCTGACCGCGTCCATAGACGCTAAAGTCGCCATACTGTGAACACAACTCCGCTCCTTCCAGGTGTCAACGTGTTTCTGTGGCACCGGCGTCAGAGGTCGGCATCAACGCGACAATTCTTCCGGACACGATTTCAAAATAAAGCAATTGTCAGTAAACCTCTTATTTTGAAATTACACAAATTATCAATCCCATTCTCGATCATTTGTGCGCATGGATTAGTACCAATAGTTAGTCATTTGTACCTTCTAATTGGGATTTAATTTGCACTGACGAATAATTTGTCCTCTGAAATTAAAATGACTGAATTGTTCCTCTAAATTAATCAATTAGCTTACTTATTTCACCCCCTTATTTGAATATATATATATAAAATGCATATACAAGTCAAGTACTAATGGTGTGCAAAGAAATAAATACTGAATGGATATACATGGACTGTAGAGTATGTACAGTATAGGCTACATGTGATGACTATGTACTGTACATAAAGCATGTAGGAATCATATTGACAGTGACAGATTCTATGTCGGTTTACATGTAAAAACATGGTGCATTTTAATCTGTCAAGAATATAGTCTATAATGGGAGCAAGTGGCTTTTGAACTGTTCAACTGGTGTTAGGGTTCATCAGAGTGACGGCCTGCAGGAAGGAACTCTTCTTGTGTCTGGTTGTTCCAGTGTTCAGTGTTCTGTATCCTCCCAGAGGGGGGAAGCTGGAACAGGTTGTGTTCAGGGTGTGATGGGTCTGCAGTGATGTTTCCTGACTCTGGAGGAGAAGAAGTCCTGGATGGAGGGCAGACTGGCACCAGTGACAGTCTGTTCCTGTCCTGTGGCTGATCCAAACCACACAGTGATGGATTTGCAGAGAACAGAACTCTGTTAGCAGAGAAGAATTATGTCAGCAGCTCCAGAGGCAGGTTGAACTTCCTGAGCTGAGGCAGGAAGTAGCATACGTCCTTTGGCCTTTTTTCCTGATGGTGTCTATGTTAGAAGTCCACCATAGGTACTGAGAGCGGAAGGCTTCCACAGTGGACACAGTGGTCGTTGTTCAGGATGGTGATGGGGGCAGCAGTTGGTAAGACATTCTGAGATTACAACTTCTCACATCAATAACTTGTAAGCTAATCATTGTTAAAACATAAAGGATGCCTCTGTACAATCTTAGTAAGTCAACGAGCTACAAGATGATTTTCATCAAAACCAGCAGGCCTCCGAGCGGGATAAATAACATTTGTTTGTATACGTGCAGCCGGCTGTGAGAAAAGGCACAGGGACCATCTACATACAGACAAACTACAAAAATATTCAATAAATTCATTGCTATGTAGTGTAGCGTGACCCAATTAAACTGAAAAGATAAGCTTTTGCATAATTGTGGCGAATTTGTATGAGGAAATTCTTTAACTATATATATTACTCAAAATTATGCAGAAGCACATATTTGCTTGGATATAGCAGCAGCTATATCCACTGTGGAGCTGGAATCTCCAACCCGACTTGCGGACCTCATTAAATAATGAAACATTTCTTGTTTCTTTTCCGGTCCAGTAGGGTTATGGGGAGGCTGACAGCTTGGTTGGCAACCCTCAGGCCCTCAGTATGGGGCTTGCTCATTCTAGTCAGCAGTGTTCCCCTTATTTTTAGGTTTCAGTTGTCATGGGTTATAGGTTTGGAGAACTCCAGCACCTGTTGCCCCACAACATAAGAACCACACACAAGGAGGGACACAGATGAGTGGCCAGGCCCAGGGCCAGCCCCATCACTTGCAACCAAGCACAGGAGGACAAGGGAAATGGTGGAGAATTGTGGTGTGGAATTGAGTGAATCAATCATGAGTGTTTTGATTCAATTGGCCTAACAGTGTGAACTCAAAGGGGTCCCACATGAGCGTCAGTACAGCAGCATCTGCACAGGCTGGTGCCAAGCAAATACTCAAGAAACCAAATCCTCCACACCAAGCTCCCCAGATTAGTCAGAATAGATGGTGTTCGCCTCAAGGTGCTGAAAAGCTTCATGATATGTTGGTAGAATCTGATACTCCACATGACAGATTTAATACTGGCTCTGCTGCTGCTGTCAGTGGTGAGACGGCCACTCAGCGTCAGAAACTAATGATGCCGCTTTTGAGATTTAGCTCGACCTGCTTTAAATTGTGCTCCTGAAGGTCAGCATTAAAATGTTTGTGATTATTGGGCATGAGACGTGGGAGTGTAAAGTTTGACTGACGTTAACAAACTGCTCTGTGCATATTTGAAACACAGAAGGAGTTAAGACTTGACACTGTTACTTTATGGCACTGGTAATGTCACTGATGGTCAAAATTTACAACTGTGTAGTAATTCATGTTAAACAGCCTGGTGCTACTTTCTTTTACAACACCTGAAAGAAACAGTTTGAGTAGTGATATATGAAACATTGACAGCACATGTAGTCAACAACATGGCACCTGTGTTACAGTGGAAAGGGTTCTGCTGTGACCCGACCACAATAGGTCAATTTGGTCTTGATATAGTTGCCTCCCTGCAGTAATGTGACAAATGGCCTCAGCACCCTTCACTCACATCTGTTGCCTTTTTCTCTGCTTGCTCCAGCTTCTCCTGGGCATCCTTCAGCGACTCGGAGTATTTGTCCAGCTCATCCTCCACTCCTTTCAGCTTCTTCTGCAGACCCAGCAACTCCTCCTCCAGCTACAGGCCGAGTACACAAACACACAGTACACACACACAGAAACACAGCATGTCAGATAATACAACCATAACGGATACGAAATTCATTTACGAGAATAACTCTTTTTACACCACTGGTAGGATGACCTGTGAGGGTAATATTCTCCATCCAACACATAAGATGTCTCAACAAACCCCGTCTCCTACGAAGTATACGTGGGAGGCTGTGGCTCAGAGGTTGTTCCTCTAAGACAAATTTATATCCATTCAAAAAAAATAAACTTGAAAAACTGTTGAATTAAATTAATCATTTCTGGTTTTCTTTGGTATTTTGTCACATACAGATTTGCAATGATGGTTGCTGGGTATTATGTATGTTGATGTACAATTTCAAGTCTCAAGCGGTCTCAAGCCTATTTGATCATGTGACATGTGAGTAGCTAGTTTAGGTGCAAAATCTGTCAACACTGATGAGCTGAAAACATCTGCAGGCTGAGCGAGCATTCACAACGTTGCTTCTTCCTCAGAGTCTTTGTGCTTCCTCTCCTCGCAGGTTTCCATGGATCGTGGTTCTACCTGGATGCTGGTCCTGCCTGACACCCACAGCTACTATTATTATTATTAGTCACATTTCAATTACTATTAATGTTACTATCACTGCTTTAATCATTATTATTATTATTTATTTAATCCACTGCTGCTGTTTTTATTAGTAGTAATACTTTTTCTATCATTATTCTGTTATTATTGGTGCTACTACTGCTATTACTACTTTATACATTATATGAATCATTGATGTCATATGCATTGAACGTGTTGTAACTCTGTTATGATGTTCATTCTGTACACATGACATCTATCACACTCCATCCTGATAGAGGATCCTCCTCTGTTGCTCTCTCTAAGGTCTCTCCCTCTTTTCTCCCTGTTAAAGGGTTTTTTGGGGGGAGTTCTTCCTGTCCCGATGTGAGGGTCCTGGGACAGAGGATGTCACATGTGTACAGATTGTAAAGCCCTCTGAGGAGAAATTGTGATTTTGTGTTATACAAATAAATTAAGTTGAATTCATACCTTTGAAACATGACAGAGGCAGTAAGTAACTAGGGTCCATCATAATCAGCGTTTCAACAATAGGTGGTGCTATGTGACAGACTTTTAGGAAAAGTCAAAAACTAGAGAACTTGGACATTTTATCGAAATAAAGTTAAATACAATCAAAATACAGACACGGGTCAATTTGAGCTGTTGGCAGTTCTAGTGTTAAAAATCTGTTCTAGAGCTTCAAGTCACAATTGTCCTTATTCAATAATCAGCCATCGTTCATCATCTTGTGGACAAGAGGCCAAGATGTCGTAGAAAACATTTGTTTTTAAAGATTTTACTTGTTCACCCGTCATTAATGATTCTTCATATGCAGCATTAGCCTCCCCCACCTTATACCAAATCATACACAAGACATCTCAATGTCAAAGAGACATATTTCCATGAAGTCTAATGATCTGGGACACTCCAATGGTGATCGAATAGGCAGATTGTCATCAAATCAGTGGAGCATGATCCCATTACAGAAAATATCAATCTAACGAGCAGAATGCTGAGCGTTTTCTTGTTCACAACAAGATGAGTCCCTTCCATTTTTGGACTTCAGGCTTTTGTTATCCAATGACTCATTTGCAAAGATTGTTTTAGCAAGTCTCCATTTGCAACAACAGCTTCATGGACTATAAAAAGCCAATTGTAAATGACAGTGATGTAGCCTGACCACAATGTCCTTTCTTAACACTTCTGACAGTCGGCCCCAGCCTGTAGCCATGTAGGGCCTCTCAGTCACAAATAGCCTGGGACAGCCCTGATCCTACAGTCGACATTGTGGCAACTCCCGAACCAACAGCCTTGACCGTCTTTCTGAGAGGAGCAACGATTCAAAGAAGGTGGGGGACTTTAGAGGGAACACAGAAATAGACATGCCAGTGTTCAGTGCTCAGAGACAAGTTATTGTGCAGCCATTGTAATAGCTGAGAGCTGGGATCCCCTGGGAACAAATGCTATGTAGACAGTTGCATATGTTGAATAGCTGCTATCTATTAATTTACTGCTATGTGATCTTTTAAATTACACTGTGGAGCTGCACAGGAGAGACTGTCTCCAGACCATAAAGGGATATCACTGTGTTCTTCAGCTGAAACAATAAGCCTTGACTCATTCCTCGGGTCACAGCTGGAAACTGCAGAAGGATTTGGCAGCACATTGTGGATGAGTCTTCAACCACTGGTGGGCCTCAGGGCGCCATCTAGTAGGCAGCGGAGGTACTGCCAAATGTTTTTTTTTAAATATATCTTTATAATTATTTTAATTTGATTTATTCACATGAATTAAATTGGAAAAAAAACAGTTATTCAAACAAAGCATCATTTTGATGCATCATTTTGATGACTACTTACATTTGAATATCACCACGCTAATCACAACACATCATCATAGATGCTTTACTTTTTTGGCACTGTTAGCTTACTAACGTTCCAGCATACAGTGACACTTAATGGCTCTGGTGAAATTGAAATGAACTGGAATGATTTGAAAAGAAAAAATAAGGTGGGAGACAACCCTGTGCCATTCAAAGTTTCAAAGTGTGTAGTGAGGAAATTACCCTGAATAAATCACATTTGGATTCATGATGGCAGGCAGTGGACGATGAAGGATAACTGAATACTTGAATATTTGTTCTCATTTATTTGGGTTGGTGGTCCTCTGGACTTTTCATCAAAAGTGACTTGCTTTCCGTCTTTCTAACATGGTCCTTACGGCCCTGTGCACACAAGGATTTATAGACCCCATGAGTTCTCTCTCTAGCTGCCCTTGAAGCAAACTTGATATTATATGAAGAATGAGATAAGCACAATTCCATAACTTCAGTGCAACACTTTTCATATTGTCCATTCTTTCCGTGTATCCATTGATAATTACAAGTTTTCTATATTCAGCCTACCAACAGACATTTCTATCCATATTTGTGGGAAATGGTGTTCTACAAGGCTCCATATTAGGCCCCATCTTATTTTTAATACACACGCTTCCACTGGGTCGCAACATATTGTCCTAACATACCATTCACCAATTATGACAGAAAGCCAACATCCATACAGTGGATTCATTACCTTCAATTACTGTTTAGAAGACTGCGTTTCTGTTTATTCTGCTCTCAGTCTCACTTAGTTCCTAATTAGACCAATGAGGATGCTTGATACCAATGATGATATATTGGCCAGTAAATATTTAGATTACACATAACGTAACATTTTTTGATGAGGATACCCTTTACTTTTATGGGCAGATTGGTGGTCTGGGGTTAAAGCAGTTTGCCTCTGGCAATGTCATTTCCCATCTCTTTACTCATTTCCTGTCATTCTGTCCACTCACTAATAGAGGGATAAAATGCCCGTAAAAATATTAAAAAAATTCAACTTAGCCAGCCTTTTGCAGGACAAACTAACATGTGATGGAGACACTGTTTCGAATAATCTCAAAACCATCCACTGACTACCTGTGCATTTTTGGGTTTTTAAGATTTTCTCACTTTAAAAGCCACTACCTATGAGGCTACCCTATGACAACCACGAGCTGGTGGAAAATACTGAAGAAAGGCCAAAACAAGTACAGAACAGAAGCCATCTAAAGTTTAAAATTAGATCATTTTAGCCATTATGAAGTGTTTCAATGCTTTTGAATTCAATGAAGTCTTTCCAAAGTTACAGAGTCATGCTTTACGCCCCTGGTGTTCTTCAGTCAGCCCTCTTCTCGTAGAGATCCTCCCGATGGTCCCATCATGCCTTGGAACACACTTTCCCTGTCTCTGCTTAAAAGTCCTGGAGAACGACATACACACTTGCCTAACATTGTCCTCCTCTTGCTTTAACTTTCCAGTTTGTTTGAGTTGTAATTGATTTAATTCTTTTTAAAAGCTCTCATTTAATAAATGCAAACCCCTGCGCACACTTTGATGAGAGAACCGATTGTAGCAGCTCGATGTGTCTACCTGTTTGCACTTGTCCTCCGCTCCTTTCTTGTCCCCCTCGGCCTGCTCTGCCCGGTCTATCGCGTTCTCCTTATCCAGCTTCAGCATCTGCATTTTCTTCTTGATGGCCTCCATGGTTCTTCAGGTGGTGGGCTCTTAGCAGAGGGAGAAGTGCGCTCGGTTAGTCCGGACAGAGACAGAGACAGAGGTCTGCGACAGGGACGGAGGTGGAGAGGAGCGCGCGTGCGGCTTGTCTGAGCGGCTCGGGGAGAACTCGAAGATGGAATACCAGCTGCATGAGCCTCTACATTTTTTTTCGGGGAGGATTCGCACGGGGACGTTGCCCATATTTAGGCAGCGAGAGTTGTCCAGTCTGTGCGCGTGACTTGTGTCTTCAGCACGTGTGAATACATCACATCCAGGTGCGTCAGGTCCACCTGGATCACTGGTGGTCCTACACCTCAACTCACATCCAGCGTGTCCATGGAGAACAAGTTGACCCTGAGGGAAATTGATTCACCTTTAAAGAAGCTTAGCAAGTCTGCAACGTGGTCAGGAAGTATTCAGACATAACGCAATGCTACTCTTTTCAAATACAAATCATGCATTCAATTCAATTACTTCATTTATTTCAGTGGAAATAAGAAAACAGTTGTGGTCAACTAAGTCCATTTACTGTACTTGATTGTTTCTCTTGTATTATACTTGATTCTACTCTAATACATCTCAGTGAGAAATATCAATAATTATGATTGTATAATGTACATTTTTCTGAAATGGGTCATTCTGCATAAGCCTGCTTGTGGTACATTTTGGTGCTAATACTTGTATATTAAAACATCTGAGACCTTAGTCAAAATGGCCTTTCCTTTTCTTTACCCTCCATTTCCTCTTCTCTGTCTGTCATGTATATTTAAATTTTTTGTGCTGTTGGAATGAAGTGCAGCCCTGCTGCCAATCAGAACCAGCTGGGTGACCATGAAACAGGATGGTCCAAGGCTGCACCCCAGAGAACCCCTTGTGTAACCCTACCTACCTCAAGATGCAACCACGTTTCTAATATGCTCCACAAAAAGTCATAATCTATCTCTTTCTCTTCATTCTCATTATCATTTGCTCAGGAATCCACTAGCTTCCACTTAAGGTTCTCAAAATAAGTCTGATTGAATAGGAAGTCTGATTCTATGAGAAAATGACTCTACTTCCCTCTTGATTTATTACCTCAGTAAACATTGTAAACATGAGTTCATGGTCTCAATCTCTAGTTTCAAGTCTTCTTCAACACAGCATGATGTTCATTTAGTAAATGATGGTCCATTTAGAGTCAAATAGACCATAAAGCAGGGGATGCTTTAGGGTGGGTGCTACACAGAGCTGTATACAGCGTCTCTCTACGTCACTCCTCCACAGTCCAGATATGGTCACTGACATTTACTAGTTGCAAAAAAACAGGATAGTGCCAAAATCCAAGATGGCTATGGCCAAAACGTCAAAGTCGAGGCATCAAAACCGCTGACTACAAACCAATGGGTGACGTCACGACCTCTATGTCCACTTCTTATATACAGTCTATGGACTGTCACTTATTTTGATAGGGGCTTATACAGTGGCTCTCAGTAGGACTATTTTATACAGAATAATGCAGCAATTGGTCAAGTTTGACAGCATTTTACTAATTTCAACATTGTTTTGTAAAGAGACTTCAAATTTACAAATTAATAATACCAACAGTATTGATACATGTGCCCTTTGTCCATCCCTAGTTTCCTATTAACATATAGTGAGAGTTGGGGGCTTTTTTGAATCAAACCAGTCTTGTCCTGAGCTTCCTGTTACGATACAGTTACTCTGGGGTCTTTTATTTTGAAGGGCTGGGAGCCAGACGGAGAGAGAGAAACAAAAACCTGATTTGGGTAGGGGAGAGATGTCCATAGGAAAGTTATTCCATAAAAACGGGGTATCATAGGAAAAGGCCTTTTACCTTAACATCTGCTGACCCGAGTGTGTGTGTGTGTGTGTGTGTGTGTGTGTGTGTGTGCGTCACAATGCACTAATTAGCTCCTCTCAATCAGCTTTGTTTATCTGAAAATAGGAGCTGGTTAAAAAAGCTGGTCACCTTTGCTGTCCTCCACTAATGTGTGTTGCCAGTTGACTTAAAGGCCTGTGCGCAAGTAGACTACAAACAAAGTCTATGCAAAGACGCACATGGACGCAAGTAAACGCTGGGCTGCGCTGGGCGAAAATTCGCCTCATTCGAGTGTTCGCGCAAATTGACATTTTTCAACTCGGTCAATAAATTCGCGTTACACTTGGTCGCGAAAGCCTGTCAGCGTTGAGATTCTCCTCCTGTCATCACTGACGTCCTATCGTTGTTGAATCAGAAACTATGGGGAAAAACTACTGTAGCCGTAGGGGCGGCACCCAGAGATCTACGATATATCTCATATTAGTAGAGACCGGACCAAACTATGTGAATAAACCTATGGTACAAACAATGAAAAACAAGCTGCCGTATTTACGTCTAGATGACGTTATGTTGAGTGTTGATGGAGCTGCTACAATGTTAGCTTAGCCTAGCACCGATAGATCCAGACTCCATTGCGAAAACAAGTATTTTAAGTGATTTGCTCGTCGTCTTGTGGAGAGAACTAACAAAAAATGAATTCAGACTTTTTACTAATCTGCATCAGTATGTAGTTATTTCGGCGTCCCTTTTTGTCTTTTATTGCAGTTAAATCACAGCAAAATCAGTTTATTTAGTGTTCATACAGCTGTAGTAAACAGCCGACATGTGGCTTCTAGACACAGTGAACACAGCTCGATGAAATCCACGGAGCTCCTCCGGATGATGGGAGGCATTTTTTCTAAGTTTCAAAGAAGTTTGAATATTTAATTTTTTTTAAATTGGATTAAAATGTTGATGAATCTGTAAACACTCCATGTTTACTTCTGTACGACAATGTGCTGCGTGTCACGTCTTTTTGCATTGTTCCTTTGTGCGTGCTCGTCGGTTCAGGACTGAGACCAGATCACACTGGAATCTGATATTGGCCACATATAAAAAGAATGTGAACACCTAAACAAAAAGAAGTGATCTGAGAACGGAATCTGAATTGAAAACTAAGGCGTAGCCAAAGTTTCAGCAAACATGATAGGAATAATAACAAAAAAACAGACCTGATGTGATATTTGATTAAATCAGCAAATGATGCTGGTTATGAACACGTATTAAAAATATAGCTCAATATGAACTAACTGGTAGAGTATGGTTGAGGAGGCTTTTCCTCTTGTGAACAGGGTGAAAGAGTGTTAAGAAATGGATGTCAAGAGTTTCACTGAAAACTGGCTTTATTGAATATAAATCTCTGTTACAGTGCCCATGAGGTGGTGCTGCTGTAATAAAGTCAAATGTGAACAAAAGAAGGCTTTGTATGATTACAGTCATTGTGGTACTAGGCATGCTGTTCTAGCTGTGCCATGTGAAAGAATATGTAAAGAAAATAAAGGCGTGTGTGGTGTATAGGAGGATTTAAATGCTCTGATAAATTATTTAACTGAGTAATGAATGAAGTGCGTCTCGAGGGTAAATGGTTGGCAGCAGTTTTTAATACTAGATAAATTCTATGAAGGCACTGAATATAGTGGGACCAGACAGAGCAATCATTAGGCCCTCGGCAATGAGAAATAAAGTGGGAGTCATATCTAACAGGACACAGACGAGCATCATGGGACTGTGCTGGGACAGGAATCCTCTAGAAAGTATTAAGCACAAATACCGGCACAGATGACACATTACTGGAGCAAGTCACTAAACAAATAGTCAATATGATGTCAAATGTCTGGAAGTTAAATATATGGCTTCATACTCTTTACACAAACATGTATCAACACTGTAGTTGCTTACATCCAAATACTGACACACTTTTACTAACATAGCGACTTTTTAATACATTTCATAGCTTAATCTTTAGAAAAATAATGTGTTCCCATTCTGATTTGTTCCATTGCAAAGTATTTTTTTTCAAAATGTAATCTTTAAAACTGCATGTCCTATCATAGTCCTTGTTTCAGCTTTTAACAGTGTGACAAGTAACATACTGAATATCATCACTGTCACAGACCTCTGCTTCGCAATGAACTCAGAAACCGTGTCTCTGGAAACATGCATTCTCGCTTACACACACGACCAAACACACGCACGCACGCACATTCACACACACACACACACACACACACACACACACACACACACACACCTGCATAGAACGTTTGCATAGATTATGCATAGTTTGCATAGAAATCTTAATTGTGCTCACCTTCACACCTCTACAATCTAACAGTAACGTTCTAACAGTGAAGGGCAAGCCAAATTTATTGGCAGGATTTAGCAATTTTATGAAGCCACATAACGTACACAACAAAGACATGTAATCCAGATAAAAAAGAGACAGATATAGTGAAAAGTATTTGATCATATATAATCAAAAGCACAGATACCTTAATAAGGATTTCTGTATTATCAAAATTCATAATCATTGGCATCATTTGACTTTAAAAATTAAATACAGGAACAGATTGAGAGCCTGCCTAATATAGCATGAAGCCTCCTCTCCCTACATTTCGCTGGGGGAAGGTCCTGAGCATTCCACGGATCACTGTTGCATTGCTGATGCACACGCGCTCCCTCACTGCTCCTGGCCGTCCTCACGCAGCTCCGAGGGGAGGAACTTGTACTGCTGCTGTCGGATCGTGGCCAGCCTCTTCCTGGCCTCGTCCAGCTCCCTTTCCTTCCGCAGCATCTCCTCCTGAGCAGCGATGATCTACAACACAACGCATATGTAACCGGTGTGTTGCTGTCCAAGTATGATTTCTTTAGTTTAAGCATCCAAGCAGGGTTATGTTAAAACAGTTTAATTCAATTATATTTTCATTTATTTATTCAAAAAATAATATATTTTTCATAAAGTATATATAGTTAACTGTTTATTTTTCTTTTATATCTGTACTTACTTTAAGTAGGTATGTGTGTACGTACATGCAGTATATTTGGACCTTTGACTCACCTGAGCGATGCCTCCCACCATCTTACTCTTGACCACCACAGCCTGGTCATCCTGAGCATCAAACGCTGCTTTCTGCGCCGCCTTCACCAGGTTATCAGCGGCTCTCTTCACAGCGTTCCCAGCAGCCTACAGAACACACGGGATTAAACAAAATGAGGTTGAGTGAGTCATTCTTGACAGTAAACTGACAAGGAAAACGTTTTTTTAAAAGCTAGTAAAAGGCCAGTGCCTTAAAATCAAAATCAAAAGAATAAAAGAAAGAGCAGGTGAATGCTAATAGTTAGATATCTTAACAGATATATCTCTAATCATAGACCAGGATTTAGTCTTTGAGTAAATGTTGAAACAGACTCGTGCAGACTTGAGACAGCAGACACGTCAACTGTGCGTCTTGTGAACAGCAATTCCTGGAAAGGCAATGAAAACCTCCACCAGTGCTCTGAGAGAAAACCATAACAGGTTTTTTTCCTGTTCAGTGCCAGAGAATAACTGTAAAAGGCAACGAGCAGCAGCCTGCTGAACTGCACTCAAAGCCAAACATTTGTCTCATTGGGCAGCTCGGCTCTAAGGAAGAGGAGTTTTCTCCTTTAGCGGCTTCAGCGACTGAAATCAGACACTGAATCCTCTGCTGGTTTATCTTTGGCTGGAATGTTACTGTTAGTCTGGCCCTGACATACAACATAACACTGTGCAGCTCCCTTCATCAGCTGTACTGTACACAGAGGCCACACACCAAACTGTCACAGCATTTGTCTCAGGAGATGAAACGAGGCGGCTGGTATTCTAAAAATGCACATCAAATCCATTGTTAAATGGTCAAATCCATTGTCTGAGGGACTGCTCCTCCAGTATGTTTCCGTCTGACCGTCTATACTGGCCTCATTTCAGCCGTGTTTTCACTCATTTATCTGTTTGAATCAACACAGCTGTCTACACCAGTGACCTCGCAGCTCACATTTCACTCACAGCTAACGGACACTACTGCAAGTCAGAGGGACATGTCGTCGTTCATGTGTGGATCTCTACACTCTTAGAAATAAAGGTGCTAACTGTAACCATAACGGGTTCTTTTTTATAAAGCTTCTACCAGGAACCCTTTCAAGGGGTTATACCACACACACACACACACACACACACACACACACACACACACACACACACACAGTATATATACATATACACACACATATATGTCAAATTCTTCCTTTCATTGTCATTTATCTAATGTGAGAACAAGGCTAGCAATTTGGATTACCATCTTGAAATTCATTGGAACACCATGTTAACACTCCCAGGTTGGCTGCTAGGAATATTGCATTGTTGTTGGTGGTACCAAACACACTGGTACCTCAGTGGGTAAGTCAGTTCTTTCCCTGAACCATCAGGAACTGTCCAAACAGCCACCTTTCCTCAGAGAGATGTACAATACTCAGCCCTCGGGATAATACAACCATAAAAAGCCCTGCGGCAGAGTGAAGAGAGCAAATGCTGCTGGTGTAATCATAGATCAGGGCTAATGTTTCCAGTTCTGATGCCATGGGCGGACTAGTGGATTGTTTCCAGAGCTCCTGTACACATAAATGTATGGGAATTACTGTGGTGACAGCTGCAGGCCCAGAAGAGGAGGAGATAAGCCACTGCTGATTGGATCAGAGAATATGAGATGGCCTGGGCAGGCTGATGTGCTCACAGCCTTAAATATAGTCTTTTTGGGTGGATGGGGTGACAGGAGATACTTGTAGTTTGTGTTATGTCTTGGGACTAACTGCATCAGTTACACTTAAAGGTCACAGCAACTCCTCTGTGCTGCATTACTGCCATCATCAGCATCTTAAGAAGAAAGGAGCACTCCACCAATATGACATATAAAGGTGAGGTTCCTCGTCATAGGCAGTCCTCGGTGTGTTAAAACAGGGTCACATCTCTTGTGTCTGACAAAATAAGCCTGATGATGTCATAGTAGTGTCATCAGGGTTAACTCAGAACACTAGAAGTTCACGTGGATATCAGAGGGCCTGAGTTACAAACTGCAGGTGTCAACTTTGAAATATGCGGGTATTACTATGCAGGAAGGGTCAACCAAAAAGATTCTAATGATTGCATTTTAGGAAATGTAGGATCTAGAGTTTTTGGCTCTTGAGTCAGATAAAGTACTAAAAGTCAGGATATCTCAGCTTCTGTTGCTCACTTTTTATCTGTCTCATGTGAGTCCCCCACATTTATGTTAACGCAATACTTAACCTGTGGAGTAGCCCTGTCATGGTACTGAAATGCAGCAGTATGTTAAAGGAACTCTTACCGTTGCTGAATATAGAGCACACTAAACCTGATGGAGCAGCTGTACAGATCATGCAGCTCACCTGTAACCCTAAACACTCAAACTGCAGCCTATTAATAGACTATCCAACAACCTCAGCTGTTGCAGAATGACTAATGTTGTGGTGAGAGTATTGTTCCCTCAGCAGGTACTGTAGGTCTACACATAAGAGCAGAGGAGGACCTCACTATGCATGTGACAATATCAGATGTCAGTCTGACGAAGCAGGATTATAGGGTTAGGGAGCTAACTTTGGAGCTAACCCTGGCTTTTCAGTCTAGAGGAAATGGCTCAAGTTCAAACAAACTCAGTTGCCATGGTAACTAACCCAGAAGGGGACAGTTATGATATGGTAATTCAAATGATGATTGCGGTTTTATCCTATATCTTTCTTATTGTCAAGGAGTTATGTGCAGACCCAAACCAGCAACGTTTCGCTCCTAACTGGTTTCAAAACTAACCCCCAAAAATGGTTTCATTGTGAAAGATGATAATCAATCTCTGCTGTGCATCAGAACAGTCCAGTAGTCTCTGGTGTGGTGTGTAGCAGACCGACCACAGAGCTGTGTGATAGCAGAGATCTGATTTACCATGAACACCAATGTCTAATCTACGATGAAATCCATTTGCTGATGGTACACTGTTAAGAAAGCAATCTTCTGAGACTCCTGTAGAAGTTCTGTATAGCCAGTATTTAAGTATGAAAAATCATCATAGGCAGTCGCAGCAATTTGATTTCTGCGAGTCTATGTAGTGCTGATGCTGCAGGATGACACCTCGAAAAGAGTCCACTGAATGAGTTACTTGTCAGTCAGTATGACTTCATGTTTGGACCTCTAGGGGTGACCGAGCTCTCATGTTCTTTCAGTTTTATGGTGTCCTGAGGTACCAGGGTAACAAACAGAAGTGGGCGCGTGTGAAGCAGCTTGATGGGCATTAATACGCAGTGCTGACCTGAAGCCTCTTCATGGTCTGGGAGTCCTGGTCAGCCTTGACCTTGCAGGCCACCAGCAGCTGAGCTGTGGAGGCTGCCACCTGCTTGGCTGACGAGATGAGCTTCTCCTCGCTGGCGTGCCCCTGCACCGCAGAGTTGGCTGCCTCACACAGGTTGTTGGTTGCTGCTGCAACCATTCGAGCCTGAGGGGGTCAAAGACATCGACGGTAAGATGTTTTACTAAGAACTTTGAAACATTCTCAATAAACCTGGAGGGAGAGGACTTACAGCTGAAATCAGCCCCTGAGACCACTGTCCGTCATCCGCCGCATTGGCTGGGATCGCTCCCACCTGAAAATACAGGAAAACTGGCTCAGAGTCATCAATCTTCAGCATTCATGGATATCAAAAGCATACAATTCACTAAGGGGATAACAATGACATGGATGGGCAAATTCAATCTCTGAACCCATCACCATCAGTCTGAAAGCACATAAGAGTCTGGGGGCTGTATTTCTGTGGTTCTGGTTCTCGTGTGCATCACAGCCCAATGTGGTGGATTTTGCCCCAATGGGGCAAGCAGAATCTGCATGTATCAGCAGTGCCACACTGTATTAGTCTGTTCCCCTTAAAAGAGACGTGTCATGCTAATTTTCATACTTGTATTTAGGGTTTCTACTGGAACATGTTTTTATCTTCAAAAAACACATTCTCTTTCTCATACTGTGTCTGAATGTACCTGTATATATATATATCTGTCTGAAACACTCTGTCTTAGTTCCCGTCTCTTTCAGAGCCCCTCCCCAAAAGCCCAGTCTGCTCTGATTGGCTTGTGAGAAAAGTATGGTGCACCTTTGCAGCGGTAGCTCTCATCCTGTGGGCGGTGTATTCTAATGAGGAAGGAGAGCCAAATCTGAATGGCTTGTTGAATGTTTTCTGATCTAGAGAGCCCACAACCAACTGACTGGGTTGTCTACCTTCAGTTTCAGGTTCTCAAGTTTCTACTAAAACACACAAGCAGTTTCTGGTGGGAAGAAAGGTGTGATCCCAAAACGTATTACAAGGTGTTACCATATAACCATGTTCTGGGTTCTCTGTGGCAAATTATGAAGAGAAACTCAGAGTTAACCATTTCTCTGTGGAGGGTTTAAATGTTGCTGGCATTGTTCAGACGTACCTTCCCTTGAGCCACTAGCTCCCTCTGTGCTGCAGAGGCAGCTTTAACCAGAGCACTAGTGGCAGCTGCAATGGACTTGGCTGCCTCCAGAATCTGCTCCTCAAAGTTCAAGCTCTCATCTGCCTCCTGTTTACAAGAGAGGGGAAAGCAACAGTCAATAAACACACTGTGGTACAGGGCTGCGATGGTCTGTGGAACAATCATTCAGACAAAAAGTGAACAGTTCTACAGCATAGGAAAAGCTGGGGTCCACAAATACTTAGAAATGGATGCATATGAAATGCTAAGAGGGTAAGGCCCGTGAGACAGCCATCATTCATGGTGTGAGGAGCTAACAGGCCGGAAGACGTGCAGCACATATACAGTATGTGACCCTTCAGTGAGGTTAACAGGCACACTGGGACTGATGCTGCTCTGTAAAAAGCCCTCTAACCTTGGGTTTGGTCCTGGGCCTCAGCTGCTCCAGTTTCTTGGCAGCTGCTTCAATAGCTGCCGCTGCTCCTAACAGCTCGTTCTCTGCGATGACAGTGGGATCCTCGGGGTCCACCCACTCTGTGCCTGCAACACACACAAACACCCAACACCATTTTCCACTAGCTGAATATTGTGCAGTGGTAATGACAATATGGCTCACAGTAGCAGAACTGATCAGTTCTGCTACTTAAAGGTTCTCTATACGAGATTCAGAGCGCAAGCCACTGGAAACTGTTTTCAGAACGCAGTGGGCCTTTAGCACTATCAGCACTGTTGCCTTTGTTTGCACTGTTAGCACCATTAGCTGTTAGCTGCCGGCTCAGCTGTCGCCATGTTGAGAGCCGTTGACAGGCAATAGATATGCTTTCATTTTTGCATTTAATTATTTACCAATGAAAGTATTTCTTTAATTAACAGTGTGTACTAGTGAGCGAGTTGAGATTTGAAACATTAGGACATAATAATCAATCCTCACTGAGCGGCACGGTTATCAAACATGAACACACAGTGTGGCCTAATAACCTAGAGTGTGCTGTATTATAGAAACGCTAAAGGAGGGCAGATCATCCCACATAAATCAGCAGCCATCAATATCTAAACATTGCATGTTTATATTATTATTTAACTGTACAGCTCCCAGTGTATCACAAACAGTCTCTGTTGCCATGATAAAATGACACGAGGTCACAGGCTAGGATAGGGACTAATAGCAAACCCTAGAGAACTTCGCATTCAGGTTCTTCAGTGTCAACAGGGTAAGGTTCCAATAGGCACTTTCCACTTGAATCCTGTTCCAGATTCACTAAGCTCCGAGGCTAATGAACCTCTTAGCCATTTGTGTCTCTCCTCACTCTTTTTTTATTGTCCAACTGCAAAGTCTTCTAGCTGAATGTTTTTCTAGGTAATGCAAAGTATGCAGTGCATATATACTTATAGATATGCACTGCATCCATAGGTGACCTGCCAAAAGGCCAAATACACAAGTTGTCATAGAAGCAGCACTCTAACTCCGGGTTTCCATATTGTCGTTCAAAGTGATGGTGAAACTCCCTCTCTGATTGCATCACATTCCCAGGATACGATTGACATTATATCAATATATCATGCTCATTAACCTAATACAGTAATCAAAATCAGGACCTCCTGTATTTGGTTACAAAAATAAAATGTGTAAAGTTACTTAGCTGATATTTCAATGAATCATATAAATTTCAGCAGCATTTCATATCTTCTGCTGTTCATCTGATTTACAGGTTGGAGCTACAGGTTGTCATTAATTAGACCCTCTCTACTAACCACAGGTGATTACACGTCATTCAGTTACTTACACAGTAGAGGGCTCACTCAATAGATTGGATGAGGTGTTTGAAGGGACTGAGACAGGAAAGACTGGACATTAATCACTGGTGGTCCAGCAGGGTTCAAAATGTCTCTTAAACTGGAGCAGAGGGACGTTAATCTGTGATATAAAGCTCTGAGGATGACTTTCCCTCCATCTGACAGATCATGCATTCATGGAATCGCCTTGGGTTCAATGTCATTTGTACTTGACTCTTAAGAGGGGGGATCCCAGAACAGAGCTGTGTGAAACTGAAGAACTCTACGGGGAGTAAGTACTAATCCTACTTCAGATTACTGTCAGGGCTCATTTGCATGAAGTGCTCTAAATAAGACCCGATGATGGGCTATTTCAGACGGGTCTAGTGCAGAGCCGTACTGTCTGCCCTTTTTGATGCTTCCACAGGTTGTTTTTTACGAAGCGGCTTTAAAAAAACATCTATTGTAATTTCTTATTTGATATTGTACATCAGTACCGTTTCTTAAATGCCATTAACTTATGTATGACACTTGTAATTGTCTTACTACCATGATATAACTTCACTATTGATGACCAATGTCTGGTAGGGGTTGGTGTTGTCAGCTACATCCAGACCCATTTAGAAGGATCAATAAGAACTCTGACACCATTAAATGTAAATGGAGACATGAAGAGACACCCTAAGGAATGCAGTTTGGTTCTGCTGTCATTCTGCTGAAGAGGTCAAAGGTTAAGATACCTTTCATGGCCTCGGCAGCCTGGATGAGCTCGGTGACAGAGCCTGCCACGCGCTTGGAGTAGTTGGCCAACTGTTGCTTCAGATCATGAGAGGGCTTCTGGATGATCTGTGGGTGACGGGGAAAAAAGTCACAACCTTTAATTCAACCTTTTTTTTTTTACACTCTCCTTTTGCATAACTGAGGCTTAACATTTTTACTTGAATCTAATCCTGTGCTACGATAATATTCCACTGCATGTTGTATCTGTGTACACATGTGCAGCTTGATACTGGGAAAGAAAGTACATTAAGTGTTAATCATGGTGGCCATGAAGAAACGACGTGCACGCACAAAACCATACATATTCCATTTCCTGCACATGAATTTGTGATTACAGGAACACCTCCCACATACTTCAGAGTGCTCTGGGGATAATATGATAAGGTGAAGACGAGAAATAGGACAGACAGAAGTGAAAAATAAAACCATTCATTCAGTGGTTAGCCAATTTCACTGATGTTTTAAAGTCTAAAATTCAATCTATAATCTGTTTTGATTCCATTCATGTGATACATTTGATCACCTTGTTGTACACTGGAGGCAGCATTTTATTTCTCCATTTATGATGTTTTCATTTGATTCTTAAAACTCAAAAAAACTGTTCCGATATAAGTGTCATAAACGAAACCTCAGAATGATTGTGAGATCACTGGAAACATCACTTCTCTTGTCGCTCTGTTTATTGACAGACTGGTGCAGCAGACAGGAGAAGTGATGGGAATCAGGCCCATCCACGTACTCCCAGTTCCACAGGGATAGAGATCTATAAACGGATAGCGTACGCATCGCTGTCCGAATGTGATGAAAATAATATGCACAGTAAGCATTTCTGTTTTTGACAGGTGCATACACAGAATTGTAGCCATGAAGATGAGCTCTCATTGTGATGTCAGAAAATAAACCTATGTGCCCTTAAAGTGGGGCATACTGAACTAGTCCTCTTTGAGTAGCAACCGCACACCGTCTTTAGGAAGTATTGCCTCTCTAATGTTTAGTCTTTGTTAATGAAATACTTTTTGCTACTGTATCAGTGTTTTCCACTGCCGAGAGCTGAGATTCTCTCCCCTGCCTATATGGGGACATCATTGACATCAAAATAACTAGAGCTGCTAAAACAAGAATGTTAAGAATTCATTGTCACTCATAATAAAACAAGTGAGACTTCATGTTGGACTTGGAGGAGGCTTTGTATCTGTAAGAGAACATTATTGCCTCACACACCTACATTCATTATGTTGAACTAAACGAGACAGTCAACTTCTACCAATGGCAGGCCCGTCTCACAATTCAATGAAAATAATGGCGGACTAGTTTGATTTGTTGGTGCTCAGATGGGTTTGGGTTTCTGGTATGTGTCCTCAGACTGTCCTAGGTGGACATGCAGTATTCAGGTTGGAGCAGTGTGTGACAGGTGCAAGGCATTAACAGGGCTCAGCCCATGCCCAGCTCAAGTTTATTCAGATGTGTTGTCATGAGAAGAGAGAGGACCTAACTGCACAGGAACGCATGCAGCGGGCCAAACAAATGCCACGGGCAAACACAAACGCATTCTGCACACCAACCTACGACACTCACACACACACTTTAACCTGAGCTCCACCAATCAGACAATGTTCTGTCTTACACAAATGCAACATTCACCAAGTCTGGAAAAAGGTTCATTCATCTGTGATGCTATGAGGCTTAAAGCAAAAAGCACACCGGTTCACTGAGCAACACAATCAGCAGGTCTGTTGTTCTGTTCCAACCTTCAAAGGGCAGGACCTCACATTACTCATATTCACAGATACTTCTGAATGAGAACAAATATCTACCCGTTTATAATTCAGCGATATTACTCTCAGAGGCATTCGAACTGTTCTCTGAGATTGTGTTAAGGCTTCCTAAACTCTTAGTGATTCAACTTTTTGGTCAACATGGACAAGAAGTCCTCAGAGGAAGGATTTGACCATCAAACACAGGAACCCTGGACAATAAAGTGGACTACCTCAGACAGCTGACCACCCCGAAACATGACGGAGGACTGTTGTATTCAGCGGAATGAACCAACCTCATTCTGTGCGAAGGGATGCCACGCCCCCTGGTAAGACCCGAAGGGGGGGGGGGGGGTCGTGTGCTCACATTGACAGTATGTGTGGGCTCCAGCCGCCGTTCATCATTGGTGGAATATGTGACGGTAAAGTGAGGGATTGGCCACCATTGATTATCATGGACATCTGCCCTCACACTTAAGAGGCACTAACGGTTCTCCATCAATCAGAATACTGCAGGAATACTTGGCTGAATAAGTACAATAATAATCATTCTAAGGTTCACAACTAGTGAGCCAACACAAAGTTTGCAGTTTAATGACCAGGCTGATCTGCTCTGAGCCAGGCAGCTCTAAAACAGCACAGAGGCATGGAGAGTGGGACACCCCTTACTGTGTTCGACTGGGAAATGACCAAACCAGCAATGCAGGGAGTCAACTTGTTCTCCAGGGTGTAAAGGGAGCTAGGTAGATAGCTGGCTACTTACATGAACCTATAGAGTCACTGCAATGATGACTCTGTATCACTAACGTCAAGCTTAGGAAACGGTACGGTCCACTTTGATATTTTATTGCAATTACAGGTAAAAAGAATATATAAATGTTTGCCCCCACTCCATCGGACCCCCAATCCCTCCCGTAATTGAAACCATGAGTGTGATCTGGTCTTTCCATCTCTGAATGGTCAGAACAGAGACAATCAGTAATCAGTGTGACTGTCGAGTCTAACATCAGGCTCCAATTAGATTTGACTGTCTCAGGTTGTGTTCAAACACCTCCCACTAAGTCAGATTCCTTTAGTGTAGTTTATATAAAAAGCTGCTCCCCCCCTCTCTCCTGTCCATAAACAGAGCAGGTGTGACGGGACTCCGCAGCATTGTTCTGGTATTCAGTATTCAGTGAAGCATTCAACCAATGCAGCGCCACACTTGTGCAGGTCGTTCATGTGGCGTACTCACCGGCTTGCACCGACATCAGTGAGCCACAAGTTTAAAGGAACATTGACAGAGCGAAGGGAAAAGGAAAGAAAAGAGGTCATCAAACACATGACAGCTGATATCGTATCGACAGCATGCAGCATCATGCTGTGAACACAGGAAATGCAAAACATTTTAAAAGGCTTAAGCAAGTTGGATTGCACATTTTTAGATAGTTTGGAGACAACTGACGGCTGAACAGATTTGTTCTTCAGTTGGATTGATGGGATGTGAAACTTGTCGAATCATTGCTAGAAAGTTTCCAGTGTGATCCCAGGGCTCGTGGAATGACTTTATACCGAGATGTATAGCTATGAGCACTACTGAGGAGCCACTGAGCAAGCCCCCCCCACACTGCTCAAGTGACACTGTCCACCAGTTCACAGACTGATTGTTAAAAGGAGGCAGGGGTTTTGTTCAAAATCACTGTTTACTGCAACGTTTCTTAATCAGTCTGCCTCTAACACCAGGTGCGTCCTCACCATGGCAACCGATTACACACATGCACGCTGGCTCTCTCTCTCTCTCTCTCTCTACACACACACACACACACACACACGACATGGAAGCATGGACCTCCTGTCTGTCTGTCTGTCTGTCTGTCTGTCTGTCTGTGTCTCTCTCTCTCTCTCTCTCTCTCTCTGTCATACAGTCATTCAGGTCTTAAAGGTCTCCCCCTCTCTCCCCCACCCAGTCCCACCCTTTCAAAATAAAAGCCCTATAGAGTAACTGCATCTTAACATGAAGCTCAGAATGAGGTACTTACAGAAATGATGGGAGCGTCAGCTCCCATCATTTCCAAAGGCTTCTCAAGCAAAGATGTACATGTCCAGTACAGAAATGACGGGAGCCATTTGTGGACTGTCCATCACAAATACAAGATGCAATCCAGAGTATGAATCTAAAATGCAGAACATAGAGTAGCGCTATCTCAATTGAACCTGAACGACACTACCGGTAACATTGGCGTGTGCATATATTGCGACATCTTCGGGCAGTAGAAGCCACACTGTCAAAATTTCTTGCGAAATCTTCTAGTTATAATTGTAAGACATTATAATCTGATGCATTATAATCACTGTTATAATACATTATCAGATGATTATAAGGTATTCTTCGTGGTCATTGGGTGCTTTAAGTAAAGTAATGAAATTCCTGAGGTATAGGCAAATTATAACGATTACAATAAAAAAAGATTATTATGTATGTCATCAGTGGGATTTATAACATATATGTCAAACACATGTCAGTCAGTGACCAGCAATTATGCTACGCGACCTAATAATAATTATTATAAAATGCTCTATAATGTGTTGTGATCATTGTTATCCAGCAATATGGATATTTATGAGTGCTTGTGACTGTAATTATACAGTGTTATAGGCAGATTATAAGGCATTATTAGTATGTTTATAATACATTATAGACATGGAAGTCTTACCAACATGTTTGTGGACAATGTAAAATGATGTACTTTCTTTTTTCTTCTTTCCTCCACCTCTTTTCACCATCCTCCAGCTCTTTATTTGATTTAGTTCTTTGCTTTGCTTTAAGGACGGAGCTACTTGCTTTGGAGCCCCCCACCTGACTCCTAGGAGTCAGGTGGGCCGGTCCAATGCAGGTCCAATGCAGGTCCAATGCAGGTCCAATGCAGGTCACACCTGCTGGGAGCCTGTCCACTACGAGGAAACGGTGTTTTATGATGTGATGTCATTCATCCTCCTTCTTTCTCTGTATTGTTGAACTGACGTGGCAGTATACACAAACTGTTCCTACAAACCACACCTCTACTGAGCCTGCTGTTGGGTGTTTATGATCTGATCCTCAGTCACAATGAAGAACAAAGCTATATCACTAGAAATGGGACATGAAGTATTTTAAATTGGACCTCCAAAAGCCAAAGAAGTAATTTAATACTGCTGTGGAGTTTTTGAATGTTCTTTTTTTGAATGATTTGTTCTTTCACTTTTCTTCATAGTGGCTACTGCTGTTTATTCTAATCATCCCCTCATTTCAGCTACTTCTGCTACTTTGAGCACTGTAAACTGCTGATAGTACAGTGCGTGTATTCGTGAATGTGGGTAAAGAAGTCTTACCACCAGCACATGCTCCAGCAATCCCAGGTACCCACAAGCACATTCATTGCCGAAGTGCAGGGCTCTCATCTGGACCTCCTTGCTGACCTCTGGGTGGTAGGCAGCTTGCTGAGAGGGCAAACAGACAGAAATCCAGTGAACTAACATTGACTGTATGTCGGCCATTTTGCATGTTAAAATGTAATGCTTATAAAGACAAAATAATTTGGTCTTATGTAAAAGAATTTGTGAAATATTTTTTGGAGTTGGGTCGGTACAAAGATTAAGAAGTTGAGAAGAAACTTTACCAACCTGACTGAAATGTTATATTATACCAATATTACTTTGTACCAAAGATAGGAGAAAAATACTACAGTAATGCAAAATGTAGTTGGTGAGTTGGTCCAGACACAGCTTCTTAACAGCGAATATAATGATTAAATATACAGGTAACTCTTTAAAACCACTGTGTAGTTTAGAAATCAGAATTCAGTACAGACATTATGAACATTTGTGAGCTAAAGAGTTATGATCAAGGGATACAATAAGTAGTGCGGTCCAGTTAGAGATGGGTGATAAGTAACAATAATTATGCTGGAGCCCCCTGGAGTCTGATCTGAAGGAGTTTCTGGTGAACCTGCATGACTTCATCTGACCCGACCCAGTGGCACCGATGACAAGCATTAAGATTAACTAAATAGAAATAGACCATCTTCTCTCTGCTGGTCTCAATTACTGATGGAGGTCTTATAGAGGATCAGGACTAAACTGAGACTGTTTCAGAAGCAGTTAAAAGTTCCTCACTGTAACTTTAATGTCAAAATGTTATTTCTAAATCCCACAGTTATACTTTTGATAAAACCCACCATAATTTTCTGAATATTCTTTGTTTTGGTTTTGACAGCTGACTGTGTCTATCTGCTGTGTACCTTGCAGGAGTGCAGCATCTCAGCGATGGCCTTTCTGCTGAGGTTGGCCGTGGCGATGATGTCTTCCTGACGACAAGAATTCCCAGCAGCCACTGCCTTTGCTGTTGCCATGGTGATGCCTTTAGTCATGCGAATGAACTCCTCTGGCGTGGTCGTCTTTGGTGGTGGGTCAGAGCTGTTGAACACCTGTGTGGTAAAAACCAGGGGACTGTTAAAAACCCATATGAGTTCTTTGATCCAACAATGGAGCCGCTGGATGCTATAGCGGGGAGCCCTGAACGGGAATCCTTCTCGCTGGAAGGACTCTGGCTTCAGTTGGTACTAGGTACAGCTTCTTCTACTGGTTAGGGTAGTGAAATGACATCTATTCCAAATGTTGGCAGTGATATATTAACAACTTGTCCATTTGAAGAGTGTGAGTACTCACAGCCAGCTCCTGTTTGATGTGTTCAATTGTGGCCTCCAGAGCTCTGGTCCCCTTTGTGGCTTCATCCTCTACTGCCTTCACCGTCTTCAGGAGGGACGTCACATTGGTCACCATCACCTACAGCAGCCAAATAACATCATAAGGCTATAGAGCAGACTGATGGCGAAAGAAAAGGGCTCACTGATGCATCGTACAGTGATAAATGTGTTTTCAAAATGCACAGCATTACCAGAGAGAAGACATACCACTGAAATAATACTGTTGTTGAAATGTTTGTTTTCAAGTCTCTATGTAACATGCAGTGTGGTTCAACGGTATGCAACATACGATTAAAAATGTGAGCCTTAACGAGTGCTCCATTAAAGATGTCCGTATGCTTCAAAAGTGCTTCTCTGTTGGTCAAGTAGCATCTGAAACCCCGTCCCAGTGCATCCCACAATCCCACAAACATTCGTACTTCACCCAGCGATCATCCAGCTGTTCTCATTCCTACCCCGCGTGAGGCAGAGTGCTGCTGTGGAGGAGCACAGCACTCCGGACGTCTTCATCTCGTGCCATGTGACTTACCTTAGCGGAGCTCTTCAGCTGCAGCATGCTGGGGTCGTCATGAGGCTTGCCCGCAGCCGCCTTGGTGGCGCTGATGAGGTTGCCCAGAGCTTTGGCCACATCTTTCACTGCATTGATCAGGACCACCTGTAGAATGCAGAACCAGTACCTTACACGTTAATGTGATGCCCTCACAGGGGAAGTGAGTGCACCTAGACACCTAGAGGAGCAGCTGTGTCCTAGTTGGTGTGCTGGATGTGTGTTGAGGGTGTGTCCTTCAGAGGATATCAAGGATATAGAAGAGGATATATAGAACTCAGCATAAATAAGATCAATGCCAGCTTGCTCCCTAAACGTAAAAATTGTTTAGGAGAAAATGAGCATCTCTATCTCCATTTTTACTTTGGATATATTTTTGTTCCATTTGTACTTTTCTTCCCCTTACTATTAATTTTCTTTAAGAATGCATCTGTGTGTTATTTACATTTACATTTTGTAGCTGCACTTAGAAGTCTATTTCTACATGTTGCCTTTCATCCACTTTTCCTCAGTTTAGGGGATTACTGAAGACAAACACAGCTGGCATGTTTTCTGCTGTTCTACCTGAGTTTCTGGGTCTTCAGAACCCAGGCTGGCAGCTCCAAGTTTGACCACATCAGCCAGTTTGGTGATGGTGCACACGGAGGACTGGGCAGCCTGAGCCAGTTTCTCCTGACTGGCTCCAGCACCAGACACCAGCAGCTTGGTGTCCTCCACCAGAGCCTTGGCTGTCTTCAGGATGTATTCTCTGCACACAGGAAGGTCACAAAGTCAATAATAAGCAACATGAAACTGTGACGGCCATATCATAACAGATGATATTATACAGCATTTAATAGTGCAAGTGATAACACTATCAGGCCAACACAATTGGGCCAATCTATTCCATTCAACTATATGATTATATGCTATATACATTATAGTCTGGGATTTAAATTCCTCCAACATTTTGACAAATTTGTTGCTGCATTTTTTAATGTTTTTTAATTGTTCTTTTTGCTCTGAGACTGAGGAACTGGCTGTGAAGATGTTTTGATTTACACTTGAATTGTAATTCCTGTTCATGTTTAAGATTCTTTACCAAACTGTTGGTGTAAGATTTATTATATATGTCCCTCCTGCCCGGTCAGAAGGACATAGGAAAAGTCAATGCTATCAATTTTTGGTAATACATCAGCACTGTGGCTCAGAAGGTAGAGCGTGTTGTCCCTCAATGGCTCAATGGGTAGAGAGGGTCGTCCGGCAACAGAGTTCACTTCACCACCAACAAAAAGTTAGGTAGTTCCTATCACGCTGATGTGTGTTCACATGTTCATTTGTTTCTGTTCATAATGGACACGTAGGAGTCTGAGTAATAAAACATGCATCAGGTATTTATAGAGACATCATGGTTAGTTGTTGTATCATTCTAGACAAACAGCTACTGTGGCGCTAACCTCAGTTAAGCACAGCAGCTAGGTGGCTCTCACACTAACGAGCTGTGGCAGTGCTCCTCTTGTGATTGGGTCAGGAGGGTGTTTGAGCGGAACCTCGGTACTGCAGCTCCATCACCTAATCACTACTACGCAGATTCTGGCTCCAAATGACATCATCAGTGTGAGATGGCAGCACCCAGATCTGTGATATTTTGGTTTCATTTTTGTGCAGTGGGAGGAAGTGGAGCCGCAGCGTCCATCTCTATACACAGTCTATGTCCTGGAGAGGTTCACATATGAAAACAGCAGCGCAAATATCCTTCCAAGAAGAGATGATGACTCTTTAAGTTATCTTCACTTTTCTGGACATGCCGAGGATCCAACGGCCACCATGTTTTCTGTGCGTAATAGTGCGCAATTATATTTGAGATCAAAATAACCCATACAATAACTGCAGTTCAATACCACATTAGTGCCATAAATAAAATGAAAGTAGAATTTAAAATATGGTCATGTATTTAGCATTTTGTATTCCTTTATTTCTTTAATTATTTGTTTAATTCTGTTAGATTTGACAGATTCACAGCCTGGGAACCTGGAAATGAAAATAGTGAAAATGGAGTTGATGAATTTCCTTTGTTCTAAAATTGTCTTTTCAAATAAAAAATAAAATAAAAAATGTATTGCTGATGATTAACTTCAAGAAATGTAATTGTAATGAATGAGTTATATGGTTGACTCCCCAACCCAGTGATTCTTTTCTTTGCTTTGTCTATGACATCATACTTGCCATGATCTATTTTCCTTACAGGGATACTGAAATCTTTTACAGGAGGGTCTGTAGTACCTGTGGTCAGCGAAGGTCTCTGCGTTCTCTCTGTTCAGAGACCCAGCAGTGGCAAACATGATGGTGGTGTCGAGGTCTGCAATGATTCCAGACACAGCGCTGGCTGCTGTGATGCAGGCCTGGGTGCCACGGTTACCTGCCTGCAGGGACGCCAACACATGGGAGACCTGCAAGAAGAAGGAGTTATGAGTGGAAGTTGGATTTACTTCCATTTTAGGTATTCCATTTTAACTAGTAAAGTAACAGTGAGTGAAAAAAGTCGTAGAGTGGTTGGGTGAGTTCTGACCTTCTCTGAGACTTTGCGGGCGCTTTCAATCAGCTCTTTCTTGGTGAACGAGTCATTGGGGCTGCACTGCAGAGCTCCAGCTTTGGTCACCAGACCTGTGCAGCTGAAACCCAGCTCACCCACCTGCTTCTTAATGTGAGAACCAATCTGGACACAAACAAAGATATACATTTGAAAAACGGCACCAAAAAGATGTAAAGCGAGACTTGTCTCTCAAAGGACGGCTGGCTTTATTTACTTCATCATTCTCTGCAGTCACGGCTGCATATTTGGCCTCATTTGCAAGATTTCCAAACTCATTGGTAAGCTGGTTGGCCAATCCCCCAAGGTCATCAGGGTTGGTGTTAGACTTGGTCACCTGAGGAGAGAAACCACAACAGTTGAGTAATAACAAGTGCATCTGTTAGGTTTTAACCAGGTAGATTATAAAAGAAACAAATCACAAATACTGAAAATAAAATAACAACAAACAATACTGAACGTTCATTCTGTGCACAGGACATCTATCACACTTCTGTCCATCCTGATAGAGTGATCCTTCTCTGTTGCTCTCTCTGAGGTTTATGCTTTGTTTTCCCTGTTAAAATGTTTTTGATGTGAGGGTCCTGGGACAGAGGATGTTGTATTCTGTACAGAATGTAAAGCCCTCTGAGGCCAATTTGTGATTTTGGGCTGTACAAATAAAGTGAAAAAAAATTTAATTTTGTATATATCACTCATTCACATGAAGCTGATTTACTCTTCAATCAATACATCTATAAAGGATATAATACATTTCATGACTAAAACATGTCCTGTTCTTATTAGTTTGACATAACATTGGTCAGTGTTGAGGTTACTTTTGAAAAGTAATGAGTATCAGATTACAAGCTACCCTGTTCGAATGTAATAAGTAAGATCGAATGAATGTTATAATATTCTATATATTCGCTTTAGACCAAAAATAATATATTTGTAATCACACACATTTTGATTAGTAACTGTAATGTAATTACACATGTTTTCTCAGTAACTGGTTACAATTACATTTATTTTGTAATCTAAGTACATAACACACATGTACATATAACTAGTTACTCATTCCGACACTGGTCATGAATGATCCTGTGCTGGTTTATGAAATTACATCAAAACCTGTCCACCCTATATCTTTAAACAAAACAACAACAACATTTAAACCGTATTTTCACAATGTTGATCCTCATTCCACACATCTTACACATTAAAGCGAAAGTTACGAATGTAACTACGGTTCTATGAATCCTGGATGACCGCCAGAGGCAGTGCTTAACAATGGATATCTTCTGTTTCGCGCATGCGCAGGTCGAATATTTATATCAACAAAGTGACCTGTGACCTCGGATGACCCCCGTCGTCTATAAGTTCCGGTGTCATCCTGAGATCAGTCCTAAGGAATCTACTCGCGAGTTCACGGGATTCCGAGTGACCAAGAACTCTGGCGGTCATCCAGGATTTATAGAACCGTAGTTACATTGGTAACTTTCGTTCTATTTCATCCTTACTGACCGCCAGAGGCAGTGCTTAACACTGGATGACTTATATCAACAAAGTCACGAGGAATCATCGTAACTACCTCGTATAGCTCCGGCAGAGGAAATTGGCCAAAGAACCCTCCCCAGTGGGTGAGGGGTGGCAACGTTAATTCTGTAGTGTTTGGTGAATGTGCTCAGTGATGCCCATGAGGCTGCAGCACATATATCCTCTACAGGCACACCAGGAGACACTTTTGGTAGAGTGGCCCTTCACCCCGGATGGCCGAGCGCGGTCGCTCGCCTTGTATGCATAGGCAATGGCCTCCACTATCCAGTGGGATAGGCGCTGTTTTTTAGAAGGAGCACAGCCCTTCTTAGGCTCACCATAACTGACAAAGAGCTGCTCCGACCGCCGTATGCAGGTGGTGGCTTCCACATAAGCTCTGAGGGCCCACACTGGGCACAGCAGCCTTGACCTCGCCTCTCCCGATGGGGGGGGTCAAACTGCGTGAGCTGGATAGGCTGGTTGATATGCGAGCGTGTCAACACCCTTGGGAGAAACGCTGCATTAGGCCACAAAGTGACACCCAAGCCATCTGAGTTCCACCTCAGACATGATTCTTTCACCGACAGGGCATGCAGCTCGCCCCCACGTTGAGCTGAAGTGACGGCATGGAGAAAAAACGTTTTGGCCGATAGCCCTCTCGGCTCCGCCTGTGCCAGGGTTTCAAAAGGAGACAAGCATAAGGTGTCCAGTACCAAGGGTAGGTCCCATGCAGGGGCCTTCGGGGCACTCGGAGGACACAATTGCAGAGCCCCTTTTTTGGAAGAGGGACACCAGTCTGTGGCTCTCTCCTGTGTCATTGTCGACCTTAGTATGCTGCCCCGAAATAGCGGCCACGTATACTCCAAGGGTAGAGGGAGACCGGCCCTTATCTAGGAGGGACTGTAGAAACTCAGTACAGCAGGCACGGCGCACTGTACTGGGACCTTGTTCTGACCCGCACACCAGTCAGAGAACAGCTTCCATCTGTTTTCGTCCTGCAGGCAGGTAGATCGCGCCCTGGCATTCAGAATTGTCAGTCTGACTGGTTCTATGCAGCCACTCAGCATCCGGTCGGGCCCTCCCACGGCCAGATCCATAGTTGAAGGCGGCAGGGATTGGGATGCCAAATCCGACCTTCTAGTTGCGACAGGAGGTCGCTCCTGTCGGGAAAGAACTCTGACAAGCGTTAGCAAGATCAGAGGGAATGGTGGAAAGGCATAAAGAAGATCCTCTGGGTCAAGATACCGTGGCTCACACGTGGCCAGAGGACTGGTCCTCTCCGTCAGGGAGACCCAGTGGGGGCAGTGGGTCGACAACACGTCTGGATGCAGCCGCCACTCTCCCGGTGGAGGACAGGAAAACCACAACTTGGTTCCGTTCTCCTGGTGGGTACATTGCCCGAAGGCTGGTCAGGCGAGGAGCCACCCAAATCAGAAGGGCACGGTGATCCCCGTAGCAACTTCTGCAGATCTGGTGCCCCCTTGATGGTTTGTGTGAAAACACAGCAGAGGTGTTGTCCAACCGGACAAGCACATATTTTCCCTTCAAATATGGCAGGAAGTGTTTGAGCGCTAGCTCTAGAACATTGACCTGCCCCTGCGGTCTTTGAGCAGACAACTGCCCCCAAGCAGTCCTGTTCTGTCACACTGCACCCCGCCTTGAGAGGCAGGTATCTGTTGTGACAATCTCCCGGCGGAATGGAACCGAGCCCATGGGGACACTGTTTGCCAGATATGCACTCTCCCTCCATGGGGATAGTGTGAGTAGGCACTGTTTTGATACTATTATTGCCCTGTATCTGTGCCACTTGGCATCCAAGTGAAGGCTGTTCAGCCATCTGCAAACCCAAGGGAACTACAGTTGAGGCAGCTGTCAGTTTACCCAATAGGTGGAGAAAAGGATGTAGGGCAACCGTCTGCCCCCTCGGAAGGGGGAGAGGTTGTGGGGGATGTTGTCCACAAGCTGGGGCGACAGACAGGCCCTTATAGGGCCACACTAATGAAGGTTATGCTCTGAGAAGGGCTCAGGTAGCTCCTCTCCATGTTCACCTTGAGGCCCCACCGGGCCACGTGAGAGAAGGCGAGCAGTGTCCTGTGGCGCCTGAAGCCGGGATGGCGCACAGGTCAGCTAGTCGTCTAAGTACGGCAGTATGTTCACACCCTGTGATTGCAGGGGGAAAGGACAGCAGTAACACACCTTGTGAACACCTGTGGGGAGAAGGGAGAGTCCGAATGGAAGCACCCTGGACTGAAAGTGGCGGCCTTAAAAGGCGAAACAAAGAAACTGCCTATGGTGATGCACCATGGGAATTGTTAGTCCTCAAGTTCGGAGATTGCCTGGCGGGGACTTAGGTAGGGTTGTATTGGTAGCGGGCCGGCCTCTCAGCGGGACGCTGAGGCCCGTGGAGGTTACTGGGGTAAGCTGGAGGCTGAAAAAACGGCCTTGGGGGGCCAAAGTGGGACCCCTAGGTCTGCGGGGTGCAGTCATGACCCTGCGAAAACCAGAAAACTGCTGCCTGGTCTGGCTAGCTTCAACAGTTCGCTGAAGTGCCTGTATAGCAGCTGACCCGAACAGCTCACCAGGTTCCACTGGGACAGTACGGAGGGTCCTCATGTCTCAGACAGGGGTGACTGCGCCAGCCAAACCTGGCGGCGAGTCTGGACCAGGGTGGACATCATATGTCCAAGTTCCCTCGACATGAACGCAAACGCCTGCAATGAAACATCACTGAGGCTGGAGGCGGAAGCGTCGAAAGTAGCCTGCTGCAGAGAAGCTCAGAGGGCAAGCATGAGGTGGGAGAGGGAGTTGCCGATACGGTCCCCACGCTGCTGTGTCATAAGCCCTGGATAGCAGGTCATCTTTGACCTGACGTCGGGGTCGAGGGCACCTGGCATCGGGCCTCAGAGTCTCCTCAGGGGAAACTATGAGGGACGCAATAGTCGGCTAAATGGCTGGCATACGTGCAAGGCCAAATTTTGCCACCTCCTGCATGGCCGTCAGGGTTCGGCCATCTGATGTAAGGCGGGAGAGAGCCCTGGTGTCTCTCCAGCATGCATGCAACTCCCTCAGATATTCCTCGGAGGGAGGAACAGAAAAGGTGGTGAGGGCGGGAAGGCTCCTGAAGAAGGCATTCGCCGGCGGAAGTTCCGGCTGCTGTGTATCCCACTGCAGGCGTGCCAGCGCCATGCAAATGATCGGGGTAGGTTGGGCTGGATTCAGCTGCCCTGACAGGGGGAGGTAGACCTCACGCATCAGGTGTTCCACTTCGGCCAGACTAGCAGATCTTACTGCTCAAGGCATGATGCCGCTGGTCCTGCCTGGGTTCTCCGAGAGGCCCTCCCTCAGATGCTCGAGGCAAGAGGTCATGGCCGTCCTCAGGCTGAAGAGGAGCTATACAGGTCCTACAGCCGGGAGAGTTTAACATGGCCGCGATTCTGGAGGAACCCTTGTCGCACTAGTTGATGCGGAATTCTAAGTCAGTCTGAGCGGGAGCGCTCTGCTGAATGTTGAGAGAACAGGCAGGGGGCAGTGATCTCTTTGGACACTCTTCACTTGGACAGTGGCTGCAGATATTGGTGTCCCACCAGTTAGCTTGAGCGAGAGCACTCTGCCACTGTGGAAACAGACCAAAAAGCAGTCCTTGCGGTGAGAGGGGAGCGAGGACACTCTCTTCACTAGGACAGTCGCAGTAACTAGTGGTGTCCCACCAGTTAGCCTGAGTGAGGACACTCAGCTAACTGCGATAGCCGTAATGTTACAAAGTCGATGGACACAGTCCCAGTATCAGCTTTGTCTAGCTAGCATCTCCCCAAGTTAGCCTGAGCGAGGACACTGCTAACTGTGAAATCTGTCAGATGTAAAAATTAAATCTCAATGGACACAATGTCAATGTCGATCTAGTCGAACAAGTCTCTCACCAAGTTTGCCTGAGCGGGAACACTCTGCTAATCTACCTGATTATACTAATCAATGGCTCCTGAATAAGACGTTAGTCCCACCATCTCTCTCAAACTAGCTGGAAATTAGTGCTTAATCGGGCCCCAGGGGACCGATCCTCATGTAGATAACAGGGGCGGGGCCTGCGACACTAAACAGAGAGGGGCTTGTACTGTCCAGGGGTGGGGTCTGATACACATAACAGGAAGGGACTGTGAGTCAGTGGTAGAGCAGGGTCGTCCTTCAATCAGAGGTTCAACGGTTCAATCCCTGGCTCCACTTAACCCCAAATTTCTTCTGCAGGCTGTGCCATCATGCAGTGTATAAATGGATAGGTACTGGACTAGTACTGCCCAGCGGTGGAACCTGTGGAACCTTTTTTTCATATATTCAACTTTATTTCAGTCACCGGAACTAATTAGGCCATTGGATGACTATCAAAACTTACCATCTCCTGCACAGTGACAGCTATGGCCTTGGCTGTCTTGACCATGGTAGTCTGGTAGTCCACGAAGGTGCCTTCGGGCTCAAGAGCAGGCGTGTCTTCCATTTTATTGATTGCACCATTGATGGAGTCCACCATGCCACCCACAGCACCTGCTGCACTGGCTGCCTCAGCCAGAGTGGCACCCAAGTCATCTACTGCTTCCTTCATCATCTGCACTGACTCCTCCAGGGCCTCCTGCATGTGTGCTGCCTGGAGAAAGGAAAAGACATTTAACATTTTCCACCAGACCATTCAAACAATGGCCATATAAAAAGTAGTACAGGTGGTAAAATAAAACATTGGGCTTATATTAATAAAAGGCTTTTTTAAAAGCATGCATTGTAAGTAACCAGTGAAGAGAGGACAGAACATAAGGTGATCTCGTCTCTCTGAATATGTTAAGCCAAAGAAGGTCGGAGATAGTTTTCGTCTACAGCAAAATTTCAACATGTAACGTTATAAAAGCTTATACGATCTTCTCAAGATCAGCACAAGAGAGGAAAGGCAAGACTTTTGACGTGCTTGTGAATTATGTTTTAAAGGAGAGGTCACTAAGACATAGTGACATCTGGAATCAGTTAAATAAGACAGGAGAATCCATAAATTGACTTGGTGGTTCCAATTATGATTCAGTGCTAGAAATAATAAGTTGGTATGAACAAAACAAGTGTACCAGCAAAATCCTATTCCCATCCTCTCTAGACGATAAGACTGTTCATCAAAATGTGTAGTGTTCAATTGTATCATCACCTCTGCCACATAATCTGTAGTGCTTTGTTTGTTATATGATCATCTTTGGATTCCAGTGTAGTTCTTCTCGAGCATTTTTCTCTTACACACTGATTTTATTGTGTGCTCTCTTGGACATCTCTTTCTACCATTTTGCTGCAGGTACATGTGGTGGTACAAAGACAGACTTTTCTTGAGGATGTTTCAATAGGAAAGTAATGCCTTAAATCAACTTTCAGTTTGAAAGCATCAACCCTTGGAAATGGGACGATTCTCTTGCATGTCCTGGATCACTAGATCAACTCTCTTGTGCGGTGGTCAGGAGATGACAACTGCCCATTTGTTTTTGTCCCATTTGTCATTCTAATCGTAAACAGATCCAGTTCATAAAATCTTGTGCATCTCTCTTAAACCTTTTCCAAATCATTCAACTGTGTTTTCAAGATGATTCTTCCTCTAACCCTTCCTCTACTTGCTTCATTTGCTCAATGACCAACATGGAAGCAAAGAAGAGTAGAAGAGTTACCTATATCTATATCTATAGTAGTAACAACAATGGTCCAAAATTATATAATATGGCATTTATATTTTCAAGGGGGAGAATCTGAGCTGAGATCAGGTCAAATGAACTCTGACAAATCACCAGCATCAGCTGTTAGTTACAGATTATTGGTTACTTTAAGTTTCAGTGCTGTGAGGTGAACGAAACCTGACAGAAATTCTTCAAATATATTGGGATTATTCATAAAAGACCAACTTTGGGGAAACTTGTTTTTCTACAAGGGTAAATTCATGCTAATGCTGAGTCATTTGGCCATGTTCCTCAACCAGCTTCTCCAGAGGACCCAATATAACGAGTGCTAGCTTCAGTACCTTGGGGTTTCCTCCAGCCTCCTTGGCAGTGTAAAGCATCTGCAGGGCCGACTCGGTCAGGGTTTTGGTCTGGTCCAAGACAGCCATCTGCTGTTGGCTGCTGACGATCTTAGACGCTGTGCCTATGGCTGCCATGATCAATGGCTCAAAGTAGCTGGCCATCTGAGATACCTGATCAAATGTGTGCGGAGTAAATGAAACAAACGTGTTAGGCTTAAACAAGTTCAATCAATGTCAATGTAGCCAAATTCAGTCTTTAGATGGACCACTAGTTGTTTCAGCTGTCTGGAGGACTTGTCCTGTGTCCTACCTTGTGTCCCAGCTGGGAGGCCTCGGAGCGAGCAGCCACAGCTACAGGATCAATCAAGTTACTGATCTCATGGACAGAGGCAGCCATCTGCTGATGGAGATTCTGCAACAGATACACACATCATACCATGAATAAAGCTTTATTCAAGCACACATCTATATTCATAATCTGTGGTTGTCATTGCACTTATCACAGGTGCATGAGCCACATTTCCTTCATTTGATTGCCTGAATACACTTCACAGAGTTTTGGTGACTTTAATTTCCCATTCTCACAGAGAGCTCTGAACTCTGGGGCAGGAAACGGCCTGCAAAGGCTTAAGGACAATTTATGACCCCGACCATTTTTTTAGGACCAATATCCTGCATTCCAGGATGTGGCCTGCTCAGTCCCACACGCACACGCACACACACACACACATGCACACGCAGTGAACTCAAGGGACAAAGGAACTGACAAAATTCGAAGCAAAGTGTATATCAATTGATGTGATATACTTAGCAACATATAGAACATTATATGCATAAATATACATATACTGTATATGTGCATACGTTTATGTTTGTGTTGGGATCTGACTATATGGCTTCGACATGTGCTGTGGAACAAAGAGAGTCAGACCTTCCCTTTTGCAAGCAAAGGTTTCATCCTGATTGTAGTTTGATGAGCACCAAGCCCCCCAACTCTGAAGAAATTCACATTAGGGTGTGAGTTTCCTCCCCCCAAAAACTATTCTGTTCCTGAAGTTACCTGAAAGCAGCGCTGCAATCTAATTGGCCGAGAGCCAAGACACCCCAGGACCCCTGTGGTTCAGCCACTGTTCTACAAAACTACCTGCAACCCCCACCTCAATGCTTTTTCCCTTCGACCTCCATCGAGCTAGGGAGCACACCAACGTTGTTTCCCTTTTCAACCAAAACCTAGGTTTAACAGTTTATATTCGCTGCCCGAATTCACCAAACTGTCTATTTTATCTTCGTTCGTATCCACGAAGCGAACCCTTCTATTCCTGCAGAAGTGAAGAAGCAAGACTTCTTCAGAAAGAGAGAGAGAGAACGTCCACTCTCCAAGCGCCTCGTTTGCTCTGGCCATAAGGACGCGAAAATCCCTTACCCAAGACGACAGCGAATCTCTTCCACCGAGAGAACACCTCCCGCGGCCCGCAGCCGCGCTGCCTGGGCCCATCGAAGCTCAGAAGAACCCCCCTCAATCAACACGATTGCATCGTACCGTAAGGCGAAATAGATTCTGGGCAGAGTTAGAGAGAGTTCATTTGTGTTTATTTTATCTTGTTTGTGTGCTGAAAGTACTGTTCATTTTTATAACGTGGTGTATGCTTTATGATCACTGACACTGGCGATCCCTGAAATTGCTAGTATTGTGTAGAAGTTACCGTGTATTTCATGCTACCGTGATCTGTGTTGAGATAGCTGCCTCCTGCGGTCGAAGTTGCTTCTCCTCAGTTCAGGAGGTCAAAACCGCCGGCTGAGACAAAGAGTCGCGGTTCTTGCTCCCCGGGCTGAGAGAGCAATCTTCCGTACTCCTGCGCGGCGCGAAGGATCTTAATCTCTTGTTTTATTTAATTTCATTCCTTTCCCTTCTCGTTCACACACACACACACACACACACACACACACACACACACACACACACACACACACACACACACACACACACACACACACCCCCTCTTTTCCATAGTCTGTTGATTTTAGATAGCGTGCTCATAAATGTATAGTTGTTGTTAGTTTAGATATTAGTTGACTAGATCATTAGTATTAGAACGTAATAAACTCTGTTATATTTTAAAGAGCAGCTGTCTGTGATTACTTTGTGCATGTGTATTGTGATAATAGCTGTATATGTGGTCTGTGCTCGAACTTAAACCTTCACTTTCACTCTGAATGTGTAATAGTACTCAGACTATTGACATTGTGAGTGAACACTAATTATGAGACTTAGTTTATCGTTTGGTTATTGGTCCCTGTTCGCAGGGTGGTGCCCCATTATTATTAATAATCATTAATAATTGTTACTGACATTAATAATTCTATTGATGTCAAGAATTTAGTTTCTTCGATGCTGATAACCCAAACACGCTCCTTTACGTTCCCAACATATTGCTGATAACCCGTGTGAGGCTACGTTATTCCCAACATTTGTTATAATAACAGATATTATAACATGATTGGCATCTATGAGCCGGTTTAATTTAGCTTAATTCAACTCATCAGGTTTTATTTGGTGGGTATCAGGTGTTTGCTATCCGTCAGCAACTGAGGAGGCCCAACTTCAAGATATGGAAGAACTGGTTACTAAACGTTATTCGCTCCTTAGAGAGAAAGATTAAAAGGAAGGAATCAATCAGGAGAGTTTGTTGATGGGGGAGTAAGATTTCTTGCCCTTGGACATCCGCCTCGCCTCCCCTGGACATAAGAAGCCCAAAGAAGCTCTCTTGTTTCTCTTCTCTCCCCAGCCGTTATGTGCCTAAACCCTCCCCACCTGTTACCTATGCCGGCGCTGAACTCCACTGAATATATGAGCTGCACCGAACATGCTAAAGGCCGACATCTAGCAAACTTTGAGAGAAAGAAACTCTGAACTCAACACGGTTTGGGAAAAGCTGCCACCGCTCCCTCGCCCCAGAAAAGTGATGGTATGGGGAAGATGTTACCATCCTGCTGCCTGTGGAGAGTCACCATGTGGGACCAAGCGAGCAGACAAGAGACTTTCTGAGAATGCCCCAGAGCTCCAGATGTCAATCCAGTGCAACTTCTCCGCCAGGTCGATGCTCATTAAAGAATTAGTGCTCGATCATGTCCCATCGAAGTAGAGATAGTATTTGAATTGCTTCGAAAATCTTTCCCTGTAGTTTCAAAGTCAAAGCTGGTGAACGGTGCATAAGTTAATTTTGATTGGTCAACGTGAACGTTAGCTATCCTCCAGTGATTTCACCTGGTAAAAAGCTCCTCCTTCAGTCAGAAAACCGGCATCACCGTACTCATTGCATTTATTCATTCATTTGGATGTTAGTAGTTATTAATCCTGTGTGTAAAGCTTTTCAGAATTTTTAACTGCATCTCATGTAGACCAAAGACATTTCTGAAGCAGATTGAGATAGTTGAAAGTAGAGAAAAAAAACAGTAAGTTGACCTTTAAACTTGGATTGTTTTGTTACAAATACACAGGACACGTGACTGTGAAATCTAAGACACAGCATGACCCATGACAGCATGATGAATTTAACATACATTTTCGTACAAATTGCATTTCAAACCCACCCACACCCACATGTTGTCCGTCTGTGTTTCTGTGTTTACCTCCATGGAGATGTCCTCTCGGGGTGTTAGCTGCTGGCTTATGGCAGCCAGAGAGGCCTGATCAACCTCACGGATGCAGCCGTTCATCACCTCAATGGCATCATCACATTCTCTTTGGCCAGGAGCCTTTTCCCTGCACAGCAACACACGAGATGGAGGGTGTATACAGTGAAAAGTAGCTGGAATGAGAGTACTACAGCACTCTTATAACACACTTGACAACAGCTGAGTAGAGAAACAAACCTTGCTGCTAGAATTAATATGCAATGTCTTGTTCCTCAGCACTCTAGGTTCTCCACTCTTCAAGATCATGCTTCACAAACTACAGACCTTCCTCTAAAGTGTCCTTCTGCATTCTGATGTGGCTGATATCATCATAGAAGTCTATATTAATTTACAAATGAATTTACCCTATCGCAAACTTCATACTCACAGCCAATCCCCCCCAAAGATTAAAAGAAGCATTGCTATATTTGTAATACTTAAGATGTACAGTGGGCCACTGTTAGTGTGTATCTCATCATTCTTTATTTCAAAATGAACGTACAGCAAAGACAGTAGGGCTAAGTGTAAAGGCTTTGGTAGGGTAGGGCTGGAATCTCATCAAACTGAATTTGTTAAGTAGTTTAACTTAATAACCCAATGTGTTTCAGCGACATGGAAGTGCTTCAACTGTCTCTCTGTACCAGAAGTGGAGAAGCATTGCATTGTGTAGATGGACAGCTCATGCTTCTGACCATACTCCCGCATGCAGCTTGAAGGACTGACAGAGCAGTCTGACCAACACTACTTGAATAGTGGCGTCAATCACAGCAGTTTTCCCACACGGTTCTGGAATCAGCTGTTGTTCTTACTGTTGTCATGGTGGCTGGTCAGAATGTGTTGTTATTTGTGTTTGATTATGTGCTCATAATAATATGGTATTATAACAGAATAAGTTGTCTGAATGTGGCTTTTTAAAACATGTGTTGATGAAATATTTCTTCATTCAAAAAACAGGGTTGAGACTCTTTTTGTTAGTTAGTTTGTTGCATTTTAATTTGAGTCGATAAATCAGATTCCAGACCAAAAAAAGGTTTAGTGATTGTTTATGAAGGTCGCAAATAATGTTAATAACTTAATAATCTACATCATCATCCTGATAAGTTAGCATCAGCACTGCAATTTACAAATATAAAAAAATAAGCTAGTTTAGTCCACAATGCTCTTTTGAATCCGATATCTGGTGGATGTGGTGGTGTGAGGTCAAACGACCTCCTCATAAATGTGGACGTGTTCCCCGCTCTGACAAATGTACTGTATATTAGGGAGTGTGAGACTTTTTACTTCTATTTACTACAGCCAGCACGATCAGCCAGAAGTTAGGAGAGACAAAACAAGAAGTGGAACAAACGGGTTGCAAATACTGAAGATGAATAATTGGCTCTGCTAACTGTGGAAGTACCGATGGATCTAACATCACTGAGAAGAAGAAGATGAGCCCTGAGTCTGTCAGAAGGTAGCCTGTAGTAGTAGCAGTAGAGTTTACCTCATGTTGGTGATGAGTTTCTTGATGGAGTCAGACACAGTCCTGGAGTGTCCGGCCAGCACTGACCACTTGGGGGGATCTTTGGGGTTGACAGCCAGAGAGCGGGCAGTCTGGATCAACCCGGTCGAGCTCTCCAGCATCATCTTTGCTGCTGCCACGATGGGCTCCATGGCTGCATGACCCTAAGGAAGATATTCACTCGAGTAAGAAATACCAAATGGTACTGTTTCCAGAAGTTGTCTTTAGCGACGCATAAAGGAATCGCATGAAAGTTTCAGCTTAACAACAATGGTGACCCCCAAGCACTCACTCTTAATAGTGCTTTCCCCTTACCTACTGACTCAACTGCTTAATGAGCACTTAGCAGGGAAACAAGTTTAAATAAGAGGCTCATCTTCGCTTCATTATTTTATGTAATATTAGACGGTGACTGTCATCGTCAAATCAAGGTCTCAATTCATTGCCGAACTGACTTGTTTAGGAGAGAACATACCTCAAGGCTGATCTGAGCAGGAATGCTGGCGAACTCTGGGTTGGAGGCGAAGGCAGTCAGGTTGTCAACAGCTTCTATCAGAGGACCAGTGGCAGCCTTACACTTCTCTCTGTTGTCCTGGTTAAAGGCTCCATCCAAAGCCTGGCAGACAGGGGTTTGAGCCACGATTAGACTCATTGCTGTCTGTTGGACCAAAATGTGGCTCTGATTCAAGACCATTACAATCATAAGAATCATAACCTCCAAACAGACTATACTTCTGGAACAGTAGGGTTTTATGCAGGGCTCAAGAGCCGTTTCCTGCTTTGCCTGCTTGCCAATCCGGCCCTGTTCCTTGAGGACTAGGACTAAACCGGCTAGTTTCAATTGACAGAAATAAAAATACTGATCAATTACGTCAAGTGACATGATAATTTATTGTCTACTGCATCACTTAAAGGGCTGTTCACAGTGTACATAGCCCTGTTGGTTGAGGGCTTAGAGTTTCATACTTGGAACATGGAATGTGGCTCACCCTCCTTCAAATGAACCCAGGTCTAAACAACTACACTTTTCAATGGAAGGGAGTGAATACCAGAGAGGCTGTGGTGGCCAACAGAACACAGCGAGTAAATGAGAGAGATACCGTTTTAGAAGCCATCATGGCTGTTACGTTGTAACCAGAAGAAAATAACCACCAAACAGTCCGTGTTGCATTTGAAACACGGACTGCAAGGGTCAGTGGCCCTCTGCGGGCCTGTCCCACTGTATTTTTAAGTTGTGAATCACCGTATCCATAATTATTGCCCCTATATTGAAACAGGTTAAAAACATGTTTCATTCACTCCCGTCTGGCCCGTGTGCGTCTAGACTGGAGGCTGTATGTGTTCTTTTACTCCCCGTCTACAGAAACGATCTCATTTAAATCTGTGCAGCCGGCTGTCTGCCCGGCTTCTTCTGAGCTGATTCTCACATAACCGCCACCTTAACTGAAGCATTCATTCACACCTCCAGTCTATTTTTCCAACAACACGTGTGTAAACTCGAGGTGGATGCCCAACAATAAAGACACTGAATCTTTATTCACATTTTACAACCGGCAGAGCTGTAGTGATGCGTGGGTCAGGGTTTTTTAAATACCTGCATCCACCTGACCCGTTGTGAGAACCAGCAAACCGCCCTCTCTATGCATTATAGTGGCACAATGATCAGTAATGGCGCTCTCCAAGAGGCCGATCCTGCTGCCGGGAGGGCTAGAAGCTGTCAGAGAGCTCTCTTTCTCTCCAGCCTACAGCGATGGGGAGAAATACACTAAATAATCGGAGAATTTGAACTAGACAGTAGCCTTTATGTATACAGGGCTACACTATCTTTTTTATTCCAGTGTTTGACTGCGTACAACTAAAAGGAAAACCATGAATGCTTTGGAGGACAGAGCATCCTAAGTGTGCACCATTAGTCCCATTTGTTCGATTCATCATGTCTGGCCCCTCTCTATGACAGCAGGCTTATTGCCCCGCCATTCAGAACAGCTGTTAACACTTTTACCTTCAGACATGATCCAACGCCAACTTTGCAAACTAGTTGGTTTGAAGCATACACCAGCCTGTAAGGTTGGCCCAGTGCTAATAAATGCAAACCAGGCATTTTCTTTTACTCAACACAGAGTATCTTCTTTTCCTTTCATTGATGATGAATTTGACAGGACTTGTACTACAGACCTTTATGGACTTGACGAGGTTGGCAGTGGTGTTGGCCACCTCTTTGGCCGACTGGACAAACTGCCTCTTGGCAACAGGGTTGGGAGTTTTGGAGGAGGCCAGGCGGCAGGCGTTACACAGAGCGGAGGTGTGTTTGGCCACAATGGTGGCTGCAGAGAGCACCTGGCAGAGAAACAGTGCACAGGGGAATCAAAATTGTATTCAAGCACATATAGACTCACCAACCACGATGAAGAAGACCGGTGTTGACTCTGGCAGTGAGTGTGATGTCGCAGTGAGGTCGGCATGTACCTGGGATTGGGTGCAGGCCGGGTCCACCAGGTTCTGGCAGGCCATCTGAATAGACTGATTAGCCCGGGCAAACTGAGCGGGGTCCACCAGGCCCCTCTGACCTGCTGAACTGTTGGGGTCCGATACTCCAACCAGATAGGAAGCCTAGGGACATCAACAGATCAGTGGTCACTTTACAATGAAGCTCAGTGGACGTTCAGTCAGGAAGACTATCTTTACACTCATTCATTCACTATTCATTCCTTCCCTCTGTCTCTGCGGCTTCTACTCTATCAGCTGATTGTGAGCATTCATTTTTACCAACCAGATTCTGCCACGGTTTCCCTTAAAATTCTTAAACTGCTCTCCTCTCTTCTGCTGTCACTTGTCATTGCAGTATGAACCAATGCCACCCTCCTACACCCCCTTCCCCTCCAGTCTCCATCATATCCAGTGCCCAGTCCTGCTCCTCATCCCATCATTGGATCTTCAGCAACTTCTTTCATCACCACCAACACCAGTGTCTAGACTCCAGGGGGAATATTCTTGATCTAATCCCAGTATCTCTACTCCCTTTTAATATACTAATGGAGTCTGTAATGGGAAAATATGTTATAGTATCATGTGAAGTTTTAAAGAATGTAAAACTGATTTGTGGAACACAGACAGACACAAAACAGTAGTCTTGCAGAAGATTTTAATTAGTTTTGAATCTAGGTGTCCGTTATCTTTTCTCCCACAAGGATGATAAGTGAAGAGACACAGTTGTCTTTGTTTGTAAGGCAAAGATTGAGACAAGACCTTGAAACCGGAACTGAATGTCTTGGCAGAAATATCTAATGAGCAGAAACAGACAGCCTGTGTCTGAAATACCTATACTCCCCTTTTGACACATTATCTGAAGTTGTAAAGGCGTGAACCTTTGTATGCATAAATGATGTTGAATATTGCTCTTCGTCGAAGCATTCACACAGTCTACTGAATACGTAGTTGCTGTGCTTTCTTCCCTCTTGCAAGAGAATAAACGGAAAAAGACAACTTTGAATCTTCTGATGACTTCATTATTGATTTGTGAACAAAAACTCTCTTCTCCCGATTAACCTAGAACTTTTCCACCACAAGTCCCATCGCCAAAGACTCTTCACTATTCATTTCATCCTGTATGTGTAATAAATTAACTCATCATTTCTGCTGCTCACTCTTCCTCCCTGCAGTATTAGAAGACTTTTTTTATTGACAAATAGCTGCTAACAAAGCTCCTCTACTTCAGTGATAAACACATTCTTCACAATAGAAGAATATCCGGTTATCATGTTACTAAAATGTTGTTTTGCATCAGCAAAATCAGGAAAAGTTGTAGATTAACTTGCTGAACTCAGAACGTTGCTTTTGTCATATTTTCTAGTAATCTGCATCACTACTGTCCACACCTCTCTGAGATCTAAACTCAATGTCAGCCAGGCCACCTCGCCATGTGGTCTGGCTGATCAGATCCAAATGTGAGCTAAATCCGATCTCTGAGCGTATAGAGTTGAACGCTAATGCATCCCGGCATGATCGGACATCAAACGCTGACAAAGACGAAAAGACAAGTGTAACCACGGCCTTGGTGGTCTCAGACAACAGCAACAAAGAAAAACCTTCAGTAGTGGTTTTTACCTGTGCAGCTGCTTCAGTCAGACCACACAAAGCTTTGGAGCCAGCACTGACTGAATCACCAAACTCTGGCAGGTTGGAGTTCTTGGCATTGTGGGAAATGCCAGCCATGGACTCACCCAGGACCTGTCAACAGGAAACCAGAGACTAACATAAGAGACATGGTTTAGTCTGGACTGTCTTCATACACTTCTTATGATGATCAGAGACCCCTTTGTTGGTACTGACTGACTCATGTTGGTAGCACAGGGTGTCAGAGCTAATAACTGCTCACATTTATTCTCTTGTTTATTGATCTTTGGTCAGACAGTTCCTGATATAATCAAAAACCTTTCATCCAGTTTGAGCTGTTCATATTTAAAATTTGAGAACAAAGGTAACCTGTAAATATCTTTGTAAGTAAGATTTTGGTATGGGAACCAATCAGCACTGGTATCCTAAAAAATCCAAAGCTGTCCCTTCTGAAAAAAGTGAAAGATCACACATGTACACGTTCTGCTTTACAGCACAGTGACTGGAAGGACAAAGAGAAAAGGACAGAATGGGGTCAAATGTTTAAAAGATGACAATTACACCATTTATTTTCACCAACAAAAAAACAACCTGTCAACTCAACACAATTAACAGTCTCAGGACGTCCTTATAGTTAGTTCCACATTACAAAGTCAGGAAATATAGGACTCATAAAACAAAGCATTGTAAAACTTCAGAGGAATTTCACTGGAACACTTTCAATAGTGAAGGACAGCTCGTCCTCTGATAGATAAATGTATACATCTTAATGCAGCAGAGCAGCACCTTTTGTGAGAGAAATTAAACTGCTGTTGCTTTTTTGACAGCGCTAAATGTAGGGAGGTAAAGAAACGAGGAGGGCGATTGAAGAAAAGTGAAACAACAAGAAGATTTCCTACCTTTGAGTTCTCCATGACGCTGTCGATGCAGTCGAAGTACGACAGTTCGTTGACGGCTTCTGTCGGGTTCTCCAGCATCCCCCTCACCGACTGCACACAGGCACAACACAGTCACAATGCACACACGGGAATCACACGATGTACCGGCACATCACAGCTGCATGTCACATGACCGCTTTTGTGATCTGTGTACTCCTGTACATTAAATGTGAGGCTCACACATTTAATTTGACTTAATGTCACATGGCATCTATAGATCCATAAATATCACAAACATTTAAACCTGCAGTGAAATTACATTACAGTCATTTAGCAGACACATTTATCCAAAGCGACTTAAAATTCAGATTCTATCACATTTCTACACCGTAGGCACAGCTACGGGAGCAATTTTGGGGTTAAGTGTCTTGCTCAAGGACACATCGACATGCGACTAGCGGAGCCAGAGTAGGGGATCGAACCACCAATCCTTTGATTGAAGGATGGCCCTGCTATCCACTTAGCCACAGTCGCCCACAATGAGAGGCATGGTTATATGTATAATGATTCCTCTCATCTAATTTCTGCAGTCTGGCTTCATCAGAGTTTCCGTACAGGTGATCACATTCTCCCGTCAAGTTTGTTTTTATAGATCACAACTTTTGCGTGGCGTACGCCTCTTTCAGGCCTCGTTTTGTGCGTAGGAAATGGTCATAAAGGAGACCCCTGGACTGTGCTGTCTGACACTATCTTAACTCTGCAGGGCACGGTTTTATCCTTCTCTTTTATTCTCACTGTATACTGCTGACTAAAGGCAGAGTCAGTTTTAGACACTGCACTAGTTGGTCTACTTACCCAAAGCAATGACGAGAACTATAAAGCAGAGATTGAATCATTTGTCAGCTGATGAGATGCAATTTGTTTTTAAATGAAATGTTGGAAAGAGGTCTCCTCAGTGATAATTAAGGGTCAGCAGATAGAAATTGTCCAGTCATATAAATATCTTGGGGTCTACCTGGATAGTAAAGTAAATTGGAAAAAGAACAGTGAGGCTGTAATCAAAAAGGCTCAGTCAAGACTATCAGCAAAAAGCTTCTTCATGTTTCATTTCAGGGCCTTACCCCAGACCCACTTGAGGTCACTGTAGAAAAGAGAATAATGGCAGAGTTGAAAACGGTTGTGTATTGTGAAGGCCATCGATCACACTGTGTTTTTAACGGTCAGTGAGTGACTATGGATGACTCAGTGTTCTACGGAATGTCTGAGAAGGTCTTTTGTTCCAGCAGCGGTCAGATTTTTTAGATGTGGTTTTTAGATGTGGCATCTATCAGCTGTTAATCATGTCTCAAATGGCTTTTAAATTTGTTTTTATTTGTTGTGTGTATTGTCTATTGCTTGTTGTCTGCATGAGTTGATTTGGTGGCAATGAGTCTCCCCATTGGGGATTAATGAAGCCTTCCAATCTAATAAAAGTGTAAATTAGCAAAGTGTGGAAATAAAGTGACAGCTCCATATCCTCATGGTGCTCATTGGTTTGTGTACATTTCCTCATTTGTACGTACAAGAACATTTGGCGTGGATCTTACACACTGAAACATCATAACTCAATCTAAGAGAAGAGGAGATGAACCAGTAGAGGACTGAATACTAAAAGGATGGTTGTTACCTCCAGCTCTCTGAGAGCATTGTCACACTCCTTCTGACCAGGAGCCTGCCGGGTGCACATGGTGATGAGCTGGTTGATGCTGTCTGTAACGGCCCTGTGAACAAAAAGGCTTGGAGATGTAAAAGATGGATAGACAGTAAGAGAAGAGCGACACACAAAGAGACAGAAGGATGTTTCTTACCGGGCGGCGGCTGCTAGCTGGTTCTTGAGGTTGGGGGAGCTGGGGTCAGTGGACAGGGCTTTGGCTGCCAGCAGCAGCTTGCTGGATGACATGGAGATTGTCTTCAGGTTGGACACCACCTGTGTCTGGTCATCTTTAGACTGGACGAGAGCAGGAGGAAGGTATTCTCGGTATTTCAGAAACTTTAAACTTACAGAAACTATATCATACAACTGTTTACTGAAATAAAATGATGACTCAAAATCTTGGCCCATGCCTACTCATCCTGATAACATGACATCACCTTCATTACTATCAATACACAGTACTGTATTTTGACTTAGTCCCACAAACACCGTCCTGCTGCCACAGGTACTTACTAGAGCACCAAATGTGGATTCATCCACCACTGAAAATAGTCCCAACAAATGCACTATTTACTCCTGCTTGAGTAACATTTGTTAAAAACTACAGTGACCAGGAAATCACTGAGCCTTTTTAAAAATGAAACTATATATTTTTAAAGATGTCTTTAGTTGGAACCTGAGCTTTTTTTGTTGAAGAAAAGAGCCCGTCTTGTAAGCACATAAATGTTCAAATGAGTTGTGGAAAGTCATGGTGTCAAATTACGGTCATCACCTAGATCCTATCTATATTTATACCATTTTTCTGTTCAGGCTGCTGAGGATTACTTTGCTGTCATCACCTCCAATCAAATAATTCAGTTGCCTCCCTTGCTGAGTGGATCAGGTGTCAGTAAACTTAACAGCAGACTGCCCCCTCTGTTGGAATGTTTTAAGCCCGTTTCACATCCGGCCACAGCCAGCATCACTTATGCATGTATCCTCTCATTATTCTGACCTGGGATGTTCCGGCCATGTCAACACCAGCCTCCAGGAAGTTGCTGAAGTCCTGTCCAAACTTGCTGGTGGCCCTGGCAAGGTCCTGGGTGGTCCCTCTGGACGCCTGGACCACCTCGTTGGCGGACTGGTTCAGACCAGCCGCCACGTCGTTGAGCTGAGCCTGAACCTCCTGGAAGCTCCTTCCACTGGACGGGAACTAGAGAGGGAGGAGAAGGACATGAGAGCTGCAAGTAGCAACATGGCCGGCAGAGAGCAGTGTAGGAAAGCAAAAACATATTGAAATGAAAATATGTAAGCAGTTGCTTTACAGTAGCACCAACATCTGGGAAATTTGTTCTCAGAATTATGAATGCAATGTTTTGGATGAGACTTGTACATTGTTATTTATGGAAAGGCTGTTTTGGGCAAAAGAAACAATAAATGTATCATAAAATCAGAAAGTAGACAAAGAAAAAAAAATTGATTTTAGGATAACTAGTCAAGATAATTGCTTTATAACTATTAATAATTACTTGTCCATATCTAAAGATGTGCTGTACAGCAATTCTGGGAAAATTTGAGAATGAAAGTAATTTGTTTTCGAAACATATGTCCGATTTACATTTTCTAAAGCTACCTTAATTTACTTTTTTGGCCACTTGCGAGCAGCGGAACAAGATGAAACCACACAACACACGACACTGACATACGTATCCTCACCTATTTAAGTTGTGTTCAACAGAGCACCCTGGTAGCTGAATAGTTACAGCCTATGACAAATCTCCTATTCAATATCAGCCACCAGACCTTGGCTGCATGTCACACCCCCTCTCTCCCCACATTTAGTGTCTGCCTCGAAAAATGCCAAAAACATTCAATAGACAAGAATGTGTCATTTGGGACCCCACCATGCAGTTCTCTATTTTGATTTTGTGTCACGGAAAGAGAGAGAGAGAGAGAAGAAACTATGAGAAACAACAGGCTTCTGGGCTTGGTCCACTAATACAGAGGAGCTTCACTATAAAACCCACAAAGAGTTCACCTCTTCTCTATTCTTGTGTCAGTAATAATGCAATCTGACTAACTTACAGAATCAGACAGCAGAGTCTTGCTGGCTTCGCCCACAGTGCGGATGGCGTTGTCCACATCTCTCTGGCCAGGAAGGCAGTTCACACATCTGTTCAAGGCCTGAGACACTGCCTTAGCCACCTACACACACACACATGCACACGCACACGCACACACACACACACGCACAGTGTTGAATTACATGAGTAAAACAAGTTTCGTGTCTCTGCAAGTTGATTTTCATGAAGACTGAGTCATTGTCTACTTACTAATCTGCCAACTGTCTCATTACATTCTCCTGTACCTGCTGGCCAAAGCTAATGCTATCATCTGCAGCCTTGCTAGCTTCTTTTCTAATAAGACATGGTAGCAAAAGCAGTTTGTCCAGCAGGGAGATACAGCACTATCATTAGCGGACTTTATCTTGATGAAAGTGATCAGTCAGGAATAAACCACTGTCTCACCACTGGCACCCTCACTGACCTGGGCCAGCCGCTGCTGATTCTCTGCATCTCCTGGCTTGGCGATGGCCCTCTTGGTCTCTTCGATCAGGTTGCCCGACTTATCCATGACGGCACCGGCACAGTCTAGCATGGCGTTGCGCGCTGGTGGGTCGTCTGTGGTGGCAGCGACTCCTCTGGCGGCTGAGGCCAAGGACTTCAGAGCCTGTGCCACGTCTCTGGCTGCCATGCCTGGATCCAACAATAGAGTAACTTCATGAATGCACGCGTTACTGTAATTACCAAATGTAATAAATAAATAAATGAGACAAAGCACATGAAGAAATGAGCACATGACTAAATGCAGACATTTTGATTTGAAGTAATCATAAAAATTATTAAATCTCCACTTCTTTTTTATCAAGACATGCTATTTAATCCTTCATCATCAGGTCTTTGGAAACAGCAGACAGGTGCCGTTTGGCCAGAAGGGTTGCACCTGTGGCAGTGGCCAAAGCAAACACCTGAGTGTGGGAGGAGTTTGGGGAGACTATGGAGAAGGACTTTTAGGTGGCCTCAAGGAAGTTCTGACAAACTGTTGGACGACAAAGGGAAAGCACAGCTTGGCTCTGGCTGGGTTTAGCAGGTGAGAACTGCAGTTCTGGACTGGGATATTGTCAAGCAGTAGAAAGAGCACTTTAAAGGAACTCCTGAACCCGACCAACATGTCCTCCATGGAGAAGGAAGAGTTTGAAGACTCCGAGGAAGACTCATCCATATTCCTGGCAGAGGTCGCTGTGGTAGTCAAAATGCCCCTCTGTGGCAAGGCACCAGGGGTGGATGAGATTCACCCTGAGACGCTGAAGGCTCTGGTTCTGTTCTTGGGCTGGTAGTTTCCATTTCTAAAAAGAGGGACCAGAGAGTGTGCTCCAAATATCGTGGTATCACATTGCTCATCCTTCCAGGGAAAGTTTATTCCAGCGAGCTGGAAAGGCTTCGACCGATTGTCGAACCTCAAATTCAGGAGGAGCCTTGTATAACCAAAGTGAGAGCTGTGTCAGTATACTCGGCATTAAGTCAAACACATTTCCACTCGGTGTTGGCCCCTTGTCACCAATCCTGTTTGTGATTTTCAAGGACAGGATCTCAAGGCTCAGCCGGGGGTAAGAGAGTGTCCGGTTTGTGACCTCAGAATCGTGTCTCTGCTCTTTGCAGATGATGTGGTTCTGTTGGCTCCTCCAGAACGGGACCTTCAGCAGCACTGGGGCGGTTTGCAACTCAGTACAATGCGTTCCGGATGAGAGTCAGTACCTCCAAGTCTGAGGCCATGGTTCTCTGCCAGAAAACGGTGGACTGCTCCCTCTGGGTCTTCACCAGTTCACCAGTGAGGGTAAAATGGAGCGTGAGATGGACAGGTGGTTCAGGGCGGCGTCAGCAGTGATGTGAGCATTGTACTGAACAGTTGGATCGCTGGAAGGCGAAGCTCTCATCTTATTGTTTTCATGATTTAACTTTGACACTTTGGATCTCTTTATGGTGAAATCTTTTCATTTTTTTGTGTAGTCCATTAAAAATGTGTTTTATTGTTTTTTTTACATAAAATTAAACACTATTTTAATGTCAAACATTTTGTCGGCAGCAATTTGTTGGCTCCTTCCATAAATTAATATTTGCAGTGTTTTTGCGGCAGTACACGATGTATAGTGAACATCTCTGGATGTGATGGGATAGTCAAAGCAAAAGAGCAACATTTAATTCCTGTTGCTCTCGTCTAGATGTGTGAACGTTGAACCCACCTGTGTAGTTCTCGTTGCCCTGGGTGGCCTCACTCAGCAGCTGAGCCATGGCTGAGCTCACAGCCTTGGTGCTGGTACCCAGATCCTGGGAACATTTCTCAAGCTGAGCAACACAGCAAATAGACATGGGAAGAAACAAACTGTTATTCACACCTTTCATACGTCCAGTTCAGGGCGTGGCACAACCTGGTGGGTAAAGAATTCAGTTTGTGTGCGTCTCACCGTCTCTCCTGGCAGTGGTTTGAGTTTGCCCTGCTCAGCTGAAGCCTTGGCTTCCTGGATGTTCTTCTCCAGATCCCTCACCATGGACAGAGCGTTGTCTATCTCCAATGGACCGCATGCTTCCTGAGCCTGTATATATAAAAAAGTAATTTTCTTAATCACACAAGATAAAACTGGACCTGTTAAAGTACTTTTGAGGGATGAGCAATATGCTTGAAATGTTAGCTTAAAATTTCAACTTGCTTTTAATTATTGTGTCAAAAACAACACTATATGATCGCAACAGCCCAATATAATTCTACTTTAAGTCAATAAATAATGGGCCTGGTGCAAGAACCCCTCGTGCATACAGATTTGTTCTGAAGAAGCACGTGAGTGGGATTTAAGAGCATTCGTGTCATTCACCAATTTTCGAGTCACTGTACACACAGTCGATCACATGACCACCTCTCATATCATTCATCGCCTCTTTGTTTTGGACGGACATTGTTAGTGTTACCTTCATGGTATCATCATCAAGAATCATTGCCAGCAGTATTACTAATATGTTAGAATTGGTCAGGTCCTCTAACATGACCACTGACACTCCTGCATATGTTATCTTTTGGTCAGCTGAAACATCAATATATAACAAATATTCACATTGGGCATTGACAGGCAGTATTGTGACAACAGGCTAAAGTACACACTTCCTATTATCCATTAAGTGAGCTAAAAACAACCCTGTCTTTACAGAGGTACCCTATAGTCGACTGGGTTTGTAGTCTGATTAATGCTGTTAGGAACCTCATTCCAGTATCTGAGAGAACTTCTACCCATCTGGCTTCTGAGTTATCAGAGTCAGATTAGCTCCACTGGACCTGTTGTTGTGCCTGTGAGTGTCTCTGACCTGCGGGGAGAACAAGTAATACGGGGCTACACCCTTTACAAAGTTGTGAAGCTGACAGAATTTGAACTGTGTCACTCTTGACTCCACAGGGAGCCAGTCCACTGCATGACCCTCCCTACAAGGCTGAATCCTTCTGGTCAGTTGGTCGATGTGCTCTGACAACCACTGGGGTTTCTTTCATAAAGAGAAGAGCATTTCTTGATCCATTGATTTCCGAGGCAGGAGGGAGGGGGAGAGATGGAGAGAGATGCCCTTCCTCCTAAAATGTAAAACCTTCAATGAAATAAGGAACAAATTCAACTCTGTAATCACAGATTTTAAAGAGTTTAATGAGCTCTCAAAATTAAAAATATTCCTAAGAGAAGAACGCCTTGCTGCCCAATATGTATCAATATGCCTGAGACACATACACGTAATATGAATTAATATTCATATTGATAATGTTGTGTACTTTATTTTTACTGTATTTTCAATGCTTTGGCAACATTGTTTTTTGTTTTTTTTACTCTCATGCCAATAAAGACACATTGAGAGAGTGTTTTGTTCATGATATAACTGCAGTTCTATTTTTATAAATCATATGAAGATGGGCAGCTTTGAGTCGGATCTTATCATTCAAGTATAAAATAATTACGTTAAAATAAAACATTATGCTTCAAAAATACTTTTATAATTAATTTAGGTGATGTGGTTAATGGACCAAAGGATTGGTAGGTAGGTAGAATCTCTTTGGTTGACTACAGCCTTACCTCCCTACAGTCTGTGCTCTGTGGACCGAGACCTCAGACCACTCTGATCAATTCCTTTTGGGAGACCTGAAGTTTTAGCTTCACTAGCTTGCGAATACCACAGTACGAGGGCGCCAATGATGCTAATGATGACGCCTCCTCAGGATCAGGCGGCATTCATCAGGCTGAAAGAAGCACTTTACAACGAGCTCAACCAGTTAAGAGAGTTTGCTGAATCTGACTGGGAACACTAGTGTGAACACACCTCAGAGAAAAAAGCAAGAGAAGTTTAGCATAAGAATTCAAAGATGTTCTCGCATGAGACACTGCCTACCGCTGCACAATTCATACTAGTAATGCATCAAAAACAGATGTCTTTAGGTCTATTAATGACAGTACCAGCACCGTCACTACAGCACACATAATTTACGAGTAAAACCCACCAACCTTTTGTCGTAGAATGGAGATTAAGCTATATAAAGCTCTCGCTGTGTAATTCTTAAAAGCATGTCAGTAAATTTTGAAATGTGTCCACATCACAAGGAGAATATAATAAAGAGCGTAGATGTGTAGTACCTTCTGTGAGGTGGCACGGAGCTCAGCCAGGGCACTGGCCAGGTTCTTTGCACATTGGCCGAGCTGCATAGCGGAGGCCTGGTCACCGATGGTGGGAACTGTGGCCTTGGAGGCTGTAACCATCTTAGCACCGGGCTGGTAGAGGAGAGGAAGAGACAAACTGTTAGTTCTACAAAGAACTTACTGAGGGGTCCAAAACCTCTTATGTTTGTCCTAAAGGGGAACTGCTGTTCAGTCAGTGGACGTGAATATTCTCTGCAAATGCGTGATGCCCATCGGCCTCATTTTCATCAAAAGGAAGTGCCAGATCAAAAAAGAACTATCAGATCTATCCTCCAGACCATGAATATCTAGTTATTGCTTCATACTGTTGACCATTTTCCCAAGCACAGTGATGTGTTTTTGACTTTTTCAGGTTATTTAAGAACACTATAAAAATACATTTCCAAAGACTTTGAGTGTTGAGTAATCACAACAGATAGCATGTCAGCAGTGTTTTTTTCAACTTCTCAGTGTGACATTGTGCATCAGAACAGATCTCATAACCTGAATAACAACAAAACAATAACTAAAGCTCCACTAGAATGACCGCTTCATGGTTGTGTGCCTCCAAGCAGTCAGGCTGCAGTTAACATCCATGTCGGTGCAAAATGTCATCACTTCATGGGGATTCCTAGTGAAGGTCACAGTGACCTGTGACCACCAAATCAGTTCAACCTTGAGTCCAGGTAGACGCTTGTGCCAAATAAGAGGAAATGTGATGAAGGCGTTTGTGAGACACCACGAGAATAGGATGCACGTGAGGTCACAGTGAGCTTGACCTTTGACCACCAACATCTTATCAGTTCATCCTCGAGTCCACTTACGGACAGACGATCTAAGGACATAATGCCACCGGCCATGGCCGTGGCCAGTGCGGAGGCATTCAAAAAGATGTTGGTGGGTGTATTTATCACTGCTGTACCACCATTACTGTTCTGCTCTGGTAGAAGTCTATGGCCCTGTTACTGTACTGATGTACGGCTATTGTGAAAAACCCTAGATGCGTTTCCCTGGTTCACTGAGTGAGTGTGACGGTCACCTGCAGGAAGTTCTGGCTGGCACTGATGAGGGCCAGCTGAGCGCTGGGGCTGTCGGGCTGAGACTGGCTGCCTCGGACTCCCTGAACCAGCTGAGGGATCTGCTCTGCCACCACCTGATGTCACACACACACACACACACACACACACACACTTAGATACTCACCTGCTGTGAAAGCACATGCCCTAGGAACTCAGAATGTCATTCAATCAATGTATTGTAATCATGTAGAATATGAAGAAGAAGGATGCAATAAAAGATATGAAAAGATAAAACACAGAGTGGGAGGACTAAAAAATGAAAAAGAGACAAGCGTGTTTACCTTGCAGCTCTGGACGAGCTGCTGCTGGGCGGCCTGGTTCCTGTTGGAGGAGGCGGCGTGCTGGGCAGCAGCTATGGTCTGAGTGGCAGCTGCTGCGGCTTGTTTGGCTGCATTCTGATAGGAAACAGGAAACAGACATGTGTCAACTTAAGGCCCCTGTATATGACCATCAACAAATATCATTTAGAGTTGGATAACTGAATAAAGTAGCTGGAACTACATTAGCAGCTAATATCAGCCGGTTATCACTTTAAATTACCCTTTAAATCCACAGAAACAGTAGCCAAATGTCAAGTTTGACATACCTGAATATAACAAGAGCAACAACTTCCAGCAGCTACTAATAACAGAGCATAGTATTGTAGACGTAATACTCTTCTTATGCAGCATTATCAGATATTGTCTTTAAACTACATTCACTTTTAGCACTTCATCACCTTCCTAAAATAATGGCTTACGTCATTTTTTGACAAAAATTATTTTGCTGCCTAAATCATCTCCTCATGATGCTGGCCACCTCTGGTAAAATCGCCTAGATCCTCAGTTGAACAGATCATGTGATTCTACCCCTGATGGCCAATGTCAAAAGTGTGACTTAGGCTGTTTTATTTTGCCCAAGTCAAAAGACCTGAAAAAATGAGTTGGACCATTATTTTAGGAAGGTGACGTCTTGCAAGCTAACACATGGCTGAAGCAGCCACTTGATCCCTTACATGGATGCTTGGTAAGCTTGTAGCTTGTGTCATTAGGTGAAGCGCTCACAGAGACATAGAATATAAATGTCACACATAGCACATGGCACAGGCCTACCAAGAGAACATCATACAAGTTAAAGCTACATCGAGGAACTTTCATTTTGTGTAGATTCTGGCGGTCCCTGTGGACAAAAGTGGTAGTGTCTTTAGAAAACCTCTCATTTTACTGTCCCGATGAGGACCTGTTAAAACAGCTTCCACTGGTCAATCCAATCATTCTGAGCAGGCAGCATTAAACACAATCAGGGGTTGTCAATGTCGCTCAGACTGCAGTACTTATTTGCTCCGCCTCCTTCCTTTTTACCTCGAGCTTGTTGACCAGACGTTTCTTGATGGCGTTCTGAGCGGCAGCGTTGGTGGCCATGCGGAGACCTTCAGCAGCCTCTCGCAATTTCTGCTGCTGCTCCTCACTGTCGGGGTTTGCCGCTGCCCCCTGGGGTGAAACACACACAGATCACACACATTCATCCAACAGGCTAATGGAAATGAGGACGTCTGGTCATTGTGTTAAGGGCAGACATGATGAAAGAGAGAGACAAAGGTGGACCTTAGCGGCCTCCACCATCTTAGCGGTGGCATCAGCCAGCAGCTTGGCAGCTGACAGCAGCTTGCGTGAGTTCTCCAGGTCTGTCTCTCCCTCTGCGTCCATCTTGATGGCGTTGACCAGATCAGACGTGGCCTGGGCAAGGATACGAGCCTGACGGACCATCTCACCTGGTGGGTTAAATGAGAGTTTGCATATTGCTATTGGCTCCTGAGAATATGATGTAGTTTAATAGTGAGGGTATTGAGGAATAAATCCTCTCACAGACATTGAGCAGCGACAGCTGGACCATCAAAACAACAGATGTCACAGTGTGTTAATCTGAAGCAAATGTAGGAGGGATGGACAGATGGATGGCACCATTTGGATGCCCAGCGGTGTGATGTGAGCCCTGTGGTCCTGACTTCACCTACCAGCGTCTCCCATCGAGCTGAAGATGTTCTCGGTGACATCCAGAATCCTGTCGGTGGCTTCTCCGTGGCGTCCGATAGGATGGCCTCCGCTGGCATACTGTTTGATGTGTTGGAGCAGCTCATTGAGGGCCTGAGTGACACCCGTGGCGGCCACGCCCACCTGTTTCAGGAGGCCCTCGTCATTGGTGGCCCCCTGTGACGCATCTACACAGCCCTCTACTGACTTGGCCACCAGCTTTCCAGCCTCAATCAGCTGCTCCTGGCACACTGGAGAGCTGATGGTTGGTGCCACCACCTTGACGAGTGATAAGATAGAAGAATAAAAACAGCTTAGGGTGCATTCACATACAACAGCTTCCAGACGGTGAATGCTACAGCCACTGAGTAGGTATATTTCTCAGGTGGACTACTCACCCTGGTGCAGGCCACCAGCTGAGATGTGGACAGAGCACACTGAGTGGCTGCAGCTATGACCCGGTTCTGCTGGGTCGAGTCCTCCGTCCTCTGAGCCACGTTCTTAGCTTTAAGCACCAGAGCCGCTGCGGCATTAGCCACAGCCTTAGCCAGATGCATCAGCATGTCCTGCCAGCAGCAAACACACACACACACGCACACGCACACACACAAGTTAGCATCACTTAGCACTGACCACTCATTACTCATAGGTGAAGGAGGGACAGTTATTTATGAAAATGTAAAGATTTGAATGCTTTGAATTACATAGATTATCAATGAAATTATTCACAAAACATGATTGAAATGTGAAATGATTAATAAATCTTCAAAACTTGCTATCAAACTAAGGAAGGTTGAGTCATTCAAACGTGATTAGGCTTTATCTCTTCAATGCTGCCTCCAGGTTCCACATTGGTTATTTCATATGATTGTCACAAAAGGAGCGTCCATCACAGTGTGCCAATGAGCCACAAAATTTAAATATTAATAACAAAGCTATGAGTCAAGTTCCTTAACTTTGTTTATTGTGCGTTTTGTCTCTTTTTTTGGTAAATGAATTACACTCAAAATAGGAGTGTAGGGAGGAAAGGAAAGAGTCTGTAACCATAACTGTGTGTATATTCAATGACTAAAGACGATACTATCATATGTTTATTATTAACGTGATGGAAATATTTCATTTTGAAATATAAGAGTTATCGTTAACAGTATATTGTTACACCCCTACTTCCAGCGAAATAAAAAAGCCCACTAAGACCAACACATGTCGCTGCAGCCTCATATCAGTTTGAGCTGAAGACGTAGTCGTAACGTGGTCATGTCAGGGACATGACAGCACTCCTCGTCCTTTAGCTTGAGAACACACACACACACAGGTTTTAAAACTACAAAGGAGGAACTAGAGGAGGATTAAAGATAAGCTATGACCCTGTCCCCACCGTACCAACTGTCACTGAGAGTCATCTCAGAGCTATTTGGGTTTGAAATCAACAAGGATTGACAAAGTGGATTATGATTCTGTTTGACTGGATTACATGCTACTAGATTGTTTTGATTGGCCTTTTAGAATGAAGTATTTGTCTTAAGGACACATTTGTTACCAGCATTTGACAATGAGAGGAGACTCTCCATCTGGCAGCCCTGAAAGATCCTTTACCTAGAAACTGTCAAATATAGACATGAAACAGAGGATACAGTTTTATAACACAACCAAAGACACCGGTCCTAATGGAGAACGGTATGTAGCGCATTATTAGGAGCCTGTTTTTAAAGGTTCATTTTAAATTGAGCCTCATGGTGCCAAATGTGGCACTTTAACAGCCATTTGAAAAGAAGGAAAATACTGGCATTTTGGAATAGGCTCAACATTGAATGGCAAAGTGAACATTCAAATAAAGTTCATTTTATTCATTGAAATCCCTTTTCTTCAAGATGAAGTATAAATCTGGAGTAGTTATAGTTTTCCTCCACTACTGGGAGAAAACAAGGTCCAGTAACAATACACAGCATCTAAACTCCACATAGACTACACAGCAAGAATGAAGAGGCACTTAAAAGTACATGAATCAAAGTTGAGGAGGACCCACCTGGAACTGTGGATCCGTGTCCGTCTCTCCTATGTGAGAAAGCAGCTCTCCGCTGGCCGTGCCAACGTTTCCTGCAGCCTGCAGCAGGATCTGACGAGGCTAGAAGCAAAAGATATTATGGACACAAAGTCAAACAACGAAGGGTAAAAGCATGTTATATCTCCATGTCCCTTGTCGTTTGGCGGTGTACCTCTGTGTTCGCAGGCTGGGCGGTCTTCAGCATGTCGGAGACGGCACAGGCCAGGTTCTTGGCGGCACCCAACAGCTGCTGCCCATTTGCTCCTTCGTCCTCCATGAGTGCCGCCAGCAGTTTCACTCCCTTTGACATTTCTGTCAGGTTGGAGGAGATTGTGGTCACAGCACAGCCCACCGCTGTGTAGTCCGTCTCTGCTGGGTCACCTGAGGACAGATAGATAGATACAGAACTGTATGAACTCCCAGAGGGAAAACGAGTTTGGTCAAGGAACTCATTTCGACAGTGTTCAGGAGGTGATGTTTTTTTAGAGCAGAACTCTATATGCATATTTGTTGAAGTGCCCTGAATGAAAGTCAACTCTCCCTGAAATAAAAGTGGAAAACTGAAAAGGTTTTTCATATTAAATATGCCTTCCAATGTTATGTGCTTCACTGACCAGAAATGTCTTATTACTGAATAACAACATATTCTGTGGAATGACATATTTTTTGTTATGAAGCCCTTATACAGTCTGATTATAATACCTCTGTTTAGCTCGGACAAATAGGCTCCTTACACTTTCAGCACTGGGTCATCCATATCTAGTCATTTTAACAACTACATCAAGATTTTTTTCTTGAGCATAAAAGTCTTTTAATTGTCCCTTCTCTGTTATTGAGTAAAATATTATTATTTACGTTATCCCCTCTTTTCAAGCTGCGTTAAAAGTCTGGAGGAGACTTGCTACTCATTCAGACCGGAAAGCCTTGTACCATTCGGAAGAAAAAACATCCAGGTCAGGAGACTTATGTGCTTTTAACAGATTGCAGTATTTAACTCTGATTCTGTATTTTGATCTTCCGACAGGGTTAGGTACGTTTCAGTTCATTGTTCATCTTCCAAATGTGAAAAAGGGGGGGGGGGGGGTCCATACATACTGGCAGCAATAAGGAAGGTTTGGTGAATTACAGTGTTTCTACCTGCAGTGAGGTTGACCATGGAGGCGGTGCCTGCTGTGATGGCATCCACCTGGGAGTGGATCTCATGTTTGGACTCATCCATCTTGTTTTTGCGCCAGGCTTGGGATGCCTTGAACAAAGAAAAAAAGTCCTCTGGTCACAAAAATCTAGATCTCATACTCTATTATTAGCACTCAAACCAATCCAATTAGACCAAGAACAAAGGAAGGTTCAATCTTACAGCATCTGTTCCCAGTGGAGGCAGGGTATCAAAGTCATCCAGAGAGGCCTGGGCAGCCTGCACAGCCTGCATACTGCAGTTGATGGTTCCAGTCAGGGCCTGCTGTGCTGAAGTCTGTGGACACACAAATCCACCCGTGTTAGTGCATCTCTCAATACGTTCTAATTTCTCTACGCTGTCTGTGGCTCTCAGCTCCGAGCCAGTGTTAGTTTGGCTCTGCACATGAGATTTGTTTCCAATAAGAAAAATATAATATAGAATATAAAGTATCGATAGAATATCACCAGACTCCTCTTTAAGACTTGAAACTATAGAAATAGATTTGTTTCAGAGCTCACTTTATCCTTCTGAAGATTCATTTCAGGCTCGAAATGTGGACTTTTTCCCCAGCTCATAACTTTCATCCTTTTCCCATTCAGACCCAACCCTCCTCTATGCCATCAGTATGTTATATATCATCAGGGAACTATTCCTTGAAAAAAGTAAAAATAATAAATGTATTATGTATTGTGCATTATCCTTAAATAACATATTGAAAAAAATGATTTTATTTGTTGTTAAATCCTTTTCAACTATTCAAAAAAGTCCAAATTTCATCCACTATGATTCCCTTATGTACTTATATTGTGTTATTACCAATACAGAACAGATGCAGTTATATTGTTATTCTGCCACTTAAAACCTTTAGGATATTTCTTTTACCAATGGAGGCATGTGTCCTCGGTGCATCTGTCCACTGGTGATGTGCTGCTTGGCCTGAGGCATGGAGCCCATCTGGAAGCTCTCTGGACCTCCAGCTCCTGAGCGCATGATGGCTGGCAGGGCCACTGAGCCTGTCTCCACCTTGCCCACCTTGTTGAACTGCTGCTGCAGCACTGTGGACCTGGAGAGAAAGAAAAGAAAAGGACAACTCACTTCAATGTTAAAGGGTTTCCTCCAGGAGAATTGGGTAGCAGAGGTAGTTGCTCAAGCACTGTGAGCACATACTAACAGCCCGATCAGTGTATAAGCATTTTGTCTCCCTGGGTTATAACAACTAGACAGTATATGCATATGAATATGGTAAATGGTAAATGGACTATACTTGTACAGTGCTTTTCTAGTCTTTCGACCACTCAAAGCGCTTTAACACTACATGTCATCATTCACCCATTCACACACTGATGACAGGGGCTACCTGTGTCATGGTTGGGTTTTGCTATGTGTGTGTGTGTGTGTCTCTCCTGATCATGCTCATTCTCTCCACCTGTGCAAAATCACCTGCCCACTCACCTGCCCGCAATCCGCTCATCACCCCTCACATACTTATACTCCCTTGCTTGCCCTGTTCCAGTGCCGGATTATCAATTGTTCTTTTTCCCTCCCCGTGGACTCGTCTCATCTCCAGTGGTTACCCCTCGTGTTGACTCTCTGACTCCCACGGTTTGTGCCTTTGCCTTTTGTGACCAAGCCCCTTTTGTGACTTTGCTTTTTATTTTCAGTTTGGATTTTTCACGCTCCCGGTTGGAGTTGTTTTTGGTTTCTGTTTTTGACTGCTTAAATGCCCAGTAAAGAGCATTGCATTTCACCTCACCTTGTGTCCTGTGTCTAAGTCTGCGCCTGAGTCTCTGCTCCAATCCTAAACCCACACGGTAAACCGTGAACCGTCACAACCTGCCCATCAGACTATCTAACATTCACACACTGTAGGCACAGCTACGGGAGCAATGTTTATGTGTACAACTACTGAAAACATACAATATCTGTAAATGATAACAATCATAGCTTGCTGGATCAGAAGCACACATACTTTTTAGGTGACACAGAGTCTTCCAGCATGGTGGATTCTTCATCTCCCTCCAGGCCAAAGTGGTCTTTGCTCTTTTTCTGTTGAAAGACAGTAAAGACTCCAGTGAACCATACAAAATGCCATTTTAAAGGACTCCTGATTCATGAAAGGTTGGACAGGCAGACTAATAAACCTGTATGTTACATCTGAGACACCGGGCAGGTTTCATCTCTTATAACACAACAATAAACAATGTAACCTCCATATCTGGAGATCAAAAACACTCACTAAACAGTCATTGATATTCTTCATCACTGAATATAAACCTGTGTGAAATGGATCAGAAGACAGAATAGGATTATAGATTTTCAATATATTCTAGATATAAAAAAAACAAGAGAACAAAAGTTGAGCAATTTCCATTCACAACAAAGCTCCTAGATGCCCTTTTACGTAATATTTTTCGAACAATTAAGGAATCCAACTTTAGCAGACAAATGAAGAGAGTAAAGTCAATTTAGTAACCCTCAACTAAAACATGTTACCATTGTTCAGTTTATGCTGACTGTTACCTTTTTAAGGATGATGTCGATGTAACCGGCAATAAGCTGAGCTATCTGCTCTCCCTCAGTGGTCTGCACAGAGTAGTAACCATCCTGGTAGTCTCCAAAGTCCTAAAAGCAGAAAAAGGACAACATGGGATGAAATGGTATTAAAAGTGTCCTTGTTTCCCTCATTTGCATGTTTGTCCTCTCATGAAAGACGGCAGGAACAGATGCAAAGAAAAGTTCGAGAGAGGAGAGAGGAATTGAGGAAATGCATTTTTAAAGAAAGAGGATGTGATTTCCACCTGGATTAAAGGTGGAGTCTGTGATTCTGGAGAAAAAGTGTTGACACCCAAACAAACCCCTCCAGATGTACCATCCCTCTCGCTCCCCCTGCCTTTCACTTCATACATCCATGGCCTTTCCCCCGTCCTGTGCACGAGCTCCAACGCCCCTGTTGCTGATTGGCTGGAATAGTGTTAGTTTCCCATTTTCAGAGCCAGGGCTGTGTATGAACACCGGCATTTTTTCCAGCGCACACACAGAACTGACAGATGGAGGCCGAGAGCAGATATTTACAGAATTTTTGAAAAAAATTGTTTAGATATAATCGCTGACTGCACCTTTAAGGGCAAGTACATTTTGTCAACTTTGGCACAAACTATTGCGGTAAAGCAGTCTGGAATATCAATCTGTCAAATCATCCATTTTCTAAGCTGATTCTTCTGAGGGTTGGGAGCTGACTGGTAAGAGATTCTATATCTTTCAACGACAATCCTTCAATCCTTGAGACATTTGAATCAGTTTTCTAAATAGTCTTCACACAGCTGTGAACATGTAGGTCGGAGTTCCTAACCAAGCAAGATTTCTGACGTTGAACTATTCTTCAAGCAAAGAGATTCAAGGCTTACATCAACTTGCACATGGGATTTGAAACAAAGTAGTACTGTGATGGAGTGCATTTTGATAACAACACCACAACATGCTACAGCTACAAAACAAATGTAAGGATTTTTTAAAATGGTATTTGCTCTCTAAGCACCTGCATGACCACACAATGTCGAGCCCTTCAGTTGACGTTATGACGGGATCATATGCAGCCACAGCGAGCGTATCACGCCTCGGTACAAACTGAGTCCAGAAACGCTGCGAGGGAAACTCGCATTTCAGCTGCTCAAATCCATCATGTCATGTTCTCACACTCCACAAACTGTGTTAGCATAGGTGAGGGCTGGAAAGTGAACTGAGAAGTAAACTCGTGAAGCACCTGACGTTCCAGCAGCTTTAGACTCGACGACGTGTGAACTCACCAGGGTGAAGCTCTTGGGAGAGGCGGCCCAGCGTTTGATGTTGGTCAGGTTCCACTCCTGGATCACCTCCTTGGTCTTCTCGTCCACCCTCATCACGCACTCCTTGGTGATACCCAGCAGACGAGGCACCAGTTTGTTCTTGCCCTTCATTTTCTCCTGCAGCATGTTCAAGGAAACAGTTAGAATGTCCTTACTGGAAATAAACCAGCAATGTTAATATATTTGATTTTCTGATACAAACATTTTGCTGCATGTCTACAAAACACACCCTGTAAACCTCAAATCTGATTATCCATGAACTGTAACTTCATCAGTGGAGCTGAACAGTTTTAGGTTCCTGGGAATCACAGAGAACCTGACATGATCATTTATGCTTTTCTAGTCGCCAATCTAATAATAATAATAATAATGTTACATTGTAAACAACCATCGCCATGGTCGCGAATGCTAAAACTCGGGCATGGGAGGAGTTCGGGGAGGCCATGGAGAAGGACTTTCGGTTGGCCTCAAGGAGGTTCTGGCAAACCATCCGACGGCTCAGGAAGGGAAAGCAGGGCTTACCCCAGGCTGTTCTCAGCAGGGGGGGGGGGGAACTGCTAACCCGGACAGAGGACATCGTCGGGCGGTGGAAAGAGCACTTTGAGGAACTCCTAATCCCGACCAACATGTCCTCTGCAGAGGAGGCAGCGCCTGAGGACCTAGGAGGAGGCTCACTCATATCCCTGGCAGAGGTCGCTGAGGTAGTCAAAAAGCTCCTTGGTGGCAAGGCGCCGGGGGTGGATGAGATCCGCCCTGAGATGCTGAAGGCGCTGGACATGGTTGGGCTGTCCTGGATGACACGCCTCTTCAATGTCGCATGGGGGTCGGGATCAGTGCCCATGGAATGGCAGACCGGGGTGGTGGTTCCCATCTTCAAAAAGGGGGACCGGAGAGTGTGCTCGAATTACCGGGGTATCACACTACTCAGCCTCCCGGGGAAGGCTTATGCCAGGGTGCTGGAAAGGAGGCTCCGACCGCTTGTCGAACCTCAGATTCAAGAGGAGCAGTGCGGATTCCGTCCCGGCCGTGGAACAGTGGACCAGCTCTTTACCCTCGCAAGACTACTGGAGGGGTTCTGGGAGTTTGCCCAACCAGTCTACATGTGCTTTGTGGACTTGGAGAAGGCTTTCGACCAGGTCCCTCGGGGGGTCTTGTGGGGGGTGCTGCGGGAGTATGGGGTGCCGGACCCGCTACAACGGGCGATCCGGTCTCTGTACGACTGCAGTAGGAGCTGTGTCCGCATTCTCGGCAATAAGTCAGACACGTTCCCGGTGGGTGTTGGCCTCCGCCAGGGCTGCCCTTTGTCACCGGTCCTGTTCGTGATTTTCATGGACAGGATATCTAGGCGCAGCCTGGGGGCGGAGAACGTCAGTCTCGGGGGTCTCGGGATCGCTTCTCTGCTATTTGCAGATGATGTGGTCCTGTTAGCCTCCTCGGATCATGACCTCCAGCATTCACTGGGGCGGTTTGCAGCCGAGTGTGAAGCGGCGGGGATGAGAGTTAGCACCTCCAAATCTGAGGCCATGGTTCTCTGCCGGAAACCGGTGGATTGCTCCCTTCAGGTGGGGACGGAGTGCCTACCTCAAGCGAAGGAGTTCAAGTATCTCGGGGTCTTGTTCACGAGTGAGGGTAAGATGGAGCGGGAGATCGGCAGACGGATCGGTGCAGCTGCAGCAGTAAAGCAGGCGCTGCACCAGACCGTCTTGGTGAAGAGGGAGCTGAGCCGGAAGGCAAAGCTCTCAATTTACCACTCGGTCTACGTTCCTACCCTCACCTATGGTCACGAACTCTGGGTCATGACCGAAAGGACAAGGTCGCGGCTACAAGCGGCCGAAATGAGTTTCCTCCGTAGGGTGGCCGGGCTCAGCCTTAGAGATAGGGTAAGGAGCTCGGTCATCAGGAGGGAGCTTGGAGTAGAGCCGCTACTCCTTCGCGTCGAAAGGAGTCAGCTGAGGTGGTTCGGGCATCTAATTAGGATGCCTCCTGGACGCCTCCCACTGGAGGTTTTCCAGGCACGTCCAACTGGGAAGAGACCCCGGGGAAGACCCAGAACACGCTGGAGAGATTACATCTCCCAGCTGGCCTGGGAACGCCTCGGGATCCCCCAGAATGAGCTGGAACATGTTGCCGGTGAGAGGGAGGCCTGGGTCGGCCTGCTTGACCTGCTGCCACCGCGACCCGACCCCGGATAAGCGGTGGAAAATGGATGGATGGATGGATGTAAACAACCAATAAGTGTTTAAATTAACAGGAGGAGAACTCTGCTCCATTACATTACGATGCCTTCAGGCTCTGTTCGGTGAAAATGAGTACTGGGTGAAGGTAAATTATAACGTTATCGTGATGTGTTCACATGTAATCTTGTAAAATGTAGTGTTGGTGATAAACTTGAATAAATCCAGTTGTTGAAGGAGACGTTTTCACAACAACATCAATAGATATTAGAGCTGTTAACACTCGCTCCAAGCAGATTATACATCATTAAAACTACTACTAATTTATTTTAATCAATAAAAATACAATCTTTCCTTATCCTTTGAATTGTGTGTTTTTATGAAGAAGAGAATACACTATAAATGACTATAACAAAGTAAAAGTATAACATTTAGAGTTTTTGATGGTTTACAGACTTCAGAGTGATTGAAATAATTTGTTTTGATGGTGGCAAAAAATAAAAAGTCTGGCTCCTTGTAGACCAGCTGCTATGATCAAACAACATAGAGATCTGTATCTGACAATATGAATCATCAATGATTTGCAATTAGTATCAGCGGCAAAAAAAAAAACATGATCAGAGATCTCTGAAAGTTATATTTACTCCTTTTTTCTTTTGTGCTGCTCTCATCTGTCACTCTGATCCGTGATACGATTCAAACCTTAAGTTTTACTTTTCGTTGCAGGACTAGATCCTATTGAGCAACATAAGCGTCTCTTTCCCCATGTTAAAAAAACTCTACCTCTATAAACTGTATCAATTTCTACACATAACATGCTGTGATGTCGACCGCTTCTAAGTTCAAGCAGCGACGACCTGTTTCCACTTCTTTGATGTGAGACGTCGAGTGGCAGCTTTCTTCTCACCTTGACCAGAAAGAATGACACTCCGTAGGTTTTTAGAGACCTGGCCAGCTTCACGTAGCTGACTTTGGCCTCGATCTCGGTCATGTTCTGACAGTTTTTGTGTGCCTGCAGAGACGAGAGACACAATCAGAGGAGCAGATTGACTCAGTGTAGCATTAAAGGCAAACCCAAATACAAGTCATCTCTCTTAGATTTGTGGCATCTCATGATTAATGGACGTCTGATGCTGCTTCCTTTTTGAGCTGTCCTGCATAAAACAGCATTTCCTGTTTTCAATAAGACTGTTACATTTTTGCTAAATATAAGTCTAAGATAGAGCTTTGCAATACCTCCCCCAAATCTCAAAGCATCCTCTCTACTGACCTTTTGAAACTCAACAATGTGAGTTTTAGTTTCAACATTGTAAGCTAAATCAGAGTGTATGTTCAAGCTTTAACACTAAACGATGATGAGAACACCCACATGTAATCTCCTCTTACCTGGAAGATCTTTTTCTCCCCTTTGTGCTTGATGTACTCTTTGGGCAGGAACTCCTTTAAACTGAAGGGGAAAGAGTTCAACTAGGATCCAACAAGCCTTGGGACCATTTCAAGAAGCCCACTCAAAACAGAAATGTCAAATGATAATGGATGTAACAAAAAGAAAACAGTGAACATGTGAATAAGAAGGGAGCACTCACTCTAAGAATCCAGGCTTGTGTTTGGTCTCGTTGTGGTCACCGAACTGAATCTGACACTGATAGCCAGCAAACTCACAGGCCTTATCAAAGGAGACTGGATGAGATCCATTCAGAATGTCATCACGGGCCTGTCCACACACACACACACACACACACACACACACACACACACACACACACGTCAGGATGTCATCAAACAACAATCAGGAACAACTGAAAACTACTTGTATGAGAAAAACATCAGTTTCAGAAACAACTTCAACTAGTACAACCATCGAGCTGTGGAGAATATTTGATTGTGATTGGTTGGGGGGAGTGCATGGTTTTCAGATGTCAGTGCAGTATCCTCAGTAGCACAGCTGTTCCGACACCAACACCAGTGTCAGAAATGCCTCCGATACAAGCTAAAATCCTGGATCAAGGTATTGTGAGTACGTCTATGCACTGAACTGATATCAGGTTCTCATACCATTCATCAGCTGGTTTACACTACACAAGAACAACACAAAATCGATGATGGAAGTAGCTGAGGCCTGAGCCATCTCAATTCTTTCTCATCTCTGTTGAGAGTTGCACATGCTCGGTAGCTATCGGGCCGGTGCTAGCAGAGAGTGTAACGTTAGCCCGAGCTAACAAAATGTCAGTAATATATTTTTACAGTCAAGATGCTCAAACTAGATAATAAAAGAAAAGCTCTATGAGCCAGGCCATACACCAATGATAGTCATCGTATCACATTCCTACTGGGTTAGGAGTATACAGCTGTCGAACAATAACAATAATAGAAAGGCCTGTATAGTATATGTATGTGTTTTTAACAAATTCAAGTCCAGGTATGGAATGTCTGTCAGGAAGAAAAAATGGCGCGTTAAGACTCATGTGAGTCTGCTGGTTTCAGCTGGAGCTTGGTTAAGGCGCTTCCTATTTAAGTCACACTTATCCTACATATGAATAAACAGGCACACATACAAAAGTAAGTAGGTTAATGTTGAGTGTGAGAACATTGTGTTGTGTTAGATACATAATACGTATTTTTCTTTCTAAGGAGCATTACAGCTGAATTCCATTCATTCCTGTATTCAGTAATGTTGCTTCCGATAGGGTTAGAAACAGACAAAAGAGTGACATCTTTGTTTAATTGAGCAGCATTTCCATTTCCATCTTCGTCAGGCATCGTCCAATCACCATCACAGCCTGTATGATATGTTTGGATTTGTTGGAGGAACACTTTGTCCCCTATGTGGGAGGAGTCCACACTGTTGTCCAGCTCTACTCTGATTGGTCCACTTTGAGATTTGACAGGATATTTTGTCTGTTTTTTGCCCTCAGTTTACTTTTTCATCCAGCACCTGTAGAAGTTTTTACCCTACACTGTCATTGTGACTAGGTCAATGGTCCTCCCTGCCTGGTTCTTCCGCCTTGAACAGTCTGTTAACCTGCTCATAAAGTTGTGTTACATATGCCCCCACAGATATTGTTGAAGGAAAAAGTTATATTTATCCTTTAAATATACTGCAGGGACAGCGGAGCACTTTCTCCAAAAGACTGATCCAGCTCCGCTGTCACAAGGAAAGATACAGGAGAACATTCCTGCCCTCTGCAATAACACTTTACAATAAATCACCTCTGGCCAGATCATCCTCCACATAACTACACACTGCTACACTGTTGTTTGCTGGGGTTGACTTTTGCACTACTGTTTTTCACCTAGTTAGTTAATTTAACACTTCTATTTCATTGTATATACTGTGCATTTTTGTTTTATCTTATATATTCTATATTCTGATACTTAATCTGTCCTACTCCGTTATTCTATTGTATATATTGTGCATTTTTTAATACTTATTATTTTTGGTTACTCTGCTACTTTGCTTCTTGGTGTGTCTTGCTGCTGTAACATACAAATTTTCCCCTGGGGATGAATAAAGTACATATCTATCTATCTATCTATCTATCTATCTATCTATCTATCTAAATGGTATCCTATAATTATCAGCTTGTATTTGATGAAAAAGTACTGAAGGAAAAGTACTTCGTATACATTATCCACCTCTCAAATAAGGACTTTCTAAAATGGGAGATTTGAATAATAGAATAAATTGTGAATGCAGAATTGAACCTGGCAATTGTCATATTTCAAACACAAGGAGCCCTCATTCATTCAAAAATCCTTTGATGAGGAAGGAGGAGGAGGAAAAGGAAAGGGATTGCTGACCGACTGGCAAGCTTCAGAGAGATTTACAAAGGCTATCAAGTAGTTTGTGCACCTGTACGTAGAGCAGGTTGAGCTGGACGGGGTCTCTGGAGTCCACGTTCTGGTCCGAGTAGAAGAACTTCCTCCTCAGCAGCAACATCTCTGTCTCCTCTACACCCTGTTCCCTCAACGTCCTGCCGTGGTCCAACCAGTTCACTGAGGAAAACACAAACTGACTAAGGAACAGCAAGGACTCGCTGGTCCCTGGACCCTTTTCTAGAAACCTGGTTTATATAATGTTACAGGGGATGTTTGATTGATATATTAATATATCCTCTGGTCTATTATTTATGTTGCCAACTCACACTGTACAGAGGCCAAGCAAAAAGGAAGAGATCTATTAGCCAGCTGTGTGTCACAGGAGGCGACTAGTCAAGTTGTCAACACAATATTAAGAATACATTCACATCCTCACGCCCAACAAACCCGTGTCATCCAACACAAACGGGAGTGAAACCACATCACTGTTGGTCAGTCTCTACTACAGGCCATGAGGTGAGAGTGGGGGCTGGTGTTGGTCTTACACTCATCATCTGTGTGGAGCTTCTGCTTCAGCTTCTCCATCTTCTTGTCGTCTCTCAGCAGAGTCTTGTCTCTTTTCAGGGTGCCCATGGTCTCCTCCTTCTTCTCCTCGCCAATGTCTCTCACCAGCGAGTACTCGTCATAGTTTGTAATGCCTGTTGAACAAACGGGTTACCGCATTTAGAATTTCACCCTGCAGTCCAAGCACACGTTGAGGACTGAATTAAACACAGGCATTAACCTGCAGTGACAGTATTTGTCCAGGTGACGTGTGAGAGGTGCATGGCAGAGCTGACCTATTCTAGCACAGATGGTCATGAGCATGTCACTGACGATCTTGGAGTCGTCCACCATGACGGTCTTCACCGTGCCGTCCAGCATGCGGATCTTCAGAGGCCTCTGCTTCTTCTTATACTCCAGAGTGTCCTGACAGACAGAAGAGACAGGTCAGGAGTTCTGTGTTACCAGATGTCAAAAGCCTGATGTATTAGCCACAACACTCTGAAACAAACCAAGACTGACTTTGACATCGGAGTGTCTATTTACACCCGGGTGAGAATAGTCACACGGCAACTATTCAACAATTTACTCGTTGCTAAGCTAGGTTGAAGGCCAGTCACAAGTCACATTAAATCGAAGAACGCTTGGGGTGATTTGCTGGGAGCAAAACCACACAAATAGTCTTTTATTCTAGAGGTGGGAACAAAAAGGATGGATAGCAGGTATCGTTTGACTGAAGAAGTTTGGAAATGACTTGGTACTGCGATACCCAGCCTAATCACCACTCCATCTCATCCGTATTCCACTTCAATAAGCTCTTTTGCACTGCTTCACATACTGAGAAGCTCACGCAGTCCATTCACAACACATGTCATCAGCTTTATTATTATCATTCATTATAATTAATTTCATTACAGATGAAATGGACCTCCAGACCTCCAGGACCCCAGATCTCCAGGACCCCAGACCTATACAAAATACCCAGGGGAGGCAGTATAACCCGGCCTTGATGTTACCTTTGATCCATACTGTTTATTAGAGGGTCCTGTCTATTTAGTAACAAACCCTGTAGTTGTTGGGGTCCCCACAGACAGGAAGGTAGTTTGTACTGACAGTGAGCACATTTTGCCATCCTTCCATTGGTTCTCTGTATGGGAGGCTGCTGTGTGCTAAAAGTGAAGCATTTGAGTAGTGTGTAGAGTGACTCACCCCATTCCTCAACATGTAGTAGTCCAGGGCCTTTCCTGCCTCCAGCCAGATGCCTTTCTTTGGGTCTTCATCAGACAGAAACAGCCCATAGTCATTGGCTGCAGAAGGAAACAGAAACACTGTGTGAGTCACTGGATGTGTGCTTCTTGGCTTACATGCACATGTAGATATTAGGCCACTAGTGAGCTATTAGTACTATTATTATTACTACTATTATTATTGAAGTACTTGTGCTGAATGTAACTTTTAGAACAGTGCACTAGCTTCCCTGTCCATGTTACGTCAGTGGTTCTGTTTCAACACATACATCTGCTCCAAACATTTCAGGTCACACTGTTCTAAATGCAAACACTTGTCTGTTGAGTGTAAGACAGAAGAACTGAACCACGTCATATGTTGCAGAGTAGAAACAAGCTGTTGAATTTGTGAAAGTCACAGATACTGGCTCTGACTCTTTGTCTTTCTAAATGTACAATGACGTGGAGAGCTGCTGTTCAAACGGCTTATGTAATGAGACATAACTCTGCATGCTCACCAGCTGATGCATCTATGGACAGAGAGCTGTTCTCCTCTGCAGAGCCAGTAATCGACTAGACAAAGGCAGCACAATCTGCTTTGAGACATTGGGTACATCCCAAGTCTCTTAATTGTCATTTCCTCGCTCCTCGATCCTCGCTTGAACCGGAAGTTGTTCTGCGCCGCCATATTGACGGCCGTCCCAAAGCTCTTATTTAGCTCTGAGGAGAGAGGATCGAGGAGAGAGGAGGGATCTCCGAGGAGCCATGAGCGAGGACCCACGAGAACAGACTTCCAGGAAGTCTTTCAACGGCTGACACGCCCCCTCATTGTTCATCAGTCATGTGATTGGACGCTGCAGCTGATCGGACTGATGAGATTTTTTTCAACATGTAAACAGTGAAGACGGATCACAGAATAAACTCAAGATTTATATTTGATTCGTTTATGATTCAACATCTGGTTTAAATAAATGTTCATTGTAGACTGAACAACAAAAGGACCACAAACAACTTTCTTCATTTATTAGAAAGATTTGTGTTTTCATGATCTGAACTTTTATTATGGAAACAATTAAAGTCAGAGGGAACTGGAGAGACGAAACACATACATATACAGTAGAGAGAGAGAGAGAGAGAGAGAGAGAGAGAGAGAGAGAGAGAGCTGGAGAGACAAAACACTTTTTACATCATTTATCATCATTTCATTCAGTCACGTGAGGCTGTTCATTCCTGATTGTCGGGTTTGATGAGTTTTATCATTTAAGAGAAACAATAAACATATTCTGGGTTATTTAATAATGACGCCATAATCTGAATTTCAAAACGTACAGATGCAAATAATTCATAAATAAGACGATCGCATTCCGCCGGTAGAAATGGTTCCTGTGCTTATAAACAGAACACAGGACACAGTTTGTTAACAGACTACAGAGAGAAACACCTCTACAGTGGTGATTACTGTGTGTCTTTAGTATTATTAGTTACTATTATTAAGTACAGTGATCATGTGAACACACACAAACTTATCAAAAGTCTCTCCAGCTGTTAAAGCCGACTGACAGCTGATCCCGCTGTGGTCATCAGCTCCGTCATCAGAAACAGACGTCGCTTCACGTGACGCAACTGAGGAAAGAACGTCTCATGTCTCTTAAAACATATCTCCTGTTCCTCTCTCCTCGCATGGTTTCCTCCATGCATCCCTGGTGGGAGGGACTAAGACGCAAGGAAAGGACCCAAGTGAGGGAAACAGGGATGCAATTAAGAGACTTGGGATGTACCCATTGTCTCCTGCCTTCCACTCTGTGGACCGAGGGTTGCAGTGTAGCAGTTCACACTCAAATGTTTTGCTAATTAAATACCAAACTTTTTCAACGTAGTCGCTTTTCTAAAGCTCAGGTGTGAAAACGTTGAAGTGAAGACGAATGCAGAAAGTGGTCGAGCTATTTGGGTTGTTAGCTAAGGCTAATTAGCAGCTAAGCTAAAGCTCAGTAGCAGCAAGATGCCTCCCTTCTCCACAGACGACTACCACAAACTCCTGCAGAAGATTGCAGTCTTGGAAACAAAAATCCACCAACTATAAGTGAACGTGGAGGTAAATGGACTGTGTGGGAATGATACCACTTTACCATGGACTCAAAACATTGGACAAACGCAAGCGAAGACACAGCTAACTAGCACCATCAGGCCTACCAAGAAACAGGATGGCTGTGTAGCACATTATGAATCTTCAAATGGTAGTCCTCCCTGGAACTCTCTCGGTGCAAAGACAAAGAGGAAATCATACCCTCAGGATGTGGGAGGACGACCAACAGGCAGAGCCCAGCGCCCTGAGATTTGTGATGCGACTGGCTGGCCTGCACTACCATACAGGCAGAACTCCAGCCAACTCAGCCAGACAAAGCCAAGGACCGGTGAAAAAAGTAAAACCAGCAAAAAACCTCCACACCAAGCCTACAACTTCAAAACAGATTTGCTCCATTGTCGCAGGATCCTAAATCTCCATCTGATGACCTGGATAAGCAGCTATCTTCTCAAAGCAGGGTAAGAACTGAGAGTAAAGCACCTTTTTCACTTTAAAGCCATTGATGCCTGTGTTTTATCTTGTATATTTATTTAATGTCTTGTTTTAAATCAGAAATGTCTTGTCTTAATGTTTTTATACATTTTTTACCTGTTGCTGCTGTACTGACTGATGAGTCGCCAACTTAATTTCATTGTATGTTTTTACAATGACAATAAGCATCCTTATCCTTATCCTTATTCTGACCTGGTTGTACAGGATCCTGTCCTCACTTCTGAAGGAGGAGGCCTACAGAAGTGGGGACAGGATCCTGTACAACCAGGTCAGAAACACATTGACGAGGGAGATCAAGGTAGCTAAGAGGAGCTACACTGAAAAGCTGGAGAAAAGGTTTTCAGCCAACGACCCCTCGTCAGTTTGGAGAGGCCTGGAAGTACTCACGAACTACAGGAGACCATCCCCCCCCACTGAGGCCAATCACCGACTGGCTGATGACCTGAATGTTTCTATTGCAGGTTTGATAAGCCCACTTTCACACCCCCCCACCATCAAACAACCACCTACACCCCCTGCCTCCTTCTCACCTCTTCCAACCGACCCCCCACCGGCACTGAGGTTCTGCGAGGAGGATGTGAGTCGGCTCTTCCACAGACAGAAGATCAGGAAGGCACCAGGCCCAGACGGTGTGTCACCCTCCTGCCTGAAAGTCTGTGCTGACCAGCTGGCCCCCATCTTCACACAGATCTTCAACCAATCACTGGAGCTCTGTGAAGTACCCTCCTGCTTCAAATGCTCCACGATCATCCCGGTCCCCAAGAAATCCTCCATCACAGGATTGAATGACTACAGGCCCGTCGCGCTGACGTCTGTGGTCATGAAATCCTTTGAGAAACTGGTGTTGACCCATCTGAAGGACATCACAGGGCCCCTGCTGGACCCCCTGTAGTTTGCCTACCGTGCGAACAGGTCGGTGGATGATGCAGTCAGTATGGGACTGCACTACATGCTGCAACACCTCGACTCCCCAGGGTCATATGCAAGGGTTCTGTTTGTGGACTTCAGCTCAGCGTTCAACACCATCATCCCAGCAATACTCCAACCCAAACTCTCCCAGCTCACTGTGCCAGCCTCCAGCTGCCAGTGGATCACTAACTTCCTGACTGACAGGACGCAGCAGGTGAGGCTGGGAAAAATCACATCTAGCACCCGGACTATCAGCACTGGCGCCCCCCAGGGTTGTGTGCTCTCCCCACTGCTCTTCTCCCTGTACACCAACGACTGCACCTCAGAGGACCCAACGGTCAAGCTCCTGAAGTTCGCAGACGACACAACGGTCATCGGCCTGATCAGGGACGGTGATGAGTCTGCGTACAGACGGGAGGTTGAACAGCTGGTCCTCTGGTGTAGTCAGAACAACCTGGAGCTAAACAAGCTCAAAACTGTGGAGATGACAGTGGACTTCAGGAGGAGCCCCCCAACACTGCCCCCCCTCACCATACACAACAACACTGTGTCTGCTGTGGAGACCTTCAAGTTTCTGGGATCCACAATCTCCCAGGACCTGAAGTGGGCCTCCAACATCAACACCATCCAGAAAAAGGCACAGCAGAGGTTGTACTTCCTGCGCCAGCTCAGGAAGTTCAACCTACCTCAGGAGCTGCTGATCCTGTTTTACTCAGCCATCATCCAGTCTGTTCTCTGTTCCTCTATCACTGTGTGGTTCGGATCAGCCACCAAACAGGACAGGAACAGACTGCAACAGATTGTCAGGTCTGCAGAGAGGATCATTGGTTCCAGCCTGCCCTCCATCCTGGACTTGTTCACCTCCAGAGTCAGGAAACGGGCTGGAAAGATCTCTGCAGACCCCTCACACCCTGGACACAAGCTGTTCCAACTCCTCCCCTCTGGTAGGCGCTACAGGGCTCTGTACGCCAAGACCACCAGACACAGGAACAGCTTCTTTCCACTGGCCATCACTCTCATGAACAATAAATAAGTTATACTGCACTGTTACCACCACTTATAATTCATGCCATTGTCTATAGGTTTATGTTCACACACATACATACATATACATACATACTTACATATGCATATATATATATA